TAACACAGTATTAGCTAAGAAAGGCTTATTGGCGCAAATCGAGAACCTAGTCGCAATAGTCAGGTAGGTAGAGGGCCCGATGCGCGACTCAGACCAGCTGGTAGGCTATTGCGGTATAGGTCTATTCTAATATCTTGATTGGCTACATCTATTCACTGTATACTCTAATGCAAATACAGTCCACCAGCGGGTCTAAGTTCTAAGATAACTTCCTACTGCCACTGAGACAAGGCAGTAACAGGCCGCACACCATCTTGTCTTAGTATGTACTGTGTACATGCGCTGCAGACTCGGAGTGTGGGGAAGGCTCTAATGTTTGGTTCACAGTTGAGTGGGCAAACCAATAGAAACAGTATTACGTACCTGATATTATAGCGCATGGCTGATACAGGATGCATCATGTCTGGAAAGGTTCGGCACTAGAACGACCTCATGGCAACTGAGGATTTGGTGAATTCAACGCTGATAGTCTACACTATGCCAAAGCTATTCCATAGTTATTCCTATCCCAAAATCCCGCTGTCTGTATCGTGTAACCAAGTGTCTCGATCTACCGATTAACTATTCGAATTGTCGCCATGCTGCTCGTATGTACAGTACATACAACGCTCGACTCTCCGTATGTGACAGTTCAGTTGGCAGCCCAATGACGTAACTAAAGAACATGCTGGCGTTAGGGGCTGAGATAAGATAGCGCTGCTAACGTCCTGAGATTATTGGTCGATTGGACAAGCCACTCCGTAAAACTATCGAGACCAACAGGGGGGCTGGGGAGCAACCACGCCTCTGTCGGGTATCCAATCTTTCCATGGAGGTACCTATGGCAGGCTGATATGCCGGTTGCCGACGAGCAGTTAGTGAGGTCTGTCTGCTAGCAACGGAGGCCGGCGGACGGGTAACGAGGCTAGCTTTTCCGCCTTCAGATCTTATGTAGATCCCCACGGGCCCACAGTACCGAATACAAATGGCATCAAGACAGCGGCCAGCTCCCAGGGGCGTCCAAGTGCGCTGATCCGTCACCCTCGTCATCTTCAGCGAGACGGTTGTTCTCAATCTCATCATCGTCAGTCCCACTCGCCACGCTTTCCTCCTCATTGTCGCCGCCATTCTCCCTCTCGACCAGCTCGAGCTCAGCCAGCAGCCGCTTTCGCTCCGCAACCACCAGCTCAAACCACTTGTCCTCTGCCGTGTGGGTCCTCTTCAGCTCCCTCTCGCGCGCCGCCAGCCTCTCGCCCTGGCGCTGCCGCATGGTCTCCATCAGCTCCTCCCGGACGGCCAGCTCCTCCTCGACCGCGTAGCGCATCCTCTGTAGCTCGTTGTCGCGCCACCTGCACCACATGCGCATGCGCTCGTCGTTCTTGGCCATGTACGCGCGCATCGCCTCGCGGGCAACCTGCTCACCGCCAGCCTTGTTGTCGCAGGCGGCGTTCAGAGCTTGCCGGTAGTCGGCCTCGAGCTGCTTCTCCCAGGCCAGGCGGGCGCGGTATTCGCGTTGCAGGTCCTCCTCGCAGCGCCGGATCTGCTCCACCGTCGACACCCGCAGCTGCGCACGCTCGTGGTCCTGTTGCGATGCGAGGCTGTTTCGCTCCCCGTCGTTTCGGCTCTGGCAACGCCGCAGGTCCTTTTCGTGCGCGCTCAGCAGGACCGCCCGCTGCGTGTTCTCAATCTCCACCAGCACGTCCAGCAGGCCATCGTACTTGGCCTCGAGCTCGACGAGCCGGGCCTCCTCGCGACGAGCGCGCTCCGCGGCCCGCCGACGGCGTCTCTCCTCGCGGCGCGCGACGGCCGCCGCCCTGGCCTCCTCCGCCTTGCGCTCCTCTTCGCGCTCGTACTCCTCAATCAGCCGCAGGGCGTTCTGCAGCCATTCATCCTCTGAGACCTTGGTGGCCTGGCGGGCGGCGCGACGCTCGGCGGCACGGCGCTTGATGTCTGCGAGCTCGTCCATGGAGCAGTGGCAACTGCGCCAGCGGGCGCCGCACACGTAGCAGAACTCGGCGCCGCACCGGCATGTCATGTGCTGGCAGGCCTCGCGGTGCTCGACCAGGATGCCGCAGTCGATGCAACGGCGCCAACCCTCCTCCTCGGCGAGACGCTCCACCAGTTGCCGGCCCGTGTCCCGGGGGCACTCGCCGCCGTCCGTCTCATGCGGCGGCTGCCGGCACATGACGCACATGGCGTGCCCCTTTTTGCACACGGCCGTCTGCCTGTCGCGGTTGACGCTGCGGATCCATTCGCCGCAGTCGGGGGAGCTGCAGTAAATGCGGTTCTCGGCCGGGATGGACATTTCCTCGTACGTGTCTCTGTACCGCCTCAAAAGGTCGCGGTTGACGTGCTTGGTGATGGTCCGGTAGGGTACCGGGTTGAGGCAGCATTTGGGCGGCCATTGCGCCTGGTTCTCGATGGCCGTCTGGATGAGCATCTGAAAGCAGTCCTTGCAGTATGTGTGACAGACGGTCTTGACGCCCTCTTTGGGTGTGAGGTCCTCGAAGCAGGAGACGCACGTCCTAAGGACTTTGTGAGCACCAGTCTTGAGAGCTTCGGAGAGAGGTGACTACTTACAACTCGTCTGATCCGGAGTCTGAAGTGGAGATTCCCAGCTTCGGATGGATATGCTTGTAGATGAACTGTGTGAAAACACTGGGCGCTTCTTCATCCTTTTGTGCCGCCCTTGATGATGCGCTTTGGTCCCTTGATGCCGCGGCCATGCTGGTCTCGCCCTTCGACTCCCCCTTCCTGTGAAACATGCGTCGCAGCCCGAACCGGGAGCGTCCTCCTGAGGGGAATTTGATCGTAGGCCCTCCGCCATGTCCGGATTCGATAGGAGTGACTTTGATATTGGGTATTGTTGAAGGGTGATTCTCTGTACTAGCCCTGCTGACCCCTTTCCCCTTTGCGTCCCGTGCCTCTGCCTCCGCTTCCGCCTGTCTCAGGGCATCAGCCTCCCGCTCTCTCTCCCGATTCCATTCTATCTCGGCTCGGAGCCGCGCTTCCTCCTCTGCCCTCTGCTTTTCGAGCCGTATTTGCTGTGTAACATTCTCCAGGGCAGATTCAACTATGTCCCTGATGGTCTCTGGTGTTGAATCGGGAAGTGGGGTAAGGACTGCTTCAGGAGGAGGGTAGGTCGATAGGTCTAGTTCTTCAGGGTCCTCCTCCTCCACTTCTTCATGACTGGCTTCCACCTCTGCGGCTTGATTTGCCCGACTTTGAAGAGTTTGCTGGGAGGAAGTTTCGTCGTGGTGCTCTAACGGTGGGTATGGGACATGGATGTCTATCTTGCTGTTGCTGTTGCTGTTGCTTGGCAAGGTTGGACTTGTCAGTGTAGCTGCTGGCAGCGCCGTCTTTTGTGCTTCTATCCGCTGGAAACTAGGCCCGCCTGGGACCGTGATTGTGGTTGTTGGGTCCGTCAGGGTCCGGAGGATTGTGGTCGTAGCCATGGCTAGGATGCGAAAGCAAAACCGCTGGATAAGGGAGAAAAAGGACGATGTCAGGGGTCCGAACAATGCTGGAAGATGAGAAGACAACCTTGACTATTGCAGTCGGTTACCTGGGTATTGCAAGACGCTCTAGAGCCCAAGACTGTGTATCTGGTCGCCTCGTTGGGAACCGTGTGATAAGGGGCCAACAGGGGGAACCAACGGAACAATGGACGGCGAGCAACAAGTTAGAAAATGCTAGACAAAACAATGCATGAAAGAAAGCAGACAAGAATATACAAGCCCTCCTCGCGTGCGTGCCTAATTCCTCTTTGCCATGATCAAATGACAAAAGCTCGCGCGTAGCCCCGAATCGGGCATTCTGTGCTTTTGAGCTGTCGCCATCGCATCGCTCAGCTGGAATGCTTGCCCTCACCGAGGCAGTTTCAGAAGCTCCTAAAAGGTAAGCATCGGCCCAAATATGCCTGCTAACTCCGCCGCCGTCTCAAGCGTCTTACACAGTCGTCAATGGCCCGGATCAGGTTGAATGAGCGGTCTCTGCCTACCGGAGGTAACCAGCTAACTTGTGACCGTTCAAGTTACTGACCATAGAGTCATGCTATTGCTCAGCAGCCTCTCCAACCAGCTCAGCCCACAGGCAGTGTTTGAGTGAGGTGGGCAGGGCCATGGTTGGCCTGCCCAGGTTAGCGTACTGTTTGAGGTGGCTGTGGAGGAAAGGTCATGAAACTGGCAAACAAGAAGAGCTGCAAGTTCCACGTGGATTTGGTAGCACACATGGGGCTGGTGACACGACCCACTCTCCCTAGTTAGCTTCTGGACCAGTTCTGGTAAGTGGTAACCCGCGCTGACCCAACTGGGATGAAATATACTGAGGTCAAGCAAGATGCATGATGAATACTGTAGTTTACATACCTGGAAGTTGTTCTTCTGGCAAATAATACCTAAGATATATGTGAATGGAACTCTTCTCTTATCGTCTCCCTTCAGTCGGTTTCTTCCGTTCAGCAGCTCAGGCACCTTGGTCAACGTTGTCTGTGCGTCACCATAAGCCCTCCGAGCGCGCGCTAATTACTACCTTTGTATCCGTAGAGCGGTAAGATCCACACACACTGTGTACTATATAATGCACGGAGGTATTGTACCGTACATACAGGCGGTACGGTATGTACAGTAGCATTACACTGGTGTATCAGCGCAATTCAGACTACACCAGCAACTGAGAGTAGAGAGTGCTACCCGAGAGTGACTGGTTAGAAGCTATGTAAACAGTTGTCAATTCTGCAACTTTCAAAGGGATTTGGCGATGGTGTTGTAGCTGAGCCCGTGATGATGGTGCCACTTGGTGGAGCCCTGGAGCCTGCCCCAGCACATTGTGGGGTGTGGGACTGGGCTGTGCCGAGGTTTTCATCGCGGGTCCATCACGATCCGCATCACGACCTGGATCGATGAGGTTCATCGCGCAATCAATTTCATCAGCCGGCCCCTAACCCCATGCCACTGGCAGCGGCGAAGCCAAATGCGTCTGTCAGGCCTTCAAAAGGAGGTTCTCGGCCTGTATCGGCAATGTCTTCGAGAATGCCGAAAGAAGCCCCAGGCAACCCGGCAGCATTTCCAAGTGTTTGCCAGGTAAGCACCGCTTTCTGTTAGTGTATCTCATCGACTTGTTCAGCGACCATCAACCAGTGAGCTGTGGTAACCGTAGAAGTGAAAACAGAAGTGAGTTCGACAAAAACATCAAGGTCGACAAGAGAGATTTTGCCGCCATTGAGTTCTTGCTGCGAAAAGGCCGCCGACAGCTAGAGATATACTCGTCGCCGGGTGTCAAGGACATCAGATGAGGGCCTGCTCACGCGACAGTTCAAACTGTCAATCTGTGCGTCCTAGTTTGCGATGAACCGACTAAAGAGCAGCACGCGCGGCATGTGCCGAGGACAGTGGGCCATATGGACTCCAGCTGCAGTGCCGAACTTTGGTCGGCGCGTCCTCCGGGTCCAGAATTCACCTGTGAGGGCTCAGACACGTCAACGACCGTGCTGGGAACAGCATATACTGAGACGTATAGGTGAATCACTCGAGTATCCTGGCTGGGCGACTGACTACGCATGCGCGCTGGCCAGAAACCGGCAGGCAAGGAGTCTCGCGCCGTGAAGGGGAGGATATGACATGAGTTTTCAGCATTCCCCTGGGATTAATGAAGCCAACAGAGTTCGCTCGAGACTCGGTTTATCAACCTGATTGTCTCCAAAAGGGAAAAGACAGAATAGTAATTAAATATCACTACGCGAGATTTCGAGTATCATCCTGGTCTACATGTCGCCAACGAAGTCAGATACGAAGTCCTCATCCCTGGGGAGATTGTGGCCATCACGCCACAGCTTACCCGGCCCGTCTATCCGCATCAAAGTCAATACCCTTACTCAAGCTTCGATAGCGCCGCACTATTTCTACGAACAGGCAAGCTGGATGCAAGTCATGGCTTCCAATTCGAACTACCTATGTCTCGTTTTATCTTGACCTCCCGCCCGTGAGCGAGGTGTGTTATTAGGGGACAAAGCGCCACAGTCTGGAAGTACCTCGACTGTGGAGAGCGTGGCCATGGAGGTTTGGTTTGATAATTGCGCGGGGAAGGGGGAGGGGGGTTTATACTGGTTCAAGAACGGCTGGGTTGGACTTGCTCCTTCCATGGGCATCCAGGTCGTAGGACAGCAAGACCAATCCACCTCTGCGTGAATGCTGCAACTCGCTAACCCAGGATCCCAACTCAACAGGAACATGAAAGCGGCCTAAGTATAGTCCACGGTTCATATCGTTTAACTGGGCAGTACTTTGGCCTTCGGACTGGGCACCTGGAACTTGAACCTCAAGCCACCCAACCCATCAAACTATACCTACCACCACATCTCACCCACAGTTTGAGTGTAAATACACGTTCCAGTTTCTCAGCAGCGAGCACTCACATAGGGCGAGCACAGATGGACGGATTGGCACCGGCACCTCTTCAAGTTCTTTCCCCGCAGTTCAGTGCAACGTCTTCACCCTATGTACTCGTTATCATGTTACCTTATGTAGACAGAACAGGGCATTTCCGTGCTTCGCCAGTCCCGCAGCGAACGGAAGAGGAGGACGTCGCACCTCGAAGCTCCTGGAGGAAGATGAATGGCTTGTCCCCCCCGTGCGAGCGTTGCCATTGCAGCGGGAATTGCGAACTATACGCTACATATAGAACATCGCATCAAGGTGCAGTGGAATAGCGAGTACATAGCGATGTAAACTCGGTATTACTGTGGATTCCACAATGCAGGCTGTCATGTAAGTAATAGATAGGTAGGGGTGTGGCATGGCGACGTGGAAGCGGAGGTGTAGCTGATTAGCCCATCGACATTGGTCTGCCAGGAGGTGATGGCATGTCGGAGTTAAGGTGCCTTGCATAGTGCAGTAAGACGGCCGCCTCTGTATGCAATAAATTATCTCGAGCTTCCCCATCCAGCGGTCCGTAAGCCATGCGTAGCAATTCAGCGGGTTGAAGCGGACGTGCTTGTGGTTCGGTTCGAGTTGTAGACTCGGCAGGCCTGCGGCAGAACTCTGCCGCCCGACGGAGAGTGTTTCTATTCGGTGCTGATGCTTATCGCCCAACAGAACTCAAGGATCTTGCCTCACTTCTTTTTCTATGTATGTTCTTGTAGATACTGTTAAGTCATGTGTTAGTCCCTTTCAGATCTGGATCGTGGCCTAAGTGCCATCATGTGCCCGCCGTCTGATACCTTACGTTAGACTACATGAACGGGCCAGGGCACTTCAGTTAGTCCTAAGTGCCGCCGCAGCTTCCGTCTAGAGTACCTGTCTGGCTCATTCCGTCTCATCACCGAGACAGCGGGATCGGACACGGCATCCGATATGCGCGCCTGCCCCGCTCGGATCGATGCCAATTGCCAAATGTATCCGTATTCCTATGTGAATTACTTGTATTCGACTGAACGGGGATCCGTTAGAAAATAGAATAAATCGTGTGATCTGTATAGTACGCGCGGGACGGACCGGGGTTGTCAAGGCGGAACAAGTACTGCAGTGAATCACATAGTGTCGAGGGGATGAAGGCCATAAGAGCCATCTCAGCCTGGCGCTGGATGCAGTAGATGAGATGATGAAGCGCAATAATTGCATCCATGCCGAGTAATTTTTCTGGTAAGCGGTACAGAAACGCTGGGTGTGCCCCTTCCTTGATCCTTATTAGGGGAACCCCAAAGTCCCGTCTTTGACAGCGGTTCTTTCCTAAGGTGAAAGCCCACTCTCACCGAGGATAAATGCATCGCCATCGAATCATCGATACCCATGAGATGATCATCTTCTAGCGCGATCCGAGCCCGAGGTACGTCTTTCACCAGGGTATAATAGAATAGATTGCTCCAAATTAAAAAACCAGAATCGAAAAAAACCGCTTTGCAACCCTCGATAAATTACACCGCGAATCCGGCCGTCCTTTTCTTGCACCTGTCTTCTTCCAAGCGAGGGCCATCCCGTCCCAGTCTGATATGTACACTATTTCCGTCGATTGGTTGGGGCAAAGGGTGGGAGACACGGGACATGGGAATACACAAATTGTTCCCAGGGGCCAGGTAACCGAAGAAAGCAACCCTTGTTCTGACCACCCCCCATCTTCGGTCCCGCCCAGGATGGGAGATACCTATGCTGCATGGGCAGATGAATTTGGCCGAGGCAGCTGCTGTCGGGCTTTCTCGCTGGAAGGGTAGGTGTATACAGGCAAAATTATGTAAACGGGATTGGATTTTCTACCCAATGAACCAAGCAACTTGCTGCTTCCCAAGAACTAAGAACCCAAGCCCAACGCAACACGTACATGTGGCCGCCCCCAACGACGTAAAAGAGTCAAGACGCTGGAAGTGACAGTGTTCAAGCATCCTCCTTGGTAAGCTGTACCTCCTTCTCGACCTGGTGGATGTCGACGTGGGCGACTTCGGCCTGGTCTCCGTCGATGATCTTGGCGAGCTCCTCGAGCGTGGGACCCTTGGTCTCGACGTACATGAAGTAAACGAAGCAAAGTTCGAGGAAGATCCAGCACTGTAGTTGTCAAGGCAATGGGTTAGCTCTTTGCTCGGAATATGGGAAGAATGCTTTCTGGGGTTTCGTACAGTGTAGATGAGGTAGAGCTTCCATGTCGTGTTTCCCTGATCCTCAAAGTACTTGAAGGCGACCGGGTTGGCATAGGTGTTGAGCGTCAGGGCGACCTGGATCGAGATGTTCATAATCATGAGACCCTTGGCACGGAGCTTGTAGGGAAGAATCTCGACGGCGTAGCCGACCAGAAGACCGGACCAGGCAAGCGAGTACATGAAACCGAACACCCAAATGAAGAAGATCATGGCCTGGCCAGAGCCGGGGGACCTGTACGTGTCATAGAGAGCCGAGCAGAGCGTCCAGAAGATAAATGTGCCGAACATACCGCCGGTCGAGGCGAGGAACATGGGACGACGGCCAACCTTGTCGACCAGGAGAGCCATGGAAATGGAAACGATGAGGGCAAGGCATGTCTGACCTGCCGCCAGACCAAGCTGGGGAGTCGACTCTGAAACGCCGGCCGATGTGTAGAGCTTGGCAGAGTAGTTGGAAATAATGGCGTTGCCCGACCACTGCGAGAAGATACCCAGAGACAGGAGGACAGCGAACCGGTAGCGGTTGCCCTTGGTGCGGAAAAAGTCGAGGTAGCTGCTGTTCTTCTTGTTCTCGAACTCAAGCCGAATTGTCTCCTTGATCTCGAGAAACTCGAACTGGACAGTGGGGTGATTCTCGTTGCCGTTGGCGTGGTATTTGGCAAGGATGTGCAGAGCCTTGTCATGCTTGTCCTTGGCCATCAGGAAACGCGGCGACTCGGGCACCCAGTAGATGAAGGCAAGCTGAACAACGGAGGGCAGCGCCTGCAGCAGCGCGGGGATACGCCAGGACCACTCAGTCGGGACGAAGTTGGTGCCGAAGGCAAGCCACGAAACGACTGCATGACTGTTAGCAAACCCAACTTTCTCGATTGGCCGTCAAGAGCCTCTCTGGTTGAGTCGAGTTACTTACTCAGAGCACCCACGTTCCAGAGACAGTTGTAGACGGTGGTGAGACGCGCACGGTGCTGAGGGTGGCACAACTCAGTGAGAAGCATTGGCGAAGAGATCTGAGCCAGACTGTTGCCGAAGCCGAGCATGACACGGCCGCCCATGAAAGCTAGACTAATCGTCAGCCCGTTCCCATGCTGCAATATCCATGTCACTAAAGTATAGACGACGTACTGGCCAAGTTCTGGCAACTTCCCTGGAGGATGGCGCCGACAATCATGATGACACAGCCAATGGCAATAGGAACCTTTCGGCCCAGGTTGTCGGCCAAGATGGGACTGCGCCGGGGAAATTCTGTCAGCTTACAGAACGAGCGGCTCCCCCATCCGTTTTTGCTGCACTTACACAATGGGGATGGAAACCAAGCTGCCAATCTGGTAAAGAGCACCAAGCAGACCCAGGATGTGGTCTTCAGGGTTGTTGAAGTAGGTCTTCCATTGGACCATGGCCTGAAGAGAGTTGAAAAGCATGCTGTTCACCAAAAAAGGAGGGTCGAGTTAGCATTGTAGACGCGTCGAGGCGGTTCCCCATGGGTATAAGGTGACTGAGGCGCTTACCCATCGTAACCAGTCGTGGCAGACGCAATGCAGAGAACGAATGCGTAAAAGTAGAGCTGGCGAAGACCGGCATCCTTCGTCCAGTCTACCCTCTCGAACTTGGGGGCCTCCTCCTGGGCAGCCACCGTCGCCTCGGCCAGAGGCTTCTTCTTGTCGAAGATGCCCATGTTGAACGCACTTCTTGGGGGGTATCTCGAGATTGACGATCGGCTGGGCTGCGGGTTACGGGCAGCGTTTCAATGGCAGTCAACCGAGATGCTAGCGATGCGGTTGATCCGTCTCCTTGGACCCGGATAGCAGGGACTGACGAGAAGACAGAAGAGAAGAAGGTCTGAGACCATGAGGGGTTACATGGCTTATAAGGACGTGGTATGAACCTACAAAAACGACTCTGGGGTCTGGGGGAGGGTCCAAGACGGAGTGACGGACAATCGGACCGGCCAGGCGTCCAGGGATGGCCCATTGGGGTGAGGAGTAGCGTGATGGGCATGGATGCGCCCTAGCCAACTGCAGAGAAGCTTAACCCATCTCTACGCTTCCGAAAACCACCACAGGTATTGTACATGGCTACCCTCGTATATCGCGTACCCTACCTGTCGTGCATGTACACGTAGGATGGGCCGCCACATCTGCAAATAGTCAAGTACCTAACCTACGGATCCAGAGCCAAGTCCTTTAGGTACCCCTGGGATGGCCTGCTTGCTGCAAGGAGTGTACTTGTACGTACACTACATGACAGAGGTGGATATGGTTGGGACGGGGCACGCGGCAGCAGATTGTCAATGGCAGTCCTCGCCGACTGTGGACCGTCTCCCATGGGTTAGAGGCTAATATCACCCATAAGAGCGACTGTTCGGAGCATAAGGCGCCCAGACACTGACAGCTTCACCGGTGTAATAGATCCTTAACAAACACGGAGGAATCGCAGTGAACTGGCCCGCGTCTTCCCTCGCGTTCAAGTGTTCCATGCCCAACAGATCGGTGGCATCTGGGGAAGGGCTGGAATGGTGACGATCGCCAAAGCCTTTCTCCAAACTTCCCCAACTTTGGCCATCTCCAGTTCTCCACACCAGGATGGTCCCGTCGCCCCATGGGCTCCCACAGAAAATTTCCCCTTGCCGAGTCTTGGCGCATATGGCCCTCCAGGGACGGGTCCAGCCACCGGTGAGTTCGTGACTGTTGTGTGGACTGCGATTGACCGGACCGGTTTTCGCGTGGGCTCCCTGTCAGCGCCCAGTCAAGCGAGCGGCTGGAGCGAATGAGACGAGCCCAGCGGTGCCACCTGCAGCCAACAATGCGCCGCTCGGCGCGGGCGGACCGACGTTGAGATCTATCAATGGAGTAAACTACCTCGTGTAGTGTAGTCAAACCACTTGTTCGAGACGGTCTTGCTGCATTCAGATCATCTTGATCCAAAGTGGTTTGCCCGCAGTCGACTTCTTGGAGGATGGCGTCCGGAGACGGTGTACGTACAGGCTTTTGCATCATGTCTCTGTTGCAAGGGACTCGATCTGTGCTGTACCTAGTAGTGTAACCACGGAGCACATGGTGGAGGTGCGTTCTCTATTAGGCAGGAATGGTAGGCGTATGGATCCTAGTCCTGGTCTCGTCCAAGGGGGTGCAATTGTGGCAACTTCGTGGTCGTATGAAGCATATACCTAGTACAGAGGTACGCAGTAGCGTTTGCATTATGCTATGCAGAACAATATGTTACCACTCTGGCAGGCTTCGCTTCGCTAGGCAAAGACTGGGCGTGACCGGATAACACTGGAATCCCAAGAGTATGGCTTCAAAACGAGGATTTGGAACTGAAAAACAGCCAGGACGCCAATAGGACTTGGCTTCAGCCGCGAGGAGTCGCTGACATGCAAGTCTAAGCCAGTGGGTCGATGAGCCACTGCGAAGCCGTGATTGGTCAGTAGGAATCTTCCCCGTGAATCCGGGCCACCTTGGTCGGCGTCTGGCCCGTGTAGGGTAACGAACTGGGCGGGTTGTCGCGCGACGTCTTCCCTGGGCTTCGAGAAGGGTTAGCTGAGCCGTTGGGGCTCTCCGGTTCAGAGGAGTCAACTGGAGTCAGCAAGCGTAGCGTGGACGCGCTTGCGGAGAAAGGAGAAAACCGTCCCGCAGCGCTTTGTCTTGCCACTTCGCGGCTCCTTGGCCGCAAACGCTTTCAAGGCTTGGGACTCGAGGGAGTCCACTATATTACCCGCCTTGGCGCTTATTTAGCCTAAAAAGCCCGGCTCTTGAGGTGACGGCGACCTGGGTCCTGCCTTACTACCGCTCAGGTCATCCTCGCACCTCAAGCCAGCTGATCTGATGAAGGTGTGAAAGCCACTGCTGCCAGGTCTTAGCCGCTCCATCAGAATTCAGAAGTGCCCGGGAAGAGGTCCGATCTTGACATCCGATGGGCAAAGGGCAAAGAATCGGGCTCCAACGTAATAATCTCCGTACACTGGTTCGGTTCGCTTGCCGGCACCACTGCTGCGGCTGAATGTCCTTGGGGACAAATCCCGGCTGCCATCGCATCCTCAGCCCGACTCCATCGTCGAGTTGTTGGGATAGGGTGCAAATGTAATCGGTCTCTCAGCAGCGTGGTCCTCGGGTTTCCGGCAGATAGGTATATAGAAGTACATCACGTACAGCCGTAAGCTTTGGCCGGGACCGGAAGCCCAGCTGCATACGGAGTACCCGACCCGCTGCCGCCGAGTCCAGATGCACCCGAGGCCCACGGCCAAAATTGAAGTTCGTCTTCCGCATCCCTGGAAGACAAAAAGAAAGCATACTGTGGTGATCCGTCTCCTATGTGGTGTGGTCCCGTCCCCTATTCCCTAGGCTCGCCGCGCGAGATGGCATGGTGGGTAACCACTATCGGTTGGCTGTACGCAAACGTAAAGGTCCTGAGAGGATTAAAATGGAGGATGTCCGCATGGCTCTGAATGCTAGTTGACCTGGGGACGTTGCGTTGCATCGCTGGACAGCACTAGGTAGTGGAGGGTATCAGGCAAACCAAATATCAAGCATGTTGCAGCCTACCTATCCGAGAAGCAAGAGGCAGGACTATCTGACCATCAGAGAGCCAACCTGGAAGAATGCAACTGCAGTTGGTAAATAGTGGCCTTTCAGGCAGCGTGTCTTCAGGGGGTTTCCTTTCTGCTTGTGGAATGCTTGAGAGTCGGCTACTACCCAGACTACTGTCTGAGAAACTCCACTTTCAGGTGGACAAGAACTCCAACAACAGACGTGATAATTGCTAGCATTCAGATGGGTTCGGTTGAAGAAGGTTGAGATGAGACTTACTAACTCGTACATAGTAACCTCCTGGAAGCGAAGTCCAGGCAATCATTAATTAACCGGTGCAAGTGGCCAGGGGAAGGGGCGATCCGCCTGTCCGAAGTGCTTCTGTGCTTCTGTAGGTATGTAAGGTACTGTACCTTAACTCTGGTTTTGAATACCTACCAGTTCCGAGTCGGCATCTGCGTACACTAATTACTGCGAATTTATTCAAGGTTTCTTAGGTATTCGTAGTGCTCGATCAGTTTATTTTGGATATTAATCGAGATAATCTTGGACTCCAGCCAGGCCGACTACCAGCTACCCCTCTACTTAAAGTACATAGCTCCCGTACCTTGCCAGAGATGGGGTCAAGTGCAGAAATCTGGCCAATGGAAGGAGACCTCAGCCGTGCACGATCCACCTTTCACGTGGGTTCGCATGCAACCACTCAATCCAAGCGCGTCTTGCGCGTCTCCAATTTCTTGGAGAGCAGGAGATGGAGCGCGTCTTACCGAGACTTGACATTGGCTGACATCACCACCATCCGCCGACTGTGCGACCTATCCACCATTCAACTATGGCTGGATCCTCCAAACCCCCCGAGAAGAAACAGGCATCCCTCAGAAGCTTCTTTACGCCCAAAGCCACAACCAATGGACCGGCACAGAAGCCCACTCAAGCTGCTGTTGAGACATCGCCTACAAGTCCCATCGTTGATCCGCCGCGAAAACGTCCGCTGCACGAGAACGCCGATTTTGGTAATGAGAAGTCTGGCCGGTTAACAAAGCGTGTCAAGCCGATTGTTGAGGGAGATTACTCGGAACATCTGTCCAAGCCTCGCGCCAAGGCGTCGTCGTCCGAGGCTCCTGTCGCCGAAAGCCCCGGTGTACGCTCCCGGACTGAGCGTTACGCTTATGTGGCGTCTTCCTCAAACTTGGATTCGTCTTGCCCGGGCGAGGATGACGATGGCGACGACCTAGCTGCAAAACGAAGAAAAGAGGAGCTGCACAGGAAATTTGTAAAGAAACTGGGCCATCCCGATAGCTTGTCCATGCTCAGACGACGAAATTTCCAGGCCGATAGCGAGACTCCGGGCCTGGAGGGCGAGGATGATGAAGGGGCCGCCGGAGAAGCTGAAGAGGATGAAGCGACTCCGCCAGCAAAGACCAAGAAGAAGGGTGCCAAGACGGGAAAGCTCACTCCAATGGAGATCCAATTCCTCGACATCAAGAGGAAGCACATGGACACCATCTTGATCGTTGAAGTCGGATACAAGTTTAGGTTCTTCGGTGAGGATGCGCGTATTGCCGCCAGAGAACTGAGCATTGTCTGCATACCCGGCAAGTTCAGATATGACGAGCGTATGCCGATCCCATCCCTTAGAAGCAGTTCGCTCCTGCTAACCACCATACAGATCCCTCAGAAGCGCACCTTGACCGGTTTGCCTCCGCAAGCATCCCCGTGCATCGTTTGAATGTCCATGCCAAACGTCTTGTAGCCGCGGGTCACAAAGTGGGTGTGGTGCGCCAGATCGAGACGGCTGCGCTCAAAAAAGCCGGCGACAATCGGAATGCGCCCTTTGTCAGGAAGCTCACCAATGTCTACACCAAGGGCACCTACATCGATGAAGCCGGAGAACTAGACCAGCCTGCCGAAGCCACTGGCGCACCCGCTGGCGGTTATTTGCTCTGTCTGACGGAATCCTCTGCCAAAGGCGCAGGAACAGACGAGAAGGTTGATGTTGGAATTGTTGCCGTGCAACCTGCAACAGGAGACATTATATACGACGATTTCGAGGACGGCTTCATGAGACGCGAGATTGAGACCCGATTGCTTCACATCTCCCCTTGCGAATTCCTCATTGTCGGAGAACTCTCCAAGGCGACAGATAAGCTCATACAGCACCTCTCCGGCAGTAGCACAAATGTCTTTGGTGACAGGAGTCGTGTGGAACGCGTTCCCAAGGGTAAGACGATGGCTGCGGAGGCCTACTCACACGTAACCCAATTTTATGCCGGGAAAGCCAAAAGCAACGACGAACGTTCGGCGGCCCTCCTTGACAAAGTCTTGAAGCTGCCCGAGCCAGTCACCATCTGTCTGTCGGCCATGATCACCCACCTGACCGAGTACGGCCTGGAGCACATATTTGATCTCACCAAATACTTCCAGTCCTTTAGCTCCCGGCAGCACATGCTGATCAACGGGACTACCCTAGAGAGCCTGGAGGTATACAGAAACGCAACAGACCACTCTGAGAGAGGAAGCCTGCTGTGGGCTCTGGACAAGACCCGGTCTCGCCCCGGTCGAAGACTGCTAAGGAAATGGATAGGCCGTCCGTTACTGGACCGGGACCGATTGGAGGAGCGCGTCTCCGCTGTTGAGGAACTGCTCGAGAATCAATCTACGGTCAAGGTTGACAAACTGGTTGGTATACTCAATTCCACCAAAACGGATCTTGAGCGAAGCCTTATCCGTATCTACTATGGGAAGTGCACTCGGGCCGAGCTCCTCTCGACGCTGCAGACGCTCCAAAGAATTTCTATAGAATTCTCAAGGGTGAAGACGCCAGCAGACACCGGCTTTAAATCACCCCTTATCAGTGAGGCAATCTGCTCGCTGCCAGCCATCGGCAACATCGTAACCTCATACCTCGACAAGATCAATGCAGAGGCGGCGAGGAAAGACGACAAGTACGCCTTCTTCCGTGATGAGGAAGAGACGGAAGACATTACAAACCACAAGCTCGGCATTGCCGCTGTTGAGGCCGACCTAGATGCCCATCGCAAAGACGCCGCCACAAAATTGTCCATGAAAACGCCCGTCTCCTACGTCACCGTGGCTGGTATTGAGTACCTAATTGAAGTCTCGAACACCGACCTCAAGCGGGTCCCGGCGTCGTGGGCGAAAATAAGCGGCACGAAGAAGGTCTCGCGCTTCCATACCCCGGAGGTGATGCGCCTGATCAATGAGCGCGATCAGCACAAGGAAGCCCTTGCTGCCGCCTGCGATGCCGCTTTTGCTTCCCTGCTCCAGTCCATCTCGGCGAACTACCAACCCCTTCGCGACGCAGTCGCATCGCTTGCTACGCTCGACTGCCTTCTGTCCTTCGCGGAAGTCGCTTCTCTCCCCGGCTACACCAAACCAACCTTTCTCCCATCGCTCTCAACACCCCCCACAATCTCAATCACCGAAGGCCGCCACCCAATTGCCGAACACACCCTGCCAAACGGCTACATCCCTTTCACCACCTCCCTTTCATCTCCATCACCCTTGGCCCAACTGATAACCGGTCCCAACATGGGCGGCAAATCCAGCTACGTCCGTGCTGTGGCGCTGCTGGTTCTCCTCGCTCAGATCGGATCCTTCGTGCCGGCCACGGCCATGTCCCTGACGCTAGTCGACGCAATCTACACGCGCATGGGAGCGCGCGACAACCTGTTCGCCGGTGAGAGCACCTTCATGGTGGAGGTCTCGGAGACGGCCGCAATCCTGCGCTCCGCCACACCGCGCTCCCTCGTCGTGCTCGACGAGCTCGGCCGCGGCACGAGCACCCACGACGGCGCCGCCATCGCCCACGCGGTGCTCGACTACGTCGTCCGCGAGACCCGCTGCCTGACCCTCTTCATCACCCACTATCAGAGCCTCGCGCGGGTCGCCCAGGGCCTGGGCGACGGGCGCGTGCGCTGCGTGCATATGCGCTTCACTACCACCTCCTCTTCTTCCAAGGCAAGGGCAGATGAACAAGAGACGACAGCAGCCGACGAGGAAATCACCTTCCTATACGAGGTCGCCGAGGGGGTGGCACACAGGTCTTACGGGCTCAACGTGGCGCGGCTGGCGCGCATCCCGCGCCGCGTGCTCGACGTGGCGGCGCACAAGTCGCTCGAGATGGAAGAGGGCGTCAAGGTGCGCCGGCTGCGTGGCGCGGCAAGGCTGCTTTGCGACGTTCTGACAGCGGCGGCTGGCGGCGATGAGGCCAAGCCGTCACCGGCCTCGTCGTCGCCGGCGGATCAGCAGCTGGATCATCTGATCTCAAGTATTGAGCAGTTGTGAGCAGTATGTAATTTTCCTGGTATCAAGGCTTCGCATGAGAATAGGGAGAATCGGGAGGCGCAAAGGTTATATGGTCGTGTATCAATATTATCCCTGAGGCTGGCTAGCACAAGAAAGCACTTCTACACGGTTAGTCATCTCAGCAGAAGGGTGTTAGTAAGGTGACACGGTTTGCTGTTTTGCTTGCTCTGTTCAACAGCTTGCTGGTTACACCGTCATCTGCGGAGCTAATATGGAGAACTACCTGATTTACTTGTCCTCACCAGTATCTGGCATGCACTGTATCCAGCTGCGATGCTAAACCGGCCCCTCGGATGCAGCCATCCTAGACCACGCTTAAATGTACGAAATCTATCCATTCAACAAACACAACACGCCTGGTTGCCTGTGAAGCCTTCCTTGAGGTGAGAGTAGGTATGTCAGTCAAGTCTATAGCAAGCTATCGACCCAGTCTCCATGCTAAATACAACCAAGTAACGGATGACTTTCCCCTGCAGTCCTTGCTAATATCTAGAAGATGGGGTTAATGGATCAAAAGGAAAAAGAAAAGGAAAGACAAAAAAGGGGGCAAGCCCATGCTCTCTAGCTTCGGTAGCGAGCCTTCCAGCGGCACACGAGGCTTCCAACGGGCCCAGACCTTGCAACGATGATGGAGACGGGTCGCAATAGCAAGTGATGCGGCCTATATGTAATCGGGAACCTATAAATCTTGAAGTCAGCATAAGGTCTCTGAATGGCCGTCCTGTTTGTAACAAGACTTACGAGTCTCTCGCTGGAACCATTCGATTTCAAGCGGATTGCGGAGCACAAATGGATTGTTCATTCCATTCTTAGGGTCTGGAGTTCTCGACGTAAAGCAGAAGCTCCAGACAAAATTGTCATGCCGAGCTCATCGTGAGCCTTCCAACGGCCAACCCTTTAGAGCTCGAAATCGTCATCACCGCGGTCGTGGGCCGAGTCCGTACCATAGGATGCGCCGAAAGGGTTGAAATGCATGCTGCCCAGGTTCATTGCGTTACTATGGATGGGATAACCGTAAGGATTGAAAAATCCGTTTCTATTCTGAGCGCAAAGCGGGTTGGCGTTTCCGCCGCCCATTGCATGCTGATGTTGGAAATAGTGGCTAGCCGGGATCGGAGGCTGGTGTGCGAATGAGACTCCTGTGGTCTCTCTCGTAGGGAAGAATGACGTAGACTTGACAGCCTTCGGTGTTGACGACGCCATGGACAGGTTCGGATTCCGAGACTGGAGAGCTGAAGGCCGTCCAAGGTTGAAACTGAATGATGTCAGGAACGAACAACGGTAACAGAAGGAAGTGGCTTCAAACCTGGCTTTCTCCTGAGCCGTCTCTGCCCAACCTACAGGCTATCAGTTTCAAACACATTTCCATGTTCAAGAGGTTTTCATACCGAGGTGAGGATTCGGAGGATCACGGAAGATGTCGTGGGAATCAACGGAATTCTGCGTCTGGATGCTGTCATCGATGTCGACTTGCTCAGAAAGATCATCTTCCGTATGAACCTTCTGCTGGCGCAGCTCATTCCTCCGCGTAATTCTGGCTGAGGACCGTGTCTGGCGTTGTTGCGCCGGGGCCGCCGCGGATCGACGGCGTCTTTTAGGCCTGACGGCGTCGGGCTCTTCCTGAGGCTCCAATGTGCGGTCCTGGAAGGACAAATGATGTCAGAACGGAACATACGAATTCGAATAGGAAAGGCATGGGGCCTGCAAGGGGACGACGAACAGGGCTTCCCTCAATTGAAGGAGTAGCGTAGATATCGCGACTGCGTTGGAACTCGCCAATCTCTGTCCAGACACACTCAGTTGGTTCGATGCCAGACGATATCTCTTCCATCTGTTTCAGGACAGAATCATCCTTCCGTTGATTGCGCCTCTTTTTCTGATCCTCGTCCGCGGCGTCGAACAGACCCATGCCCGGATATCTGATACCCTTCAGTTTGCTGGTGTCATTTTCGTTTTCGTCTTCGGGAGGATCGGTTACTTCAGAAGGCAAGCTAGTTAGCTCAGACGCAGGGGCGCTCTCCGCGGTCTCGGCCTCGGAAGGCAATCGCCCGTAATGCAGATGCAACGGGTTCTCATGTGGGTTGGGAGATGAAGCGTCCGACCGAGATCGCTTCAAATTCGGGGTCTGATAGCTTGAGTCATCCAAGTATCCTTGGCGCCCGTTGTATGATGGGATTGAAGCTGGGGGCCATGGAGCTAACATAAGAGGCGGTTCGGATGGCTCAAAATTGTCTTCGGGTTCCGCCTTAATTGAGTCGTCCTGTTTTCCGTCCGCACTGGTTTCTCGCTTGATACCCTGTGCGATCTTCAGTTCAGTACACGTCCTCAGTGCTAGATGGTTCATGGCTATAACTCACAGCTGTGGTTGCAGACCGGCCTCTTCTGCCTGACTTCTTTTGGTCCTTTGCAATTATGCGCTCGGCGAGAAGACTATCAATGTCGTACCGGTGGTACCAGTCATTGTACTGGCGAAAATTCTCATAGGCTTCTCTATCGTTCTTTGACCTCAACTCAACCTTGAACTTGTGGGACAGATGACTTTTGGAAGCCATGTGGGTGAGAAGGTGAGACAGGTCAGAAAAATTGGGCTTCGTCGGGCACAGGGTGCATCGAAGAGGGATAGGGCTTTGATCGCCTTTCGCGACCAATTCCATTGGGGTAACTGCAGCCATAATCTGGCAGGCAGAGTCAACATTGCGACCGTGACTGATAGAGCAACGATCATTGCGTCAGTGCCGATGGACTGAAACTCACGGATGAGAGGCCGGATGCTTGGGCAATCAATAGGCCTTATGAATCAAATGCTTCCGAGAAAGGATAAGGCTGACTGCAGGAGCGGATTGATGCCACTGGGGAGGTGTAAGACTGAGAAGGGCAGGAGAGACTTAGAATCCAGGTACAAGAGGATCTGGTGTTTTGGATGCCTTGACCGTCGCAGGAGGCAATGAGATGCTGATGGCTCGAGATACTAGAATTCCGAAACCTGCATGACAGTCCGGAACTCTATCTTGCATGGATTGACAACGAGACCAAATGAATGCCTCATACCAAGAGTGACGGACGCGTCGTCACTGGGATTCTCACGAAGGCACGGTACTGAAGACCACCCTCGAGGACCACAGTGATGCAGGCGCACCGTTCGTCTGAAATTTGCCACGCGGGAAGAGGAAGCGACGATAGGAAAAGAAATGATGAGAGGGAAAAAGGCGATGAAAATGAGAAGGGACGACAGGCCACGCGTGGCAGCGTGGTTGATGGGACGGAGGAAGCAAGAACGACCAACTTTGGAGGTATTTGAAAATTCGTTTTGCTGTGTGCCACTAGCATCAAACCATGACTTGATGGAAGGTTTGGTGCCTGGACCAGAACTTGGTTAGAAACCTGGAGAAGGAAGGAGCTGCCGCACCTTGCTCATTATGTGGGCATATGATAGAAAGAGCAAAGCAAGAAAAACGAGGGGCAACGGAAAGGCTTGGAATAGCACCAATCATGAGATGGTAGTCTTAGATATCATCTTCTACCTCTTAGATCTGCCGTGAACTCCAGAACAAGGCGTACTAGCCATGCACAGACAGAGAGAAGAGAAGCGGCCGGGATCCCATATCTCCGATGGTCCTTCTCCATGCTGCTACGCGTTTTATCTATCATTTATCCCCTTGGGTATCCATGTGTTAGGTGAGCACCTTATATACTAATACTATGAGAGAGGAGCCGTACACACTAACAGCGAGGTGAGGTTGGATGCCAGAATGGCTATTGCTAGGTTGAAGAGGGCTGAGCTCATAGACGTGGAGGTCAGCATGAGCAACATCAATAACTAATGAAGCAACGTGACAATGGGCAAGAACGAGGACTTGAGCTTAATGTCCTTTGAAGAAAGCATCTTCCATGAGTGCTTAAAATGGAGTCCTCCAGGCTACTCTGTTGCCAAGACTGCAATAACCAGTGTTTTTGGAATCCCTTTGAATAATCATGGGCTTGACATATCATGGTGAGATTAGATCAGTGTTGTATGTACTCTTGCAGCAACACGTAGGATACCGTCTGGATTGTATTGGGCTTTGACCAGCCGCTTCGGTGGTGGATTGAGAGACACTGGCATTCTTGGAGCATTCTCAACTTCGACTTGACTAGGCCCTACTTGACTCGCTATCCGCAACGCCGTAGACTGTGAGGACTACTTGCATGTCTGGAGACAGGTTATATAGTTGCCTATAATTTGAAGAATTCTCTGATCGTGCCCTTAGATAGGATGGAGGCATCAAGGGAGTCGCAATAAAACCTACTACATAGTCAAGCGCCATTATTACTGGTCCCCTCTCAGGAGGATGGGCAGGCATATCTAGCTACCTACCTCGGTATCATGGTGACTTGGTGTAGATAAGGGTGCAAAAGCGAGCCTAGAAGTCCTTTCATTTTGATGTCAATATCTAAATGAGTGCCGTGATCATTTGTTGAATGTTACTTGGTGCCAGTAGTCTATTGCGAACCCCTTCCCCCTTTAAGGCTCTGCATATGCGGCAGCCAGAAGCCTCCGAAGGGAGAAGACAATGTTTCCACCAATTCTAAGCCAGCTTGCAAAGAAAATGCTAGCAACAAGTAAAGAAATGGAGGCGAGTTTATTTTCTCTTGCCTTGTATCCTATCCAACATGGAGGGTGGTGTTGGGAGGTTATTAGATTGCAAGAGATAAAATGCAATCGAGGTCACATCATTTTTGCAAGGAGCAAACTGGTGCAGATGTCAGATGCCCCAGGTTCACCAGGAAGAAGTTGATTGCTGTTCATCGGCCCAATACCCGCGCGATGGTGGATTTGGGCATGCAGTAAACCTCGTCCACAGGCTGTAACCCGGGGTACTGCAGTAAGCTGAGCCCAGCAAGACCAAAGACTGTATGCCAAACATCGACCATGTCACCAGGCCTGTCTGAGATGCCTCCTCGCTCGGGGTCCTGGCATCTGAGTATGAAGGCTATCAGCTGGTCTTTGTCGATCCAGTGAGTCTTGCCGATCATCTCCAGACTGCTGAGGACCCACCAGCTGTAGCAGACGTCCTCTTTTTTCTCTGGCCGACCGTTGAGACCGCCTCCGGCAATTTGTCTCTCGCTGAGCCACCTTCCAAGTCTCTCCTTATCCACGAGGTCTTGCCTGCCGGCGATTGTCAAGGCTGCCACGCAGGTGAATATCTGACCAGCGTGGGACTCAGCCCCAGGGCTCACTCCGTATCCGCCGTCAAAGTTGGCGCATGCCGCAATATGATCAACTGCCTTGTCGACATCAACGAGGTGAAGGAGCCCAAGGAGCGAGAGCGCGTTGAACGCGCCATAAAGGAACCGCGTGTCTTCCTCCCCCCACTCATCGCCGGCAAAAGTGCCAGTCTGGCGGTTCTGAAGATTGGCAATATCTGCGCCAATGGGTTAGCGAGCATGCGTCTCGTGTATCGACGCGGAAGCCTGGTACGACGCACATTTGCCCACTTGCGCCTTGCCCTTTCCGCGCGACTCTAGCTCGTCGAAGGCGTCAACCATGGCGAGAATCTGCACCGCACTGACGGTGGAGAGCATGTGCGCGTCATGGCCGGGTGCGGCGCCAAAACCGCCACTTTCATGTTGACATGATAGCACAAAGTCGATGGTCTCGGTGCGGGGCAGCGCTTCGGGATGGCCGAGCAGGTGGAGGGCAGTCAAGCCCCAGTAGAGTCCGTTAAGTCGCAGGTGCTCCGTCAGCCAATAGTCATACTCGTCCTTTCTCGTGTCCAGGCTTTGGATGTATTTGACATGAGCTGATGTGGCCAGCTGAAGCTCCTCGGGCAGCTGCTTGAATTTGGCAGCCATGGTCTGTGTGATTTATGGGAGAAATGCTGGGAAACAGGAATGACGTCCAAACAAGCTATGAGCTTGGCTTACATAATCGCGAGGTTTCGCCGAGACTGCCGCCCGGGCCAATCTGGTTCGATTTAGCAATTCTCCATTTCATCTCAACTGTTCTCGATCTTTGTCGCGCACATGGCTTACACGAGACCTCCCGATCCTCCCGATCCTCTCGATCCTCCCTCCTCGCAGGCTAGAACACGTCCAAGGAATTGATTGGTTGTCCTCTGCACGATCACGTCCTCTGGGGATGGCTCGTTGCCGCGACCCACAGGTACCTCGTCAAATTGTTTCGGGAATTGGGCATCGTGATCTGCACCGCTCTCCGTTGTAAGCTCCTTCAGAGTCCCATACTACATACAATTTTGGAACGGCGATGCATGCTTGCAATCTACATTGCAATGAGAATCACCTTGCCGCAATATAAAAGCCCATCGCGGGCTTTGAGGTGCGATCTTCACCTGAGGCTACATCCGTGGTATGGATACCTGCCACATCACTGTCGTGGTTCACCCTGAAACATGGCGCTGCTGTGGAACACCGAAGGTTTACGTGGTTCCCACCCTCCTAGTGATGATAATGGCACACTACCAGCCTACGCAGCACCCTCCCGCTTTAGGAGGTTCATCAATTCCACAGCTTCCTTCATATGCTTCTCCATGTCAAGATCCAAGATGAAGTCCCACCTGCGCAGCAAGGTTCCCGGTTCCTTGACATATACATCGGCTTCATCACCGAGACCAGTCAGAATGGCGCCCGTGCAGCGACTCGACTCAACAATGCGCTGCGTGCGCGGGCGACGAACTTGATCGTAAACCTTAAGAGCCAACCGGGCGTCGAGGGGAGTCGTTGCTTGGCCTAGCAGTGCAGATAGCACAAGACTGTCCTCGAGGGACATGCCGGCCCCGGAGCCCTGCCAAGGCGTGGTGGCGTGGGCAGCGTCGCCCATGATGCAGATTGGTCCTGAGACGTAGGTTCGGGCTGGGAGGTGGTGCTCCCACAGATACATGGCTGGTTGTTCTGGTTGCTGGCACAGCAGCTGGGGGTTCTGCCCGTTAGCAGCTTGACAGCATATGACGAAGCATAGGACACCATACCGAGTCAACCGCCTTGGCAAGATGCGACGGCCAGTCCTGATAGAGCTTCCTGATTTCGTTTCCACTCACGGACCTAGCCCAGTCGTCGGACCCTTCGGCTTCTTTTTCCCTGGCAGCAATGACGAGCTGCACCAGCTGGCCGTTGCTGAGCAAGTTGTGCATGAGAAAGGACCCGCGGCCGATCCACGAGTGCTCGTATGGGTGTTCAAAGCTGACAGCGTCCTTGCCGATGCTAGCCTGGGCTGCCGCGTACGGCTGGAGCGTCATGGTGGTCCACACACCCGTGTTTCGCGGGGAGGCTGCCGGGTCGTCCTCGCCCAGCACGAGCTTCCGGACCATGCTATGGATGCCGTCGGCACCAACCAGGATGTCGCAGTCGTGGCTGGTGCCGTCGGTGAAATACAAGGTTATGGATTGGTCGTTGGCCTCCTCAACCCTGTCGAGCTTTTTGGAAGCGTGCATGCGCTCCCGGGGAACGTTGGCTAGTAGCTCGCGCAAAAAGTCGGCACGATGCACGATGCTCGTAAGCCGCCTATTTCCCGAGGTCGTGTAATCAACCTCATCGACCACACTGCCTTGCCTGTCCCCCTCGGCCAACAAGAAACGCACGCCACGCATGGCAACGGCTCCGGCACGCTCAAGGCACCGAGTGGCGGTGGGACCTATGAGATCGAGAGCGGCTAGTGCATTGCGACTCACTCCGATGGCCATACCGGCTTCCTTGAACTCGGCGCTGGACTCAAAGATGTGTACGTCGATGTGCGAGTGTTGGAGCAGAGCATGGATGAGGGATGCCCCTGCGAGGCCGCCGCCAGAGATGGCGACCCGGATGGGCCGGACGTCAGCCATGATGAGATATCTGTCTCGAGGATCTCTGAAGTCTGAACGGGTAGAAAGTTTGCACAGAGCGTATTTGGGACGGTCTAACTAGCTACTGATGGTGTATGCAGTTGGACAGACATCAGCCTAGCTACCCAGCCGGGTTCCAGACGGCGTGGCACTGGATACATATGTAGGAGTCAGACGTTGGGGTTGGCATCCAGTCAACTACCCGATAGTGCCCCTTGAAATACGTACGAAGGAAGAGCCAGCGGGTACAACCCGGCATTCAATACCAACCAACAGGCACCCACCACAAACCAGCATCAGCATCCTAATCCTACCCTGACGAATATCCGATACCTAAGGGGTAATACTAATCGCAGACTGCAATCGAGTTGTAAGCCGAAACTCAGGGCGTATGGACGCTGTACTGTACAGGCTTGGACTACGAGTATGGAGGCTGGACTGGTACTGAATCTCAGAGTACTAGGGAGGAGTATTGGATATTGAACGTGGCATACGCACTCAATGCGGACTTTTAGGTATTTGTACTTGTACATTCCTTGCTACAGTAAGTCGGGCATTCGTATTGAGACAAGTTTTGTCGACAATGACCAGCATTCAGTTATGATGAAGAGTGATCTGGAATATCTTGATAGTGGCCCCTGAGCGACAACGAAGAAGGAGCGAACCGGTCGATGCACTTTCGCTATGACTTCCAGGTTACGATGTAATGAGAATTATGGGATACCCCCTCCTCTATACAGCGTATACGACCCGTATACTACCCATGTGGGTTCGCATGAACGAAGGTGCCGAGTCTCGGGCGCTCTCAAATCTCGATGTCGTTACACAAAGCAGGACGAGCACTGGGGCCAAACCTCAGGTACAATGCCTCGAATGCCTAACTAATACATACCTAGGTACTCCGTACATCGAATCAATGTCAGAGGCGAGCTGCTATCCTCCTCGGCGATGCTCGTCCGTTTGTGCCTTTGCGACCCCTCTCATTTTCTAACTCGAATTAGCCGATTGCAACACCTTTTAGCGCCGGCGCATTCCATTCCCCTGACTAGAAACGTCAGCTGTCTTTCAACCGCCTGTCACTGTCATCGTGGCGCTCCCTTGCTTTGCCCTGATTTTCGACCTGAGCGTCTAAGGGGGTATGTATGAATGTTCATACTCTCTGAATGCAACGTGTGTACGAGTCGAGGCTGGCTGGGCTAGGCCCGGCTTTGTGACAAAGCGCCCCCTGACGGGCGGATCGTTGCACGCGACAGTCCTTTGTGCGATTTGTTTCAGGAAGTCCTGGGCTCCTCCGATCTGGGCTTCCATATGCTGGATACCAAAACCAATCGCCTGAGCGAGCGGCCCACCCAGTCGTCGATGGCAGGGAGTTCCTCCATTTCCTCTCAGCACTTGCACCCTCGCCTGCGCAACAGGCTTCTAGAGGTTTGAGCAGCGCGAGGTCCTCTACAGGTAAGACCCTACTGACATCACACAACACAAGATTACCGGGTAGTATTTGCCCTAACGTAGATGTACCAAGGTGAGGGCGGAGGTACGAAGGACATACTCTTTGGGCAACGAATCAGCATCGCGGATTCCAGCGCGCAAAGTGGCGCTTGGCACGCAAACCTGTGGGGCCTGGGACCCCTGGGTCGTTGGGCGGTGTGTCCCTTGTCCATGTCAGTGTCAGGTCCCGTTGATTTGCGCAGCACGTCCCTCATCAGGGCAGGCTTGTCGCTTGTCGGCTTGTCCCTTTTGTCTTGTCCTGCGGCTCAGGGCACTGCATCGCTCTCAGAGCCCCTCCAAGCACTCCGTCGTGCCTCCCGTGGCTGGGAAAGGGCGTTCATTTGTCGCAGACGGCAATCCGCCTATTTCCATTCCTACCCCGTAAGATCCAACCAATACACTGTATTGCTGCTGTGCGCGCGCAACGGCCGCAGCTGGCAGGACCCTCTCTTTTTGCGGCAAAGCAGCTGGCGCGTCTGGCAACCTGAAGTTTGGAACCAGGCAGGAATGGCCCGTAAACCAGTCCCACAGCCGCTCACCCTGGGGAGTCCGAGCCGACCCAGCGACGACCCTCATGGTGGTGGAACGCCAGTCCCAAATCCAAATTCAGCAAGCCTGCCATCAGCTACCGCCTCTCCAGCATCGCCCCGATCCCCGCGCTCGCCTTTCCGGTTCGGCCAGAAAAAGCCAGATAACTCTGGAGAACCTCTGCAGCTTGCCGAGGTACTGAGCCAGCCTCAGTCTGCGCAACTGCCGCAACAGCAGCAACAGCAGGGACGGAAGCAACAGCAGCAGGTAGAACGCAGTGCCGCTCCCGATCCGCTGCCCTCGCCAAGCGGTCGGCCTGGGGACCAACAGCAGCTGGGCCACAGACATCCGAGGCACGACGGAGACAAGGCCTCAAAATCGGGCTTCCGTTTTAACTTTGGAAAAGCGGCCAAGTCTTCCGACAGACCGGTCGCTTACCAACAGTCGGAATCGCTCACTGAAACCATGTCGAGAGACTCAGAGCACCCGAATCTCTCCAAACAAAGCACCAAACACTCAGGTACGCAATGTTGCGCATCCCATATACTAAAACACCCCGCCGCTGTCTGCCCCGCCCCGCGCCGCGATACGCACTTTTATCGCAGGTTCTGGTCTCAAGTTCTCACTGACCGTCACCACACCTGCCGACATGCAGACTCGTCCCATCAAGATACGGCACCCCCAAAGCCGAACACACCTCTGCCATCCAGGTCCGAAGTGTCGCTCGCCTCGTCCGCTGACTGCGAGAACTCGGCCAATTCCACGAACCCCTCAAAACGATCTAAGCCGAAACCTTTTACCTTATTAAGCCGTACAAGATCGATCAAGGATAAGGATAGCAAAGACAGTCCGAGCCCTAAGGAACAGGTACCGGCGCCGGCCAAAGCCGTTGAGGTAGAGAGGCCGTACACGTCGGCGCAAGCACCGCTGAAGACTGCACCACTTCAACCACACGATCGTTCGTTTAGGGAAATGATGTCCTCGGCGGTTCGGAATCACTCCGCGGAGCGCTCCCAACCGAGGGACGTTCGCGGGAGGACAAGGGACCAGGATAGTCACCACAGGGGTCTGCCATCTTCGCTCAGGGAAGCCAGCGGCTCGGCATTCTTCAGCAACCTCAAACACAGCAGGGCGGCCGGCATCTTGAGCAATCGCTTCTTTGGCGGGGGTGCAAGGCATGAGAATTCTGCGCCAAAGGAGCCGGTGGTGGACGATGAACATTATGTTCTCAAGGTCATCAACTTACCGCTAATTGAGCAAACGCGCCTTACCCGGATATCGAAAAGGTTGGAGGATTCCCGCGATAAGACCGAGTTCTGGATGCCCGCCTTCCCTTGGAGGGCGATTGACTACCTCAATTACAAAGGAAGCGACGTAGAGGGACTGTATCGGGTCCCAGGAAGTGGACCACAGATCAAGAAGTGGCAGAGGAAGTTCGACGAAGGTGTGTTTTTGCCTCACAATCAAGGTCCTAGTTGGCGCGTCCTAGGTTGCTGACACAGCCCCTGCAGAGCTAGATGTGGATCTGTTTGAACAGCCTGATCTCTACGATATCAATATTGTCGGCTCCATGCTGAAGGCGTGGTTGCGCGAGCTCCCGGACGAAATCTTCCCCAAAGAGGCGCAAGAGCGGATTGCAAGGGAGTGCGCGGGAGCGGAGAAGGTCCCCCAAATGCTCATCGACGAGCTTTCGAACCTTCCGCCCTTTAATTACTACCTCCTCTTTGCCATCACCTGCCACCTGAGTCTTCTCCTTGCACATCAGGAGAAGAATAAGATGGACTTCCGCAATCTATGCATATGCTTCCAGCCATGCATGAAGATTGACGTCTTCTGCTTCAAATTCCTGGTCTGCGACTGGCGGGAATGCTGGAAGGGGTGCAAAAACGAGGCCAAGTACATCGAGGAGGAATATGCGCTCTTTGACCAACCGCCACCGAAAGCAGCCGTCGATCCGAGTAAGAACGGCGCCATAGGCGATGAGGAAAGGCAGGAAGAACGCAAGGTCTCCTCGTCGGACAGCAGCAAGAGCTCCAGCCGCGGCGGGACCGACCAAAAAGGTCGTTTCAAGAAGAAAGCACTCCCTGAAAGCGAGAATGGCGAAACTGGCTCGGTGGTGTCGACGACCCTTACAGTTAGCAGCGAGCGTGAGACGGCACCGAGGAGATCTGGCGACCTACGGCCCCTCTCACCTATCAAGCCTCTATCGCCTCTCAATTTCTAAGCATGCCTTGTTCCTACAGGTTTTATTTCTATAGTCATGGTAATAGCGAGGCATGCGTTGTGTACATGAAAGCATCAATCATCACCTTGACGACTTGACGCCATTGACGACTCTTTTGCCGCGGCCGCTTGCTTATCATGCGGATACTGCTCCAGATCTTCTTTCGCGGTTTTGTCACTTTGTACCTATCCGATTGGGCATACACGAAGGGGGCTGGCCCTGAACCTCGTTTTCCTCTTCTTCGTTTCTCTACACTGATCGGTCAAACGCTAGCCCGATTCTGTGCCTTTGTTTTCCTTCGCCCCTTCCCCCCATAACGCATTTTCCCTTCCTCTTTCTTTCTTTTGTCTGGTTCGTTTTTATGGAAATACCCAGCCAATCTTCGACACGCCTTGTCGCCCTGAAAACCGGGACTTTCCCATTTTTTTTTTTGGCAAATATTTTCATTCCTGGTTTTCTTGTGAGTCGCCGATATCATCGCTGGGCACGTGCCAATGAGGTGGGCACAGAGATCCGTGTTGAGTATCTCGCAAGACAATGAGGTGGGCACAGAGATCCGTGTTGAGTATCTCGCAAGATATTCCGGGCTTGTGTGGACAGACGACTTTGGCTCCCTGCCTGGGTAGGGCGTGAAAGAAAGTTGTAGGAAATTGGAGCGAATGCAGAAGAGAGCAACTGGAAGGTTTGAAGTGGTTCTTACTGTCCTTGTTTTCTATGCTCGGTTTGGGACATCCAATTCAATCGAAGGAAGCTTGGGTGAATGCGGGATCAAGAAGCCCAACTGAGCAGGGGGTGGATATCTATTCGGCCGGGACAACAAGGGGGTACTGTAAAATAGCAGATTCGGTGTTACGGCACATGAGATGGGTGGGTGTTCCGACGGCACCTCAAGTTTTCTGCCCGTGCTCCCATGAGACATCTTCTCCTGCCAAGGTGAGGGAACCAACTGCTCATAAGCGCAGGAGCTTCTTATGAATTTGCTCAAAGACACACCACGGATTTGGATTCTACCCTATCACACCTGCCTCCTGAACGCCGGGTACAGAAGCCATAATTAACCCTGAACACAAACGCCGTTGTTGATGCAATGATACATCCGGAGAAGAACAGAAACGACAATTGATCCTCCATCTCAGCACGAAAGACCCACAAGGAGAAAACCTCACTTCCTTCCCTCAGCATTCCTCAAATTCCTCCGCATCCTCCGTTCATTCCGCTTCACCCTCTCCCGTATCTCCCTTCGCTTGTCCCCCCGCACACTGGTCCCTTCCTTCCTCTCGGCCTCCTTCTTGGCGCTCACCTCAATGATGGCGTCGTCCTGCCCGGCCTTGTTGGCGCCCTTGTACCCCCACTTGCGCTCCCACTCGCCCGTGGCCTCGTTGTACTGCAGGTTGCGCCGCTGCTCGCGCGTCTTGGGCTTGATGCCGCGACGCTTGGCGAAGGCGGACCATTTTGTTTCCGGTTTGGGTGTGGGTACGGGCTTCTCCCGCGGAAGTGGGGTTTGTACGGGTGGTAAGGTCAGGAGAACCCCCTGGGGTGTTGAGGAGATGGGTAAGGTGGTGAGGAGTTGGTTGATGAGCACCTGCGCGCCGTCCCGGGCGACGGAGGCGAGGTGTGATTCGAGAGCGGACGGGTCGCTGGATTTTGGTAGTGCGACTGGGTTGGGATCGTTAGCTAGGAGCAGGCCTAGGTCGAAGGTGTATGGCGTGGGCTTGTCGACTGTAACGGGCAGTTTGGGCGGTTTTTGTGTTGTGGTTGTCGACATTGTGTCTTCGGTTGGTTTCCCCTCTTGTGATACTTGGCGGCGACTGGGTTGTCTGGTAACCTTTGTACCTCGTGATGCTTCTTGCTCTCTGATTACTGCACAAATACTGCACAAAGCTGTCTGCGATTGAGGTGCGGGATGTCGATATGAATTACTGATTTGCAAAGCGCTGAAAATTTGGGCGGTGAGGAGCTGCAGATCCAGTTTGGCAGGGGTCTGTCGCGGGGTCCTAAACTTTTTCTGGCAATCTGTGGGATCACCTGGGTGTGGATGAACTGCTTGGCAGGGCCCGTGCTCGAGATCTTTCAACGCGCGCCGTCCGATTTTGTCTCGGGAGTTTCCAGACTCCAAAGATTTTGACGGTTTTGACCTGCTCCAGCCGGCGGCCATTGGCGACTCGGACGCCGCCCCAAGATGCAATAGAAGCCACCGCCGCCGACACAGACAACACGAGACACTCGGGCACATCATGTCGGCCTCCAAGTGCTTGAGGTGCCTCGTGCGGCCCTCGCCGACGACGCTTCCAGTTTCGGTTCCCCAGCATGTGCCCAAGAACATCGCGCCCTTTTCGACAACGGGCGCCAAAGCCGGTCAAAACCCGAAGCCTGCGCCCTCGGTGCCTAAGAACCCCAACGCCCTGCAGCCCTACCGATCTGGAAAGAAGATGACGCTCAGCAAGTTCAAGAAGAACAAGGTTATTGATCGGGGCAAAGCCCCGCTGCCTGGCGAGCGGAAGGCGTGGCGCAAGCGGATCAGCCTTAGCAACGACAATGCCCTTCCGGTACCGTGGCTGACCCAAATGCGCCCAGGGGACATGGCCGACTCCGGGAACGTTGCCAAGGTTTTCTCTCTACCAGCGGGCCTGCAAGACCAGCTGCGCGCCTGTGAGGCCTTCAAACCGACACAAAGCTGGAATATGTTCAGGACACCCTCAGTGTTGGTGCGGAACGAGACTGTCGACGTGATGGGCCGGATGCAGCAAGCGGCTGGCGAGAATAAAACAGCAAGGCTCGTGCTCACGGGCGACAAGTTCACGGGGAAAAGCCTGATGCTTCTCCAAGCTATGGCGCATGCTTACCTCAACGAGTGGATTGTGATCCATGTTCCAGATGGTGAGATGGGTGTTCCCTAGCATAGTCGGCTTTAGGTGCTGATACCTTTTGCAGCCCAGGAATTAACCACGGCAAGCACCGAATATGCGCCCATCCCGGGCACCGACCCGGTTCAGTACATGCAACCAAACTACGTGCTCAAGCTCATTCAGAACTTCAGGAAGGCCAATGAAGCCGTCCTCTCCAAGACGTACACTGCCACCGCGCACCCCGAGCTCCCGCAAAACATCACCGTCAACACCCCGCTCCTCAATCTCTGCCAAACGGCCAAAGAACCCGAAGGCGCCTGGGTCGTCTTTCGCGCACTGTGGAACGAGCTGATGGCCAAGAATGTCCCGCGGCCGCCCATCCTCTTCACGCTCGACGGCCTCGCGCACATCATGAAGATGTCCGACTACCGCTCGCCGAGCTTCGAGCTGATCCACTCGCACGACCTGGCCTTTGTGCGCCACTTCACCGAGCTGCTGGCCGGCAACACGAGCTTCCCGGGCGGCGGCGCCGTCATCGCGGCCACGAGCCGCAGCAACGCGCCGCGCGTGCCCAGCATGGAGCTCGTCCTGGCCCAGCGCGAGGCCGAGCAGGCCCCGCGCGGAGCCGCTGAGGTTCCCCAGCCCGATCCCTTTTTCCGTGGCTACGACAAGCGCGTCGAGTCGGTCCTGCGCTCTGTCGACGTCGTCCGCGTCAACGGCGCGAGCAAGCCCGAGGCGCGCTCGCTCATGGAGTACTGGGCCGCGAGCGGCCTGCTCCGCGACACGGTGGACGAGAAGCTGGTTACCGAGAAGTGGGCGCTCGGCGGCAACGGCGTGCTCGGCGAGATGGAACGCGCCGCGCTCATGACCATGAGGATTTGAGGCTGACCGGGGGTTGGGTAGCTTGTGTAAGGTAACAAGGCGGGCGGTCTGTGTAATCTATAGATAAAGTGGCTACAACTGTAAGCCTGTATTATACATAGAGATTGGATTGTTGCGCTGCCCGGTGCAAGTGGAAATCTGAGCGCGGTATTCTCCTGGTTTGCGGGCTGCACAGTCAAAATCGGGGAATTAAATTGGGGAATTAAATTGGAGAATTAAAACTAGAGTATCAGGGCAAAGGCGGCGACATGTTGACCACGGGACGCCGAGCAAAGGGGACTTCTCTCACAAATCATCAATGGCTATCCCTAGCTTCTACAGCACCCTTCTCCAACCGATGAACCGTCCAGTACCTTGAGCAGACACCTGATTTAAACGCCTACAGTACGCCAAAAAGACACAAGACAATTAAACGAGGACTCGATCATTCCCACATTCACAGCTCCTGGCTCTCCTCCCTGTCGCCATTGCCAGAAGTAATGAACACCAGGCGAGTGCCGTTTCCAGCCGTTTGCCAGACCTACAATGACCGGAATTAGCAGATGTCAAATGGATAAAACACAAGGAATAAAGTTAAACTCACATCCAACTCAGTATACTCCTCCAGCGCAGCCAACCACTGGTTCTCAGTAAACCCCTTGGCAATGACGCGCTCCTTGACCTTGCGCAAGCTCAGCTCGATGCCAAACTCCTCATCGTCACCGTCCACGTCATCATCATCAGGCCTGCACGCCCCCGAGTCGGCCAGGCCCTTGACTAGGTTATAAATCTTACTGCTAGCATTAAGAGCCCGTCTGCCGGCGCCGGACCGGCTGTCGTCCTGCACCAGGCTCTCCTTGCTGGCCTCGACCAGGCGCAGCGCCTCGTCGACATCCTCCTGCGTCACCACGTTGCTGAAGCGCAGCCTGGCCAGCGCCTGGGAGAGGCGCACGACGCCGAGCAGCGTCCGCAGGGTGGTCTGGCCGAAATTGTTGTTCGCTCCGCTGACATTGCCCCCCTTCTTTTCGGCGCGCTTCTGCTGGTTGCGCATGCGCACGTACGTCTTGACCATGTACTCGGACACGGCCTGGGGCACGACGGGGCGGTAGGTGCGGGCCTGGGCGACGTAGGCGCGGACCTCCTGCGGGGAGAAGACGACGCCGTCGGCGGTGCCCAGGTCCGGGTGGCGGCTGTGCATGTGGACGTGGGCGACGTGCTTGGCGAGCTGGGCGTCCGTCTCGCGAGTGGGCGTGTCGAGGAGGAGGAACATGACGTCGAAGCGCGAGAGCAGGGCGGCGGGGAGGTTGATGTTCTCGACGGCCGACAGGCGCGTGTTGTAGCGGCCGTAGAGCGGGTTGGCGGCGGCCAGGATCGAGGTGCGCGCGTTGAGCGTGGTGCTGATGCCCGCCTTGGAGATGGAGATGGTCTGCTGCTCCATGACCTCGTGGATGGCGGTGCGGTCGTTGTCGTCCATCTTGTCGAATTCGTCGATGCAGCAGATGCCGTTGTCGGCGAGGACCAGCGCGCCGCCTTCGAGCACCATCTCGTCGGTGACTGGGTCGCGCATGACGGCGGCTGTGAGACCGACGCCGCTGCTACCCCGGCCCGAGGTGTAGACGCCGCGCGGGGCGACTTTGGAAATGTACTTGAGCAATTGCGACTTGGCTACACCGGGGTCACCCATCAGGCAGATGTTGATGTCGCCGCGGATTCTCATGCCGTCGCCCACCTCCTTGGTAACACCGCCTACCAGGAGTAGAAGGAGCGCCTTCTTGACGTCTAGGTGGCCGTAAATTTCGGGGGCAATCGATTTGGCCAGATACTCGTACTGGTTGCCTGACTGCGTGAACTTGATGATCCTCCGTGCCATGACCGGGTCTATCTCCATATCCTCGTACGCCTTTTTGTGCTGGGTAATGTGGTGGGCCTCGAGATACGTGTCGGTCAGGAGGCCGGCACGCATGGCTTTGAAGCGCGTGTAAGGGGTGGGAAGGAAGATGCCGGCGATATCAACAATGTCACCCGGGTGGGCCTGTCTGGTGAGACTGCCGTAGCAGAGGACGGTCAGAGTCCTAGGGATCTGGCCGATCGGCACCTGTTCTGCAAGCTCCTGAATCTTGACTTCTTGGAACGGCAGGAACTTTGACGCCCTCGATGACGGGTACAGCTGTCCCTTAGCCTGGTTCTCCTGGCAGTCTTTGGACACGCACACGGTAAGAGGGCCGTATTGCTTGTCGGTGACGGGCTGAAAGATTTCGCAGCCGCAGCGGTCGCAGGTGTAGGCGCTGACCTGGACGATGGGCTTGACGTCGGAAACCCTCGTTACAATGCCGCGGATGGTGATGAGGTGGCCAAGGTGGTCGCCGCGCACCTGGCGGACGGAGAGCGCCTTGACAGGTGCATCAGGCGTCGAGGTCCTGGGCTTGAATACTAGCGTGTATCGCCGGGTCAGCTGTGCCGGGTACTGATCATTCAAGACGGTAGGGTCCGATATCCTGTCCGCGATATCTTCCAGTAACCTGTTGCGCTTCTGCCGGTTCGCCATGAGAACGTCGAGCACATCGTCTTTGAACGTGATGCCCTCACTCGGCGGGGGCATGAGCTTGTCAACAGCCCTGGAGAGGATCTCAACGTAGTGCTTAGTGTTCTTCTCAACCGACTCGACAAGCTTGAGCCCCTCGTTCACGTCCTGCTCGTACTATCAGGTTGTCAGTACTGGCCCAAGACTCGGGGCTTGATTGGCCTGGACGCACAGCGTAAAGATCATCGAGCTCAATCGTAACCTCATCGATCTTCCTGTCGGCGAGCTCCTGCAGCATGTCTTTGTATTTGTGGTGGGGCGCCCGCCTGCGGGCCTTGTCCCTCTGGCGCTGCTGCCGCGCATTCTCATCCTCGTCCACAAAGTCATAGTCGTCGCTGAGGTCGTCTTCGTCAATATTGATGTTGCCCAATGCGTGTGTGATGGTCTGCTCGGGCGAAGTCTTGAAGTCGGACAAAAAGGCCTCGAAAGCGGCTACTCCAGTCAGCCGTGCCCTACTATGCAGACCTGGCTGATTTCTTCTTTTTCTCTAAACATACCCTGTTGCGCCTGGTAATCCACGGGCGCTCGTAGTTGCAAGAGCGCCATGGCTGCAGGTATGGTCTGCTATTATTCTCTGCGCGGAATTGACAGCTACTTCTGAGCCCGTAGTGTGGCGGATATGGTTACGACGGATCGAATTGCTAAGTGGGAGGTTTGCGATAAGAAAGCATAGGAAGACACTGTGGTTGTGGAAGCAGGAGGCTGGGTTTAGCGGGTGGACAGGGGGACGCGTCCAGGCATTTTGACGCGACTTTTTCACCGCGTCTTGCTGCAAGGGTTCTAATTAAACAACCTTCCGCGCAGCTGAGATCAGTTGGCTGAGTTTAGTGGAGACCTCCGCTAAACGCTGGGTCCATCTCCTGGCATCGGCCCCACTGCCGTTCCCTTGGCGCAGGCCCAATCCCGCATGGTCGAGTTCCCGTGCATGCCTCGGCACATGTAAATTGCCGGCAAGCGGCTTCCTGCGAAGCAAGTGACGCGCCCCTCCTACCTCCTTAGACGGACTACCAAAGCGGGATTCTGATGGATTAGAAACTTTGGCGCTTGGGTTTCCAGTCCTCCCAGACCCGTCATTTCCATCCCCTGAGCCTGAAGAGTCGAAATGGCGCCACGGAAGAACTCGCCGTCGACGGCCGCCGAGATTTCGCTGGTGCATCTGCAGAGCTGCTTGGCCAATCTGCCGTCTTCGCTTTCATCGTTGCTCGCCAATGTCAATACTGTACGTCGCCTAATTTGCGTGTCTTGCTCCAATATCTAACACATGACTATCATGCTGTGTAGGCTGCCCAGAATGTCGTCGTTGAGCTCAGCTACCGCGTTCCACCCCCTGCCTCTACTGGCTCCAATGGGCCGGGATCGGCTTCGTCGACAAAATCCATCTATGTTGGGTGGACGGGCATGCCTAGCAGAAGGAGAGTTGCCCCAATAGTTGGGAGGGACGGCATCAATGGCCCGAGGGGCCCACGAGACCAGGAGGTGCCCCTCGTCGAGATAGACGCTACCCTTGCCGCAGCCGTGGGTGTTCGGGACGGCCAGAAAGTGACTGCCACCGTCCACTTTGATCCTCCAATAGCGCATACCGTCAACATCGAGCCCTTGACACCCGAGGACTGGGAGATGATCGAGCTGCACGGCACCTTCTTGGAGGACAATCTGCTGTTCCAGATTCGCGCCGTGCCCAATCCAGCCTATGCTCCAGGGGGGGCCGTGGCTGGTGGCCATCCATTGACGCTATACCTTTCGCAAACCTCCACCGCAACTATCAAAGTTCTCTCGTTGGAACCGTCATTGCCCGCTGACTCACCCTTCGCAAAGATTGCACCGGACGCTGAGGTCATAGTCGCGCCCAAGACGCGACAGAAGCAGCGGAGCAACAGGGACAACAGGAGTGTCGGGGGCACATCGAGGAAAAGCGGCAAAAGCTCAACGAGTACGGCCAGGCGTAGGAGCACAAAGGAGGAGAAGAAGCCAGTTCTATTCTTCAGGGGCACTGACCGGAATAACTGCCAGGAGTGGTTCGACGACGAGGCACCATCCCAAGATTTTAGTGTTTGGGTTGACCGGGATCTCTTGTTCGCGAAGGAACTGAAAGGAGTTAAATGGGTGTCTGTCAACCTTGTGCGCCCTGCCGGTCTTCAGCAGCCTCCAGATCCACAGGCCCAGCCGCAAGAAGGAGACCCGGCTGCCAAACCATCCACCAAGCTTGTCGCCTGTCTTCGGCCATGGGACGAACCGCCTGATGGACAGGCGGCCGCGCTTTCGTCGCCGCTTTGTGCGGCGCTTGGCTGTCAGGGCATAGTTGGTGGTGTTGTCAAAGTCGAGCCCGCTCCCACTCCGTTGCCTAGAAAAATCCCTGATCAAGAAGGGATCCCACGGGATTCGGTGCAGAGACTCAAAATCTACCCATTCATATCGTCAAAGCCTTTGTCCACGTCTGGCCTCAAGTTTGGTGGGCAATCCAAAACCGAGCGGGAAGAAGCAGCGAATCAGGTGAAGCATATTTACGGCGCAGAAGGTAATGGTCTGCTGTTGGGTCCTCTCACAGACGGCCAAGTCCTCGGAGTGCATGATGGGCTGGAGTGTCCTCGAGGATGGGAAGGCGCTCTTGTGAAGTTTGAACCCTCTCAGGCCGGGCCGCAAGGTTCAGGGAAGAAACCGCTGAATTGGATCCTTGGCTCGGAGTGGAAGCTCCCCATTTCCATCCAGCCCCCGATCCCGAAACCAACCTGGTTGTCAGACACTGATACCGACACGGTTCCAGGTTCACCTGATGTCCTTCTTGTCGGCATCGACGCTCTGCTCGAGAAACTCAGAACTCATCTGTCTCATATGTCTTCTGTGCTTCTCACCGGCGGACAAGGCTCAGGAAAGACATCGGTTGCGCAAACGGTTGTGCGCGCCTTGCGGTCCTCTCAGCTCTACCATACGACCTACTTTCCTTGCACCAAGCTCGTAAACGATGAAAGCAGGATATCCAACGTGAAGGAGACGCTCAACCGTTTGTTCATGGCTGCTAGCTGGGGCGCAAGACTCGGCGGCAGAGCCGTTATCGTTTTGGATGACCTGGACCGGTTATGTCCGGCCGAGACGGAGTTGCAAGTAGGCAATGAAAACGGGCGAAGTCGGCAGATTAGCGAGGCAATCTGCTCGATGGTTAGACAATACTGTGGCACGGACAGCAACGTGGTGCTACTGGCTACTTGCCGGAGTAAAGACTCGCTGCATTCTGTCCTCGTCGGTGGACATGTTGTTCGCGAGATTGTTGATTTAAGCGCTCCGAATAAAGAGACGAGGCGGCGTATCATGGAGACCCTTACGAAGCAGGGTTCGGTCGCTCCCGAGGACGTCGAAGTCGCCGACGATGGTGGCAGCCGCCCGACCACCGCTGATGGCAGCGCCACTGATGATGACGGGGACGGCTGGATGGATGGCGGAGTCCACGGGAGCCGAAAGAAAGCCGGAACCAAACCCAGTGGATACATACTTGACGCCAATCTCGACTTCCTCGATATTGCTGGCCAGACAGACGGCTACATGCCCGGCGATTTGATTCTGCTCATCTCAAGAGCGCGCAATGAGGCGCTTAGCCGATCCATCGGCGAGTCGTCCAACCTCGACGCAACATGCATCCGTTTGACCCGTGCTGATTTTGACAAGGCTCTCAAAGGATTCACGCCTGCCTCCCTGCGCAATGTCACACTGCAGAGCTCAACAACCACCTTCTCCTCGATTGGCGGCTTACACGAAACACGCCGAGTCCTCCTAGAGACGCTACAATATCCTACCAAGTACGCCCCGATATTTGCGCAGTGTCCTCTCCGACTCCGCTCGGGCCTCCTACTCTACGGCTATCCCGGATGCGGCAAAACCCTCCTCGCCAGCGCAGTAGCCGGCGAATGCGGCCTCAACTTCATCAGCGTTAAAGGCCCAGAAATCCTTAACAAATACATCGGCGCGTCAGAAAAGAGCGTACGAGATCTCTTTGAGCGTGCGTCGGCCGCCAAGCCCTGCGTGCTCTTTTTCGATGAATTCGACTCGATTGCCCCTAAGCGCGGCCACGACTCCACGGGCGTCACCGACAGGGTTGTTAACCAGCTCCTAACTCAAATGGACGGCGCCGAGGGCTTGTCAGGGGTCTACGTTCTAGCCGCGACGTCAAGACCCGACCTGATCGACCCCGCCCTGCTCAGACCAGGTCGCCTCGACAAGTCCCTGCTGTGCGACTTGCCTACCCTAGAGGACCGCCTCGACATTATCAAGGCGCTCGTCCAAAAAGTCAAGGTTGCTGACGAGGTGTGGGAGTCCGAGGAAGATCTGCTCGAACTGGGCCGGCGCACCGAGGGTTTCTCCGGTGCGGATCTGCAGGCGCTTGTGTCTAACGCCCAATTGGAGGCTATCCACGACGTCCTCAATGACCGGGAACCAGCCGTGAGCACCACCCGGCGCGGCGTCAGCAAGAAACCCGCCAGCTCTTCCACCTCGACCCGCAACTTTGTCCAATTCCGCTATGGCGAGGACAGCCTCGCTCCTTCTCAGGAGTCCGCCCCGCCCCGGACGCGGCAAGCTCAGCTGGCCGAACAGGCCACCATCGTGGCCAAGCTGGAGAGCATCAGGCTCGCGCGGAAACGCGCCAAGCAGCTGAGCAAGACCGCCAATGGCGCTGCTGCCGCGCAGGAAACTGGCGGTCCTGGTGCTGCCGCCGGTAATACCCCAGAGGTGGTTATCCGGTGGGAACACCTGGCCAAGGCGCTCGAGGGCACGCGGGCCAGTCTTAGCGCAGATGAGCGCGCGAGGCTCGCACGGATCTATCGGGAGTTTGTTGTGGGCCGCAGCGGAGAGATGAGGGACGGGCAGGGCAGTATGGAGGTGGGGGGGCGGAGTAGTCTCATGTGAGTGCTGAAGGAGTGATGGCAAGGTGGTGGATCTGGTACACTGCAGTTGTAATCTGTGAGCGTGTACGATTGAAGTAGGTTATATAATGTTGTGAATTGTTGGCTGGAAGCGGTCGTGGTAGCAGTGCGCGGCGTGGGTTAAAAGATTGCTGGTGTTCTTATATAGACCAGAATTGGAAAAGCGATGCACGATAAACCTCACTTTAGATCTGGCACACCATAAATGGTCTTGATTCATCTTCATGTTGTGTACTATTGTTCAATCTAATCGAGCTCCAACCGAACCTACATCAACCGAATCATACCTACTAGTAATCCCCTACCACTCCCCCTATCACACCACCCAACTACTATGTCCATACATCCATCCCAAGGTAATTATCCCACCGCTGCGCGAACGCCCCTTAGGACCTCCAGCATGACAACCTGGCCGCCATACGCAAGATAGACACACTCGGCACTGCCCGCGTCAAGCTCCGCGCCCACCCCTTTTAGACCTGGCTTGACACTCTGCTCATCCTCATCCTCAAGAAGCACAAAACCCCTGGGACGGGCGTCATAAAACGCCGCGGCGCGCTCCCGCGGGAGCCAGTGCAGCCGTATTTCTATGGGCAGGGAGTGCCGTTGCGGGGTTAGGGAGTTGATGAATTTGGGCATGATGGTGATCAGGCCTTGGTGTAGGTGGGTATGTTCGTGCTACTGCTCCTGCTACTGCTACCGGTGGTGGTGGCGGTGGGGAGGATGAGGAATGAGGTGGGTTGGTCAGGGGTGAGCAGGATCTGAGGTCCAGGTGAGGGCGATGGTGGGTAGGAGACACCGGGACCGGGAGAGGAGGGCGTGATAGTTGGGTTTGGAGAGGGATTGCGGGGATGGGCTGGGTCTTGTTTCGGACCCGGACCCGGTTCCGGTTCCGAGCCCGGGGTTGGGATTGAAGCTGGTAGTGCTGTTGCGTCTCCCGCCGGGCCAGTTCCCAGTCCAAGAGTAGTACGACCCTCCGTCGTTTGGTGAGGGTGGTTGATGGACATTTGGACAGGCTCAGGGGGTTCTCTGAGGAAGCTGACTGCTCTTTCCACTGGCTCGCCATGGATTACCATGTTATTTGATTCAGGCCTCAGCGCGGGCTTCAGAGGCTGTAGTGGTAGTTCAGGGGAACTTGGCTGAGTCTCCTGTTCTGCTGGCGGTTCATCTGTCGATGTGCCAGCCGAGTTGCGCTTAGATGCTGCCTGAGACAACAGCAGAGAACTAGCCACCAAGGACATAGACCGAGAGAACGGGAAGATGGCACTTTCGTTCTCGTTTGGGGCGAGCACTCGTCTCGGGTTTGAAGCGGCCATGATACTCTGGAGGGCGACCCTTATTCGGGCCTCTAAGGCACTGTTGAGCTGGGCCTGGAGCTGGGATAGTGATGGGATTGATAGCATCCGCCAGCGGAAATACAGATTGCCATGAGTCCTTGGAATGTAGAATGCGCCATGAAGCTGAATGAACAGGTTACATAGATAACACGCGTTCTTGCTCGAGCATATGATCCGTGGCATTTTGGCAGCGGGATGGAGCTCGTAGTGGGAGACGATTTGCACTTCGGCATGGACCCGCGACCCTTGTTGGACCTTCTCGATTGTTGATGTAAATTCCCGCGTGATGATATCTAGCTTCAAGTTCAGCTTTTTACTAATCGCCTTAGCTCCGAAAATAACCGAAGCCCCATTCTGGCATCGTGAAAGACAACCAGTGAGGCTGCGGTTTGCAGGCAGATTGAATTTGCTGAAGAACTCTGGCTCAGGGGAGACTGCAGTGACGTCTACTTGCTCGAAAATCCCATACGCTTTAGCGGACTTGAGCAGGTACAGGAAGCACTCTTGGTACCTGGCAAGCTTGCTCAAACGGGTGGTAAGGTATTTTTTCGAGCTTGGATCCAGTTGCCTTGTAGTGATCCCTGAGAAGAATTCGTCAAAATTGGTAGTTTTGTTGAGTTGATGACAGGCGCGAATAACCTCCCCGATATGTGATGGCACGTCTCCCGTTTCGCAGGCCTCTAACCTGGTCAAACGCCGCTGCAGACCCGCAGCATCCCGGAGGAACTTTTCAATCGCCGGTCCGAATCTTTTCTTGTCGCCGTATTTTCGGACAGCATCGGCGGCTTGCTGGATCGCTGTGCCGAGAAAGGTCTTGCCTTGCTTGCCGTAATCTGCGCCCAGTCTCTTTGAGCTAATACGACCCAAGATCCGATTCTCGCACATGTCTGAGATAGCATTCAGAATTTGCGGCTCGACCATTGCCGAGTTTTCTGCTCCATTAAACAGTGTAAGTGGAGGACTTTGCAGCAGCCGTCTCTAGTGACACACCGTCATTGACTTGGGCAAGGTGGCTGAATAGGTTCTTGAGCCCGTTTTGGATGCGCTGTAAGATGTCGCTTCCAGACTCCGGACCGGTTTTATTAATAGCAATAACGACTCGAATTCCCTTTCCAATGGCCAATTCCTCAACACAGAGGGCCACAACGCGTGTCGGGTCATCTGATATTCCTGAGATAAAGGCAAGAACCTCGGCCAAGCGTTGCTCTTGCCTGAAGGACAGCAGGCGTCCAGCATCCTTCTCCGTGGACGGCCGGGGGTTGCCCTGTGAAGGAGTAGGAGCTCGAGACAGGATAGATAAGAGTGCAATGTTCTCGGCAAGCTCCTCAGACAAACGGTCCTGAACTGTCGATGTCATCTTGATTGAGCGGCATTACGGCAGTCTTGGGCGGTTAGCCATGGAGACAGCTGATGAAGTGCCAATTGAGGTGCTCCGGCTGCGCGAGCAATGCTGATAACACTTGTCGAAGGGCATTGTCTCGACTCTGTAGGCCCCGGGATGGCTGGTGCGGGGTGTTGCGTGTTTGCGTTCTGCGGACGGCCTCGACGCAGGAATAGAGCTCTTATTCGCCGATCTGCGAGTGAGCCACCAATGCATCCATTTTTTTCTATATGCATTGAGGCCTACAGCCATGACAGCTCCTGCAGCCTCGCCATCATGCAACCCTCCGCCCGTGCAAACAGAGTGAATCGTTCATATCATGATTCGGTAGTTATCCTAGGAACGTGCAAACAGGGAGCCGATATTCTGGGAGAAGTTAGCGTTGAGACGGCCACAGATAGAGATGGCACTCACTGTCCAAGGTCCAATATCTCCTCTTCACTCCTTCCCATTCGCCTTTGCCTGCCTCGGCCAGTTGCGACATGTCAACATCTATTGCTTGCCAATCAACATCAAGGCCAGCGTCAGCAAGGTGCAGTTCAGCGACCTTGGTGTAGACGTCATAGCAGATCTGACGGTCCGCACCAAGGCCGTTGAAGAAGCTAAAGATGCCCTGGCCGTCCAGCAAGCCAGGGATAAACTCGGTGAAGAACATGCGCAACTGCGAGTAGTCTTCACCGAACGTGTCGAAGTAAATCGCGTCGTATGTTTGTCCTTCCTGAAGAAGCTGCTGGCACACGTCCTGCCACTTCCCCTGGTAGACCTTGAATGCACCCGGTTCCGGACCACTTTCTTCCCAGGACGATCCAAACTTGGATCCCGGGCTGGCAATGTGTTCCAATACTCCAGGATGCGCCTCGATGATGTGGTGGCGCGCAGGCCGAGTCTCGGCAAACATGGTATCAATGATGCCCATGCCAAAGCCAATGTTGAGGATCCTCTTCCCGGGCTCCTTCCCCGGCAGCAGGGCGTCGACGCTGCGGCGCATGATATCCGTCTCCCACGCCATCATGACCCCGTTTCCGTCATCATCCACGAGCTTCCCGTCCGAGTACGTCAGTTTCGACCGCAGGTAGGCTTCCGAATCGACTTCGACGGGCTCCCTGTCCCGCCCATTCAAGCCCTCAACGTCAACCAACTCGGGCGCCTCGTCCCCATCCTCCTCGCCGACAATCACCATGCTCTCATCCCCGTTCGCATCGCCATCGCCATCGCCATTGGCATCATTCCCATCCCCCTCCACGACCTCTATCTCCTCCCCATCCACATCACTCCCCAGCTGCTCGTACCCCTCCATGACCCCAAACAACATCTCGGCCCTCACCCCGGCCTCCACACACAGGTTATACAACTCCTCCCTCCCCAGCCGGCGGGCTACGCAACCGGGGGTCTCGTTGCGGTCATCGACATCGTTCCAGATGGCGCCCCACAGCAGCAGTTCGTAGACGGTTTTCTTCGCCCGTTCCAGGTCGGCCGGGTCGTCTTCGTCGGTCGGGGGTCCGCAGGCGCGGATTGCCGCGTGCAGCGGAGTCTCGCGCGTGTTGGGGTCCTGACAGCTCGCCTTGCCGGGAGCGTCGAGCAGTTTCTTGATCGTCTCGATGTCGTGCGCCCACGCGGCCGTCAGGATGCGCTGTGTCTCAGGCGGGCAGGCGGGGGAGATGCGGGACGAGATGGAGTCCAGGTCCGGATCTGAGTTGGGTTGCGAAGGGTCGGGCATTTTGGTCGGTGGGATTGGGATTCGAATGTTTTGTGTTGTTTCCCCTTGATGTTGCCGGGAGCGTTTGATGTGGTGCAAATATTGGGCTTGAATGCCCCGCTACAAAATTCCGCCCCTCATTGCCTGCCCCCTAACAACACCCCCTTCTTCAATCCTTTACAGTCAGACCCGCACATAGCGATTAGGCACATAACGATTTTCGGGGTTTAACGATCAGAATCTGTTTCCCGTCCGAATTTGTATGGGAAATCGTTAGTGTCGGACTATTAAGATAATCGTAAGGATTTCTACTTACTAATACATAGATATCGTCATATTCGGTTGACCTCCAGGCCCTGATGACCCTATATTATATATACTATGGTACCTATAGAGAACCTCCTAAGCTGGTGATGGTCCTAGTGTTTCCATTTTGGGTAAAAAGTGGGTACATTTGAACAACGATAACCGGGGATTAACGATTAAATTGGCCGTTCCGGAGCCAATCGTTATGTGCAGGTTTGACTGTAAAAGAAAGAAAAACAGAAACAACAATTATCCGGCGTTCTTACGGGAGTGTAGCAAAAGCAGTGGATCAATTTCTCCCGACAAACGTCGGAACATCACCAGAGGAGCAGCATCCCCCTGATCGTACGCAGCGCGTTAGTGTAGTCGTCGCTTGCGAGTTCAATATGATGCTTCATTTGCCTATCCGCACCTTCACTACGGTACTGTAATGCTCACACCCATTACATAATGTTACAGTAGTTGATGCTCCGTTACCGACAGTAACGTCATTCGGTGCAGCTTGGGGCAGCTCCAAGCTTCTCGGACCCACAGCTGGCGCAGCTGTGATTGAATTCACCAATGGCAGGGCCCGCTTTTGCAACGTGCCACCTGCCACAACGGTGACCACAGCGATTCCGTCAGAAGCCTCAGCCCCCGTTCAGTGAGATGCGAGCCAGGTCCAGGGGTTCGACCTGGTCTCGTGCCTGTTTTTGCAGTGCTTTTGCGGTTCTGATACCCTTCTGAAAAATATCTCAATGGCAAAAACAACCGACTGGATGCACTGTCGGGCCGTGACGGTGGATCTGGGGCTTCTTGGTGCAGTGTATTTCAAGCCTAGGATATACCTGGCACGCAGGTGAGCCCTGCTTCGCTAACGGTGGCGATCTTGTTGCCATTGCTTCAAGCTTGTTTTTTTGAAGCAGTCGTTCGGGCCCCGCGCACCGCCCGATGCTGATCATTGAAGACCTCAAGACTCGCACCCAGAGTTGGCATTCTACACGCACCCGCATCCGCAATCCCAACTGGCGAGCCCCTCCAGGCGTCGTGGTCATGAAGTTCGGCGAGCAGCTCCGGTCGAGCGTCATCCGCGAGTACCAATGGTACTACATTGACTATGACGGGCTCAAGGCCGATCTCAAGCGGCCCAGCGGTTCCGCTGCACCCGCCGCCGACGACAGCACGAGGTCGAGCAGACTGTCGCGCCGCGAGTGGACCGAGGAGGATGAGAGCCGCTTCGTGAGCAAGCTCGAGGCCGAGCTCGACAAGGTGCACACCAAGCAGCAGGTCAAGGCCATGGAGATATCGCGCCGCATCGCCGTCAGCGAGCGAGAGGTCCGCGATGTCGTCAATCGTTTAAACGAGCGTGGGCTGAGCCAGGACGGACCGAGCGAGGAGGAGTTCATGCTGCTCGAGGAGGACCTGAGCGATATTATTGCCGATGTCCATGATCTCGCCAAATTTGTACAGCTCAATTACACGGGTTTCTACAAAATCATCAAGAAGCATGATGTGAGTAGTAGCTGCCTCTTGTACCGCTGAAGGCTGTCAGGAAAGGAGGTGCTTACACTTTGTAGAAAATGACCGGATGGCATCTGAGACCCGTTTTCGATACTCGTCTCAAGGCGAAACCCTTCTACAAGGAGAACTACGACGCCTCGGTCGTAAAACTGTCCAAGCTCTATGACTTGGTTCGAACTCGAGGAAATCCGGCCAAGGGCGACAGCGCTGCTGGCGGAAGTCAAGCCAACTTCATCAGACACACGACAAAATACTGGGTGCATCCCGACAATGTAACGGAGCTCAAGCTGATCATCTTGAAGCATTTGCCGGTCCTGGTGTTCAACGCGAGCAAGGAATTCGAGGAACAGGACTCGGCAATCACGTCCATCTACTATGACAATCCGGATACATGGGAACTCTACGAGGGGCGGCTAAAGAAGACGGAAGGCGCCGAGGCGATCCGGCTACGCTGGTACGGCGGGATGCAGAGCGAGACTGTCTTTGTCGAGCGCAAAACTCACCGAGAGGACTGGACAGGCGAGAAGTCGGTCAAGGCTCGCTTCTCGCTCAAAGAGAAGAATGTGAACGCCTACTTACGGGGCGATCTTCTCCCCGCCGCGATTTTTGAGAAGGCGCGCAAGGAGGGGAAGAAGTCGGAAAAGGCAATTGCCGAGGACGAGCGGCTTGCACGCGAGATTCAGTGGTCAATTCTCAAGAAGGGGTACAAGCCTGTGTGCCGGTCATTCTACCACCGGACGGCTTTCCAGCTGCCTGCTGACGCGCGTGTCCGCATTTCGCTTGACACGGAGCTCACCATGATCCGAGAAGACAATCTTGACGGGGTACAGAGATCAGGAGACAACTGGAGGCGCATGGACATTGGAGTTGACTACCCCTTCTCCCAACTACCTCCTGGCGATATCGTCAGGTTCCCATACGCCGTTCTTGAGGTCAAACTTCAGACGCAGCTTGGGCAAGAACCTCCCGAATGGGTCCGGCAGCTGATCTCTAGCCACCTTGTAGAGGCTGTGCCGAAATTCTCCAAGTTCATCCACGGAGTGGCTTGCCTATTTCCTGATAGGATAAATCTGCTTCCGTTCTGGATGCCACAGATGGACGTGGACATTCGGAAACCGGCGACGCACGATTTTGGGATCAAGAGGTTAGAGCACTCGACGACAACGTCAATGACAGACGAGGAAGATGATGATGACTACGACTCGGACGAGGAACGACCCGTGTCGGCCACGGCGCCTGCCGGGGAATCGAGCGCGCAGGGGGCGGCGGCGCGGAATGGCCGGGTCCGAGTATTGGCAGCCGATGTCGAGGACCAGACGGTTGACGGAACAACGGGCGACGACACATACATTTACGACTCGGACAATGAGGACGACGAGGACAGATTAGAGGAGGCACGGAGAGTGGGCGGCTGGACATACTACCAAACCCTGCTCTCAACATCGGCAAACGCTGCTGCCAGGAGCACGTGGTGGTTGCTGAAAGCAATGGTGCCGCGCCCGCGGCCAACCGAGGTACCGCGTAATGAGAGACTGCAGTCGCTACTCGGAACGGGCGAGATCCAGCAAAAGAGGTTCAAAGCGCCTAAGGGGAAGAAGATCTATGTACCTGTGCGGGTCGAGCCCAAGGTCTACTTCGCGGCGGAAAGGACGTTCTTGGGTTGGGTAAGATACTCCTACCCGCTACCTGCCTAAGATGCGCTAACCGACGATGCTTGCAGCTCGAATACTCAATCTACATTGGCACCATTGCCGTTACACTACTGAACTTTGGCACTAAACAGGGCCACGGAGCATCGTTTGTCGCGGCCGGAGCGTTCACGCTACTCGCCATCGCCTCGCTGTGCTACGCCGTCGGCATATACCTATACCGGAGCAAAGCCATCCGCACGCGGCGGGTAGCACGGTACTATGATAAGCTGGGGCCTACTGTGCTGTGCGTGGCTCTGTTTGTGGCGGTTGCCCTTAACTTTGCCTTTGAGGGTAAGAACCGGGGGTTGTGGTAATACGGAGCATGTCGCTCACCCCCATCGAGCGACTAAGAAGAAGGGTGCGGAAACACAGTCATATATTTGCTGCGTCGGCCCGGAATGGCCAGCGGGTATCAGAGCGATGGAGTTCATTCGTCCTACGTCAGACTGTAACACTATCAAATCATCACACAAGGAGCTAGATGCATTACCTACTCATGTAGCTGTTATGAAGAAGAGAGGAAAATTCAAGAATGGCGGGTGCCGAGTCAGTCTTAGGCAAGCCCGCACGTTCCAGGCGGAACTTCCTAATCCGCCCGCTGTTTCTCCGCGCCTCTCCCAAAGAGGTAGAGCAGCGTATAGGTTTTCAGCTCGTCATCAAGGTACCGCCCAAGAATCAACGGGTCCGTGATCCCGGGCCTCGACTCGGGCCGGGCGGTTCGGGCCCGCCGCAGCCGAGGAAAGTGGAAGGTTTTCGGAGACATAGAAATACGAAGCGACATCGGCGCCCAAGTTTTGACATCTTGACTCATTGGCTGCAAAATGGCAGAGCAAGCCAGCGGTTCACAGTAATATATTCTTGTGACACTGTTCGATCTTTGTTTTAGATGGTTGTGGCGTCCGCTAAGTCTCTCATTTTCCGTGTCTCACGTGCATTCATTCATTCCGATCGCTAAACTGGTAAAAGTGAGAAAAAGTAAAAGACAAGACATCATGCCGGTCAAGGTCATCAATACCGAGTTTGGGCACTCTATGCCGCCTGAAGAGCCCCATAATATCACCTTTTACATACCTGGTTGGGAAACCGCCAAGGGTCTGCGCCGAGGCGACCAAGCCGTGCTGAGCAGGCTCTCGTCCATCTATCCCCGATTCAGCCCGTGGTGTGAGGTGCGCCAGGTCAGTAGTTCCTTAGTTCTCTGATTCTCTTTCTTTGGAACGATTATCACCATAAACTACAACCGCTGCTGACACCTGAAAAAGCTCTCCAACCTCATCCACAACCACCTCTCCCTCCCAACCACACATGGAACCCTCCTTTTCACCAATCCAGACACCTTCCTCACCGCCAAGCAATTCTCCCGCTCCGCCCTCCGCAAGGACGAACACAAGGTTGCTCCGGAGGACCTGCTCTTCCGTGTCGTCGACATTCCGCTGAACAACCCCTCATCCTCATCCCCCAATGACACTACTACTACTATCATCCGCCTCTTCGTCATCGCCTACCCCCTCGCCCAAGCCCCCGGTGTCGTCGGCGTCTGGCAGAACTATGGCATAGGCATCAGCTCGCGGCTGGCCGCTGCCCTTTTGCCCGCGGTCGAGGCAGGGCGGGTGCAGGCGCTTGATTTCAAGGCTACGGGGGCCGACGATGTGATGCCCGAGCGGCTGCCGGAGGGTCGGTTCCTCCCTGAAGGTGAAGCACATGCAGGGCTGAGGGCGAGGATTGCGGAGTTGGCTAGTCCTTCTTCTTCTTCTGGTGGCAATGTAAGAGAGGTCAAGGTCAAGGAGCAGGATGTGTTCCTGTACCCGACGGGCATAGCGGCTATTTACCGGCTGCATCGCGCGCTGATGGAGGCTAGGGGTGGTGGGCAGGTGGTGATTCTCGGGTCCATATTCCACAATACCTACCATTTGTTTCACGAGAGCGAGGGCGGGTGTGAGCACTTTGGGCGGTGTGATGGGCAGAGCCGGGTGGTTGAGCGGTTGGCCCTGTGGCTGGAAGGGGAGAAACAGGCCGGGAGGAGAGTGGCGTATGTGTTTTTGGAGTTTCCGAGCAACCCGATCCTGGTGAGCGTGGATTTGAAGGCGTTGAGGGGGGTGGTGAGTTGCGCTCTTCTTTTCGTGGATCTTGCCCTGTCATGGAATTTGATGTAGACGATGATATTCAGGCCGACAAGTACGACGTTCCTGTCGTGATAGACGACACCATCGGCTCCTTCTGCAACATCGACGTCCTTCCCGTTGCAGACGTCGTCGTCACCTCCATCACCAAGTCCCTTAGCGGGTACGCCAACGTATGTGGTCTCCCTGCCCCTCTCGATGTCCCTTCAACTCACTAAATACTAACACCTCACCCGCTTTATCGCAGGTGATGGGCGGCTCGGTCCTCATCTCCCCCTTCTCCCGCCACTTCCAGACCCTTAAACAAACCCTCACCACCCAATTCCGCAACGAATACTTCCACACCGACGCCGCCAAACTCCTCTCCAACTCCCAAGACTACCTCGCCCGCTCCGCAATCCTCAACCGCAACGCCCTGACCCTCGCAACCTACCTCCACACGCAAGCCTCTGACAGTACCAGTCCCGTAACAGCAGTGCTCTACCCACCCTTCACCGAGACACACGACAACTACACAGCCGTAATGCGCCCTGCGACTCCAGACTTTACACCCGGCTACGGGTGCCTGCTAGCGGTCGAATTCGAGTCGCTTGCAACAGCACAAGCGTTTTACGACCACCTGTCCGTATTTCACGGCCCGCACCTGGGCGCGCACCACACCCTGGCATTCCCCTTCAACGACGCCATCTGGGGCGTCGACCCCGATGCCGCGGCGTACGCGGCCTCGTACGGCGCCCGGCCTGAACAGGTGCGTGTTAGTGTTGGGTTGGAGAGCGAGGAGGACCTCATCGACACCTTCAAGGCGGCATTGCGGTTCGCCGCGGATGTGAAGCGGCAGGAGCAAGGGGAAAGTGCGGTGTAAGGGTTTTTACAGAGGCAGGATTTGTCGGTGGATGGATGGCTTAGGTAGGAAAGCAAGGGGGTCAAGCGGGGTGGATAAGCTCTAGCGCAAAGCTACACGGAGGGCACATGTTGTTTCAACCAAGCTAGGCATGACTGATCAACTATGCCAGCACGAATAAGGATTCAGAAGACAATCAAGAGATTCCCAGAGAAAGATCCTTTGTGGATTTGATTGTGCTGCCTGTCAACCTACGTGGCTGCGAGAATCAAAAAGACAACGCAGTGGTATCCCCTAAAGCGCCCAGCACCACGCTGGTTACGCTTCCCAAGGTAGATTATCGTCAGCTTGCAAATTGGCCGAAATATCAGGCACATGGCCATGCCCAAAGGCGACTATTTGAAGTTCTCCGGGTGAAGAATGCCATGCATATTTCCTTTCTTGACGCGCTCCAGCGTCAGGGCTGCGATGAGGGCAGCGCCCACGCCGCTTCCGTCCTCAGCAGCCAGGATCTCAATGGGGTCTTCCTCCTTAGGGTCGGTCTTCTCCGGCCAGTCGAGGATTTCACGGAGTGCCTGCGCCCCGCGGGCTTTGAAGTGCGGGTATTTGTTAAATACCGAACCGTCGGCGCCCACGTGACAGTTGTGGTAGCCCTTCTTGAGGCTGATGGCGGCAACGCCGCAGGCCGAAAGGCGGGCTGCGCGCGTGCCAATAAGCTCGGCTGTCCGGCGGATGAGCTCGAGCTCGGGCAGATTGGGAGTAATGTTCAGCTTGGTTTGGAACAGATCCAAAGTCTCGGAGAGATTCTCAAACGGATCCCTGCGCAGGCTAGTTAGCAACATGTTGCATCTGGTGTGTGCAAGTAGAGCTAGAACATACTCCTCAATAGCAGACAGGAACGAAGAGTCCAAGGTATAGGGCCGGCGAAGCTTTGAGATGTCCTGGCCAGCAAAGATGTGGGTATCACTATTGTCATGCAGATCGACCATAACCAAGCGGAAAATTTCTCCAAGATACAAGCCTGCAATCATCTTTTCGAACGATTGCTGGCCAGGACGAGGCGATTGCTGGTCAATCGCCTCGTCGTACGGAGTGCGAGGTAGAACCTTGTGCTCGTTATCGAAGGCTCCCCACTCGCAGTTGATGGCCATTGGCGTCTCAGGAGGGAGATTCAAGTGGGCGAGCTTGGGGATCGAACCGCAGTCCTCGACATACGCGGCATTACAGCCTGTGCCAAAGATGCAGCCAATCTTCATCTTGGGGTCGGTGTATGCAGACGCAATCAGCGTGCCGGTGGTGTCGTTGATCAGCGCAGTCAGCTTGATGGGAACACCCTAGATGTCGGTTAGCCAATTGCTCTAATCAGGCTGGGATAGTCGTACCCGCTGTGCAAGGGCTGCCTCGAACATGGGCACCACATTGTGGCCCTCGACTCCGGCAATGTCAAACCCTTTGGTCCACCGCTGCAAGATGCCCTCGTCAATGTAGTTTTGTGTAGCGGGGTACGAGAAGGTGAAGCCGAGCGGAATCTTATCTAGCTTGGAGGTGTCACCGTGGTGTGTCTCAATGAACTGCATCAGGCAGTCGGCAATGTACCCCCAGAGCTCGTCGGCCTCGCCCGTTTTCAGCTCCTCGGGCATGCGGTACTTGGACTGGATAATGTCGAATTCGGACTTTTGGTCCGTCAAGGTGACCTGGCACACGCGCAGGTTGGTGCCGCCCATGTCCAGGGCCAGGAAGGTTCCGGTCTCGTAACCGCTCGGGTAGGACATGACCCATGTTGGGTTCATGGGCTATCGAATGAGTGAGCAATGCGTTACAGCAAAGCCTCGAGTCTGTGGCACCAGGTGACTTACAATGCTCCCCCCCGCAACGCTCAGTCCTATGATGGCGGTTTAGTCAAAGGCCCCTGCTTCTCCTGCAACGAGCCCACATAGCCACTCACCCTTTTCAAGCTCTCCTATAAAGTGATGCGTGATTTCCTTGAGCTTTGCAGTGTCGACAGTAAACAGCTCCTCAAGGTGCTTGATCTCTTTGAGGAGGTCCTTGGGAGCATCGGCTAGCGAGCCTACTGCCATGGTTAGCAGATGAAGGGCACTAGGGCGCGCACGCCTTGCCCTGCCGGCTGGATTGTCCGCTGGTGTTGTGGTGATGGAAGTGAGAATGAGAATGCACTGTGGAGAGAGGAGAGGGTCGGTGGTTGGGATGGTAAAGGTTTCTCAGCTTTCCAAGTGGCGCCATTGTAGACTGATCAGGTACCTGATCGAAACCCACAGCAGTGCAGGCCCGTTAAGTAGTTCTACAAAGCTCTAGTGATGTTTGATGCCAAGCATCGGGCAAGGGTGGGGATCATGATCGGGCTGGTTGTGCAGGACGTGCGGAGCGGGAGGAGGGATGTGTGATGTCACTGAGCGCTTCTTGGCTATACAGTCTTCGCCCGTCAGCAGCCGCGGCTTCTTTTGGTCGACGTTACTCTGGTATTGTACCCTCCCGTCGGATGGCACGCGACACATGGACAGCGGCCGATCGCGGCAGGGAGCGTTGACCTTTGTCGCCCATTGGCATGCTGACGCTGTCTGCATCGCCGGCAAGAGGCGTCCAGACAATGGCGAACTAACGGGCTGCGAAGTGAGGGGTGTCGCAAGAAAATGGAACTCAATTCATCCCAGTCGTACGTACCGGTACCTTTCCTAGAGGGCGGCGGCTTAGGTCCGAGGCCAACCATTGTTCGTTGTGGTAGATGGGTGTTCGTGAGTTTACGTGGTTGAATTCTCTGTTTGATAACCTTTCTTCGCCATAAGCTGAGTTAGCGGTGCTGAGTGAGGTTTCGAAAAGTTGTTTCTTCTTCCGCACCGGAATCGCGGTCGAAATATGTCAATCGACCAGAGAGGGACCTCAAATCGAAAAGCAACACAGGGATAATAATCGCTGCTCCACCAGCTCCATCAGTAAGCAACCGATAAACGACCCCGCACTAGCCCATCCTGCCCAGGGTAGGGTTGCCAAAGATGCTTAAGAGCACAATGCACAGGCCATTTCACAGGTGAATTTGCTCTTGACTCACGAGATGAAGGGAGCTAGCATGGATGAGACAAATATAAGGCACTTTCCTTTGAAATCATATATGCCTGTTCATAAAGGAAGAGTGACAACGAAAATCAGCAGCTATTGGCAACGAGATGGTGTTTCATGTCGATGGAAACGCCCGTCTGGGTATCCGTACAAAGGTATTCGTATGGATTCTCGACATAAGGTCAATAGACATCGAAGCATTCGCAAGGAAACTCGCAAGGCATCGAAAGAACCCTTGAATCACATTCACACTGCGTATCAACCTGGAAGTTGCCCGTCACTCCAAGAGAGATGCATTATTTGAATTATGTAGCTAGGCTGTACGGATGTACTCCGTACCTATGGGTCTTCCAGGATACATATCGAGGCGAACCAGTCATTCGGAAGCGCGGCGCTGATTCCTCCGAAACTGCCGAGCCCAGGCGGGAACTCCGACAAGGGTCTTTGAGCAACGTAACGCTTCTCGAGAAAGCCACGGTGATGGTCCAGAAGGGTGCGTCTTGACGGCCAAACCTCGTAAAGCCCCCAACCCTTTCAACACTTCTTCAATTGCAGGCGCGGAAGGTCCGTGACCTTCTTGCCGTCTCGCCCTTCAAGATGAAGACATCAGCTGTCTTCTCGACCTTCCTCTCGCTACTTTCACTTGCTTCGGCCGCGAGCTCAGCCAGGGATAGCTCCACCAGCACAACGCTCCCAGCAACATTCAAGCCGCCCCAGGTCTTCAAGAACCTCAACCTCGTCCATGTCATCTCGGCCGAGAAGAACTACCTCAAGGAGAGCATCAATGTGTTGATAGAGAACATCGACAAGGCGCCTCAAGATGAATATTTTCTGCCGTTCACGGCCGACCAAATGTCGCGGCTAGGAGGGGTAGAAGTCAAGGATCGCAAGGACGCAACCGCTGGGCTGTTTGTCGCCGAGCCTGTCGAATTCGACCAGGAAAGGTGAGTTGACAGGTCGGGAGAAAGTTCGTGCCTTCATCAGTCTGACCGCCCGCAGCGACATTCAGTATCTCCGCATCCGACTTCCGAAGCCCCTTGCGCCCGGCGCGCAGCAGACACTCGGCATCAACTACTACCTTCTCAAGGCATACAGCCCCCTCCCAGTCGCCATCAAGCAGGAGGAGCAACAGTATCTCACCTTCACCTTCTCGGCCTACTGCCCCTCGGCTTACACCACCACGAAGCAAAAGACGGACGTCAAGTTCCCGTCAAGCAACATACCCGACTACACCAAGCTACCCGGGAGTGGTGATATCCAGGAATTCCCTCAGAAGCAGGGATCCAAGCTTACATATGGCCCATTCGACGAGAAACCCGCCGGCGCGGTTGAGCCCGTCCGCGTCCGCTTCGAGTTCAACAAGCCCGTCAACCACGTCTCGCGTTTGGAACGGGACATCGAGGTAAGCCATTGGGGCGGAAATGTGGCCTTTGAAGAGCGGTACACGCTGTATCACCGGGGTGCCAACCTGTCCTCGCTCTTCAACCGGGTCAAGTGGCAGCAATCCCAATACTACCAGCCCACGACCTTTGCTCTCAAGGAGATTAAGTTCCCTCTGCGGGTGGGTAGTGTCGACGCTTACTATTACGACGTGATCGGCAACGTCTCGACATCACGCTTCCGGAGCAACAAGCGAGAGGCCCTCCTCGAGATCAAGCCCCGGTACCCTGTGTTTGGTGGCTGGAAATATCCCTTTACGATCGGTTGGAACTCGGATGCAAAGAACTTCCTGAGAAACACGGCTACGGGGGGGTTCGTGCTAAACGTTCCTTTTCTCGAAGGCCCCAGGCAGTTGGAGGGTGTCGAGTATGAGCAGGTCGAAGTCCGGGTCATCCTGCCCGAAGGCGCTGAGTATGGCGAGCCCCTTTCGTCCCCTGATTTAATCGACCAGCTGCTGACAGTCTCCAGGAACGTTAAATACCATACATCGATTCCAACCTCATCCATTACCGAAGCTGGCGTTCAGATCCACAAGACCTTCCTAGACACAATCGGCCGGACAGCTCTCGTCATCAAGGCACGCAATCTGGTGGACGACTTCAGGGACCGGGAGTTGATTGTGTCGTACGACTACCCCTTCATGGCCAGTTTCCGGAAGCCATTGGTCGTGTTCGGCAGCGCAATTGCTGTGTTTATGAGTGTCTGGGCGGTGGGCAATGTAAAGTTGGACTTTGAAACCAAGAAATAAATCGGCGGGTGGGTACAATATAAAAGGGTAGGACTTTCTATTTTACATGTATATCTTATGTTGCTGCTAGGGTTTGAAAAGGACATGATGGTTGATTACAAGATGAGTGTACTGTACATACACACGTGTCTTGCTCTCGAGGCAGTTTGGACTTGGATGCTGAGATGCAGTGGACCGCAGGCTGAAACGTCGTTGAGAGGGCGACGATCTAACACTGAAAATCAACATTCAAAGGTCCGATGGTGTAGTTGGTTATCACGTCAGTCTAACACACTGAAGGTCTCCAGTTCGAACCTGGATCGGATCATTATTTTTTCTCTTCCTTTCAAGGACCACTTCGTGGAATCTTTTTTTGGGTGTGGTTTCTCGATCTGTGAATGCCCATAATCCCAGATGCTCTGATACTATAAGCGGGAATTATGCAGATCCTTGGCAGTTTTCTCCGATCTTGTTGGTATACACCTCACCGGAGCTTTCAGTATCGATACATCTACTTACAACCATGGAGTAACAGTGGATGCCCGTTACACGCGGCAGAGGTGGCATGACGTCGGTTCTAGACTGTTCCCGACTGGCCCCTCGAGTTGCAAGCCTCAGGAGAGATACAATACGAGCATCTGCACCCACCAGGGCTACTGGGTTCATGTATTGCGATTGGTTCCTTGCATTCCACAGCCGTATATGTACAGGATCGAATGGTCCCTACATGCGTCACACCCAGCTGCAGTGTGAGATGACGGGCCAAGCTTGGAAAGAGTGAGGCTTGGATCTTCGGGAGACCGACCGGCTGGGCCAAGGCAGGCTCTCGAATAAATACTCAAACTGAACCCGACATCTTTTACTTTGGACGCCTTTACCACCTTTACACTACATACCGTTGGTCTCTTCTCATATCACAACGGATCGCAACTCTCATTCACACCAACAAGCCCGTAATATCTGGGCATCTTTCAACACAATTGAGAAACGAGAAGGGACCAAGAGAGTTCTTTCAAAATGTGTTTCGACCAACCTGTCGAAAAATACTACTACCACGAGGAGATCGTCCCGGCACGAAGACATCATCACCACCCCCATCATCACCATCATCACCACTCGTCTCGCTCCAGCTACTCGAGCCATGCTCCGCGAGCACACTATTCACCAAGTCCAAGAGCCAGCGTAACAAGCTATAGGAGCAGCAACCCTGTGGTATATGAATACGACAGGACTGTCAAGACGAGATACTAGCAGGTCAAGCCTGGAAATCTGTTTTGGAATATGGCGTTCTTGGAATGGTTTGGGCTTTGGGGGTATGGTTTACACGATAAAAGGCATGGGAAAATAGATGGTCGCATGGGAAGTTGCGTTGTAAGAGCAGATACCAGGACAGCCTTTTGGTTGAAGACAGGTTGGGACTTGGGATAGACTTCACAGGGAATTATGTTGGACTATGGATCTCAAACGATAATGAAGACAGCTCACCATAGCCCACACCTTCTCTGCGAGACCCCGAAAAGGTGGCTGGGGGTGGGATGGATGGCTCAAGCAGCGCAACTGGAGGGGCAGAGAGATCGGCCTATGACGTCACCCCTGCATTGGCTGCCATCACCGCCGGCGAGATACCGAATCGGCGACTGTCCAAAAGGAAGTTGAATCAGGTCATGGAACTACGCCCGGTTCTCTAGACACATGATAGGATTTGAGCATTATAGGTAATAGTGCAGGACCGAGAGGCGAGAATTCACACTGAACCGTAGCACACACCCAACATCGTTTAGCTGGTGTAAGTGTCTCGGTGACGTCGTGAAGACCTTTGAAGTGATCAACGCTCTCAAGCTTCAACGCTTATATGGACGCAGTAAGAAACTATCCAGTAGCCAATGCAGTCTCCAGTTTTTGTAGTTTTCAGTATCGTAGTTGTTGACGCGATATCCCTCAAACATCCTCAGCCCCTGAAATGCTACTAAGACGCTCCTCTTGACCCAACGGAACCTTCTTTCCCTACGCCTGTAGTTGAAAGCAGCCCAAGGAAAGAGCAGAACAATACACGCTAGCACCCGTTGCCTACCTTAGGGTGCTTACCTTTACGAAACAGGACATTTGAAGCACTGAAGTTCCAGGATATTTCATAAGTTAACTGAAGCCATGTTGTAAGTCGCCTGTTAGTTCGACATTGCACATCCCAGACAGCATCCCTCTACCCATCAGAATATGTCGCGAAGAAGAGATGCCGACGGAGGCCGCTTGTTCTCCTTTTCGCAGTGGTAACTTCATCCACCCCCAACAAACTTACCCGAACCCACTCAACATCTCTCTCCTGGCCCATCCTCTTCATCTCCCCAGACCACTCCCTACTAACCTCCCCGCTACAAAACAGGAACCGCGCGCTGTCCATCCGCTCCTCCAGATCCAACCGTTCTTCCACAGCCACCACGGCCTCCTCCAAAACCACAAACAGCACCACCGCCACCGCCCCCGCAGGAGGAGGCAAGCAGCACCACCACCGGTTCCTATCCCTGACCTCGCTGCGAAGCAGCACGCAGCCGGACCTCTCGCGGCGGCTGTACCGGCTGATCAAAACCTTCAACAATGTCATCTCAGCCCACTCCTCTGCCGGGCGGGAGCGCAGTTCGGTAGCGGCGCAGCTGTCCGAGTGGGGCGAGCAGACGGGCGACGAGGCCGTCAGCGACGTGAGCGACAAGATCGGGGTGCTGCTGGCCGAGACGGGGGAGCTCGAGGCCGCATACGCGCGGCAGCTGGACGAAGGGGCGCGAGCAGCGCTGAAGGCGATACGGAATACCGAGCGTAGTGTGCAGCCTACGAGGGATGGGAAACGCAGGTTGGTGGAGGAGATTGGAAGGTTGAAGGTGAAAGAGCCGCAGAGTGCGAGGCTAGTGACGCTGGAGCAGGAGCTTGTCAGGGCTGAGGCGGAGGGGTTGGTTGCTGAGGCGCAGTTGGGGAACGTGGTATGTCTCCTTTTTCCCCCCTGTTGTGATTTGGGTTGCTGGGTTTGTTGCTGGTAGTGTAAATGGGTTGGGTTGCTAACGCAAGATCGACACACAGACGCGGCAGAAGCTCAAGGAGGCATACACGGCCGAGTTCCTCGCCACGATTGAGCGCGCCGAGAAGCAGATCATCCTGTCGCGGCACGGGTTGCGGCTGCTGCAGCTGCTTGACGATACCCCGACGGTCCCCGGCGATGTGCGGCCGGCGTACGCGCACGCCTCGCAGGCCAGGCAGATTCTGAACGATGCTGAGGATGACCTGCGAGACTGGCGGCCGGGCGATTTGCTGGGCAGCGACGCCAAGTCTGTTGGCAGCGGGAGTTCGTCCGTGGTGTCGCAGGGGGAGCAGCGGCGAGAGACAAAGGGAAAGGAGAAAGAGGTGTACAGGGGTAGTGAGGAGGACGGAGTTGATGCTAAGGACAGGCTCCAGGAGGTCGGTTGAGTCGGGTTGAGTCATGCAGTGGAATTCATTTTATGTGCGCTTGGGAATTGGTTGTTTCATCGCCGAGTATACCTACCCTAGTCCGTGTTCTGAATTACTTATGTCTTGGAGAGCCTCTCGCGAAACAAGATGCATACAAATACATACCTATAGGCCCCTGGCGTGACAAATGAGCAAGAGTCCAAACAAAAACAAAGAACCAGCGCCAGTCCGTATCCCATCCATGCTACTCACGTCATTACACAGTTGCCGTCACTCTCCTGACACTCTTCCTCGGCCCCTCGCCAGTAATCATCACGGCCCCTTCCATCTCAAGGGCCCTCATAACCTCGGCAAACTCGCTCGTTTCCACGGGCACACCCGCACTCTCGGCCAGCTTCCTGGCCACCTCGGCGAAGCGCACCGTCTGCCCACCGGCCGTCAGCTCATCGAGCAGCTTGACGACGGCGTCCTTCATGTCGGCGCGGCGCTTGCGCTCGGCAGCGCTGGTGCCTTCCGTCAGCAGGCTCATGTCGATGCGGCCCTGGCTATCGGTGGCGGCCGTCTTGAGCGCCGATTTGATGAGGCGCACGGCCTCCTGGACGTCGTCGCGCGTCACGACGGGCGACAGGCGCATCTTTGCGTGCGCCTCGGCCAGCCGTATCATGGACTCGAGCTGCCGCGTCGTCGCCGTGATGCGCTTCTCGGCGGCCCGCACGTCCTGCCCGAGCTTGCGCATCTCGACGTACGACTCGACCAGCTCCCGGCCGGCCTCGGATGAGATGGTGGGCTGAATGTGGGTGCGGGCGTAAGAGATGTAGGAGGTTAGGAATTCGATTGGCTACAGAATGGGGGGCGCTGGTTAGTATGGGCCATGCAACCGGGGGCAGGAATCTGGAGTTGCTGGGAGCTCACCAGGACGTCATTGTTGGAGTGGGCAGACTCGGGCTTGTCTTCGAGATACATGGAGAGGAGGTGGCGGGCGAGCCGTTGGTCGGTCTTCTCGTCGACACGGTCAAGAATCAGGTAGACCAGGTCGAAACGGGACAAGAGGGTCGGGGGCAGGTCGATGTTCTGCGGGACAGAAAGGTCCGGGTTGTACCGACTGCCAATCGGGTTGGCAGATGCCAGGATGCTTGTCCTGGCGTTGAGCGTTGTGATGATGCCCGCCTTGGCTACGGACACTGTCTGTTGCTCCATCACTTCATGGAGAACTGACCGTGTTGAGTCGTTCATCTTGTCGAATTCGTCGATGCAGCACACGCCTCCATCGGACAAGACGAGGGCACCGGACTCGAGCACCAGTTGCCGCGTCTCCGGATCGCGCGTCACGTATGCAGTGAGACCGACGGCCGAGGAACCTTTGCCGCTGGTGTAAACGCCTCGTGGAGCGATCCTGTGCACGTACGATAGGAGCTGCGACTTGGCTGTGGAAGGGTCACCGCACAGCAGGATGTTGATGTCCCCGCGATACTTCGGGCTTGCTCCTTTCTCAAAAGTCTTGTTTGTGCCGCCAAACAGCTGGAGAAGGATGCCCTTTTTCACGTCGTCCATTTCGAAGATCGAAGGGGCCAGGGAGCGGGAGAGGAGATCGTAGATGTCGGGGCGAGCAGCCGTAGCCTTGATCCTCTCCTCCTCCTCTGGCGTGACTTTCTTGATCTCGTCGAGACTTTGCCCGCTGGCATGCGCCTCCTCTTCCTCAGCGAGGTCAAGGGTAGACGGATCAGCACCCATCCTCTTCTTGTCCACCTTTTGCACATGGACGACGTCGACATAAGTTTTGTGCACGCTCTTGACTGTCCTCATCCGCGGGTTGACGCGGACGGGGGTAACCTTGTAGATGCCCGTGAGTTCCACCCTGTCGCCGGCCTTGCAGAAGTCGACCAGCTCGTTGTAGACGCAGACAGACACGGAGTGGGGCGTCTGGCCAGCTGGCACCGCATCTGGCGTTTCTTGCAGTTTGATGACTTGTTTGTCCTCAAAAATGCAGCGGTTGTGCAAGATTTGCATCGAGTTCTTGGACTTGCAACGAGCACGAGGGCACTCGGTAGGCTCCCGGATCTTGCCCCGATCCAAGCTCATGGTGACAGAGTGTCCGCATACGCTGCACTTGAAGAAGGCCTCCTTCATATCTGGGATGACGGGCGTAGCCCGGATAACGAGCCCCTTGATTGATACGAGCTTGTCCATGTCGGAGGGGTTGAGGTCTCGCAGGTTGATGGATTTATCGAGCCCCCAAGGCCGGACGAGGTAGCGCTGGCCGGCAACTTGATCCTCGAGACTCGCCTGCTGCGGCTGTGCGGGGCGCGGGGTGGGTGCCTCGTCACCCCGTTCCGAACTTGGGAAGGCGATCTCTGAGCTTTGAGAGGCTTGAGGAGCAGCAGAGGCGGCCGCATTCTGTGCGGCCGCCCGTTGGCTCGCCATCTCTGCTCGGGCGAGTTCGATCATGCAGTCGTGGACACACTGGTCCATGACGGGAATGATCTCGGTCGGATATGCTTGACATTGATGCCACAGCTTCACGGTACGCGGATACGCCTTGAGGTCGCGCAGATCCAAGTACAGCTTGTTGGTACCGAGAAGCAACATGTTCTCCAGCGCGTCCCAGTAAGGCTTTGAATTCGCTTCGGGATCGCCATTGGTATCGGCCTCGGTGGCGCCATCCGCCCACATACGGTACTTTTTGGTAAAGTTCTTGAGAAAGTCCCTAAACGAGACGAAAGAGTCCTCAAGCGACACTGTGGTACCCCAGACGAGACTTTGGCTCGATCCGCCGAGGGCATCCGCTTCCGAAGTGTGGGGGTTGTTGTTCGCGAAGGAGGCGGCATCCGACACGATGGCGGAGCCGTCACGGACAACCCGGCCGGCTTCATCCAGGAGGATACGACGCGGGATGTGCGTTGTCCTGATAACTTCGGGGTTGATGTCTCCTCGGGTTGACCTAACGTTGGCATTCCTTTGCGAGCTGACAAAGAGCGCACTGCTTTCGCTGCGGAGGTCTGACTGTTGGGTGAGCTGGCGGCCCGGGCTGGAACTGGGATCATAGCGGATCGGCGACGAGTCTGTGCCAGGGGAAGTCAGTATAAGACAGTGAGATGCCGGGGAAGGCGTTCCCACCTCCAATCAGAGCGCCGCTGGCACGGGGGGTGCGGTCACCAGCACTCGGAGTCTCGGTTTGCTGGCGCAGGGGCGAGGTGGGGACAATCTGCTGGGACGCCGTGCTCTGGCTGTTGCTCATCTGACGCAGGGGAGATTGGACAGTATTGGCAGCTGGGGCAGGAGACGAGGACTGGTAGAAGAGCGGACTGGAAGCTAGTTGGGAAGAACGAGTCTGGCGGGGAGTCCTTTCTCCTGCGGCCGAGGGGCCTGCTGCGGGAGCGGGGCTGCTTCCGGGCTGCGAACTTCGAGTCGCGCGACCAGGCGTTGCGGTACTCCGCGTCGATCTTCGCGATGGAGAAGACATTGTGCGCCGCTATATCGTTGTGTGGGAGACTGACAGCGGCGTATTGTTGTGGTGGAAGCCAAGTGTGTAGGTTTGTTGAAGGGATGCGATGGAGTGGCATGGGAAATGCACTGGAAATGAGAAACAGAAAAGGGTGACACGCGAAAGTTCGCGTCTTGCCCAAAACCACTTTACACGACCGCGTCAACAGGATGCTAGCCATTAAAGCCCCTGTCGAGGTACGTACCTGTGGATTGTGGGGCAGGGGAAGGTCAAGCCACATCACAGTGGTCGCTTTCACCCCACAACCATCAACTTATCGTCCTTTGGTGCCGTGTACCTATGCGTACCTCAGTACCAGCCAGACACCCATCTGCGATTCTCCCGATCTTGCGATACCCGGCCTCAGTTGCTCCCGGACGACAACACCGATATATAATCACTACAGCTTGGTAGCCAGCCGGTGAATTACCAGCCAACATGTCACCAGGGATGTCGCTGTATAGCGTCAACGCTATATGTATGTTGCAGTCGTTCGAGAGTCTGGGCCTTGCTCTACAGACAAGCTGACCTCTTGCACAGTAATACTCTCCAGTGAGGACGGGTCGCGCATCTTCACAAAGTACTATACCCCGCCGCACCAGGCTACGAACCAGCCAGCTGGAGCCGGTATGAGGAGGGCTCCATTCTCCTTTCTACCCACCCATCCGCCGACACTGACCGCGCACAGCACCGACATCCCAAAACCCGTACCCTGACAAGACGGCGCAGACGCGCTTCGAGAAGGCGCTCGTGCAAAAAACGGCCAAGCAGACGGGCGACATCCTGCTCTTCGACAACCGGATCGTGCTGTACAAGATGGAGTCGGACGTGGCCCTCTACGTGGTGGGCAGCGTTGACGACAATGAGATCCTGCTCTACAACGTGCTGCTGGCGCTCCGGGACAGCCTGCACTTGCTCTTCAAGCAGTCAGTGGACAAGCGGACAATAATCGAGAACTACGACCTCGTCTCGCTCGCCATTGACGAAATCTGCGACGACGGCGTCGTGCTCGAGACGGACCCGACCATCATTGTGCAGCGCTGCAGCAAGGCGCCGTCGCAAGACGTCAACCTGAGCCGCATCGACCCGTTCAGCGAGCAGGGCGTCAACAACCTGGCGCAACTAGGCAAGGCGAAGCTGACAGACTGGTTGCGGCAGGGTCTATAGGGGTAGACTGGATAGATGGGTGTTGTGATGACTTGGAGTTTGTGTTTTGGTGCAAAAAGCTGGGCGTGCTGTACTTCATCGGTAGCAAACCAAATGTGATCCGTCTCGCGGGAGACTGTCTCATGCCGTCTAGCGTATCTAAGCTCTAATATCCGACGCCGCCTTCCTAAGCCTGTTCATGACCGCGGCGGCAATATCATCCCCGTCGCTCACCCCTTCAACCAGGATGACGTCCGCTCCCAGCCTGTCCAGCTCCCGTAGGGCGGCAAACAGGCCGTGCGCTACTCCCTTGATATCTCCTCCCAGATCAACATCCAGAACCCTCGCTCCTGTGGGGTTCCCATCCGTGCCGAGAAGCGAGCTCTCCCGGACCACAAACCCTATGTCTTCCTCGCCATTGACAACCTTCCCCGGACCTACCTGCTCCACGCGAGCAGTCCTCAACCCGCCAGCGAAGGGCCACTTCCCGGTTCGAATAACACCCACCGTCTTCTCTGCAGTACCAGCATCCGCACCCGCACCACCTCCGTTCACAACAGCACCCAAAATCCCCTCCACCGTCTCCTGATCCAACCACCCTGCTGCACCACCACCACCAACCTCAAATAAAACAACCCTAGCCCTAGGACTATAATGCTTATACTTCATCCCCGGCGCCCTCGGCCCCTTTTCCCCCCCACCCTCACTCTCACCACCACCCCCATACCCCCTCCTCACATGTTCCCACCCGGGACAACTTCTCAACTCCTCAACCCCCACCCCGCCCGGCCTCAAAACCACAGGCGGATCACACAGGCCGTCAACAACAGTGCTTTCCACACCGACATCGCACACCCCGCCGTCCAGGACCAGCTCGATGCGGCCCGCGAGATCGTCAGCCACGTGCTGCGCACAGGTTGGGCTGGGCCGCGTGCTGGCGTTGGCTGACGGCGCTGCGAGTGGGTTGCCGACTAGGGAGATTAGTGTGCGTGCGAGCGGGGAGGCCGGGAGGCGGGCGCCGAAGGTCGGTTGGCCGGCGGATACTTCGGGTGCTAGTACTGGTGCTGGTACTGGTGCTGATGATGGTGATGGTGAGGGGGGTGTGGATGAGGTGGGGTTTGAGGGAAGGGGAAGGAGGATTGTCAACGGCCCCGGCCAGAAGCGGGTTATGAGCGGGTGGTAGATGACAGGGATGGGGTCTGAATCTGCTTGAGCTTTGCTTTCGGACTCGGACTCGGACTGGGTTTGAATTGGCTGCAGCAGACGGCGGAGCATGCTCAAATCACTGATGTGCACGATCAGCGGGTTGTCTGAGGGCCGGCCCTTGGCCGCGTAGATGCCCCGGACGGCGTCGGAGCGGGTGGCGTCGGCGCCGAGGCCGTAAACGGTTTCGGTGGGGAAGGCGACGGGAGTAGATGTTGTGCGTAGGAGGTGGGCTGCTTCACGCAGAGGGGAGAGCACGTCGTCATCTTGTGTTGTTGATGATGATGATGTTGTTGTTGTTGATGAGGGGACCTCCCATCTGCTGAGATCGAGGGTGCCATCTGGCAAGGTAGCCCACCGGCCGAAAGCAGCCTCGTTGTTGCTGGTGAGTGGCACTTTGAGAATTCGCGTCTTCATTGTCGCTGCTGTTGCTGCTGCTGGTGTGGTATGCGACAGACGACTCCTGGCTGGGGGTGTGAAAGGGGTAACTCGAGCGAGGTGCACTCGATGAGAAAGGTGACTGAAGCCAGCAGGCCCGCGGGCACAAAAACGGATTTTTGAAAAGTCCGCCAACTTGATCCTCGGTGAAGACAACTAGAGATTGACTTTTGTGCAGCAATACGACTTGGAGTTTTAGCGATGTTGGAGGGCTGTCCGGGTCAGTGTTGTAAGCAACGAAGCTCAAATTGAGTCACCGGCAAATTTTTATCTTTTCAAGTTGAGCTTCAAACCTCGATGCTGCCCAACTTCAACTCCCACATCCATCACCATATCGTCCGCAACACACCTGCATCAAGCTGGAAAGCACCATGACCAGATTAGACAGTTGGAGAATTTAAAACTTGACGAATTCATCCGAGCATGTATGCTAACCCACGACTATAATGAGATTCCAGAGTCGCCACTTGCTTCTAACGCCAATTCCGCCGACCTGCCACGCTATGCTGCCATAACCCATCCTCTAAACACAACCAGATGAAGCCATTGCCGTTGAACTTGTCCGTAACGCATCGCCATGTATATATCGCCGTAGAAAACCATCGCCTGCAAAAAGAGACCCGTCCCCGGTAGACCGACGCACTCCATAACAATCCCATAACCCCCGGACAAACCCCGTTAAAACCGCCATCTTTACGCATTACCATTATAGCTCTCACTCCCTCTCCGCCCCGTTCTCACCGGCAGCGACGAGACGTACGCATTTGTAACACTCAACTGCTCCGAAAAGCTAGCCAGCAAGCGCATCACATCAGCGCGGACCTGCTCCCTGCTCGCCGCGCCCTGCATGACCCTAGCCGAGGGCGGCGCCGGCGCGCCTCCCATGGGCACCTCCACGCCCGCACCGACACTGACACCCGTGCCGCTTCCCGCACCCATCGAGGCCACGGCCGCAACCCTCGGGTGCTGCAGCTGCGAGCCTCCTCCCGACCGGTTGTCCCTCCACCCCCTGCGCCCGCGGCTGACACTGCTGCCCATACCCATGCCCATGGTGAGATACTCTTGGTCGTACTCGGGCGCAGAGTAGCCGCCGTCGTCGTCGTAGCTGCTCGTGCGGGAGTGCGTGGCTGAAGAGCTGGTGATGCTGCCGTTGGAAGGGCCGAAATCTGTCATGACCGACTGGTTGTCCTCGTTGGGTGGGGGCCTGGCTGCCAGGCGGGTGAACTCGCCGTCGTCCGAGACGTAGATGGATGGTTCGCGCGCCGTGGGTTGAGAAGGCTGGTAGAAGGAGGCGTGGCGTTCCAGGTCGAAAGGGTTGGCGCCGCCAAGCTCCGAGCCGCTGATCGATGCCGCGTCCGAATTTGCTGTCGAGGGTCGGGTAAGCTCTGGCATCGGCAGGCTTTCGTCGAGGTCGATCAGGCTGCCCACGGAGATGCGGTTGTCTTGGGTGTTCGACTGCATAAGGTCGTACGGCTCGGAAAGCTGCCGGAGCGCGTCGGTAGGATGGTGCATCATCGGGGGCCGCCCGCTAGGACCGGATATGCTAGGGCGCTCTTCGTGGAATGGGAACCGCGACATTTCGGGATTGGCCGACGCCGGTGGAGCCATGGTCGGGAATTTCCAGTCTTGTGTTCGGCGGTTGGGGTTCAAGTCGGCCGGGTCGCTCAATGGCGGCTTGTTGAGATCCGTGTAGTCGTCAAGGTCTGGTTCGCTGGGAACACGCATTCCGGCCCGGATGGTCTCCATATCGACAAACTGCGAAAGATCGCCTCCGTCGTGAAGCGATGCGTCGAGGTCGATGAGCGACTCTCGGAGCGTCGAGTGTAGTGAATCATCGCGGAGAGGAAGATCCGACGCCGTTGAGGTTGGTGGAGGAGGAGCCTTGCCGTAGTATGCACGAGAGTTGTCCTCGTAGTTAGAGATTGTGTTGGGGTCAAACACCTTTTCGAGCGGCGCCTTGACTGGCTGGAGTTGCGGGGGCAACCGGCGTCGCGACTTGGGCTTAGCAGGCCGCGATGTCGGCTCATTGAACTCAAAGTCAACGTTGGACCCGTAGACATCGTACACGGCCTGGGCGTCGGAGTCCATCACCTGCCGGTCAAAGTCGACTGTGGTGCTGAAGTTCCACTCGTCACTGGCCGGACCTGTGGCTGGGTAATCCGAGGGTCCTTGTGAGCCGATGGGCGCGAAGAGGGACTTTCTGATTCCGCCTTGGGCCTCCCAGAGCTTGTAAGCCTTGACCAAATTGGCAAGGGTAGAAGTCGGGTAGGCGTCGCTGGTATTGAAAATATAGGGATGTTTCTGGATTTCTTGGATCGTAGGCCGCTTCGCCGGGTCTTCAACAAAGCAGAAAGCCACCAGATCCTTGATCTGGTCTGAGTATTGGTCGCCCTCTAGTCGGGGACAGTGAGTTTTGATATAGTGGCCGAGCTGGGGTATGTTAAACCCGGCCATAACGTTTGGAGGAAGGCCCGAGGCGAGCTCGTACACCAGGGAGCCAAATGCCCAGATGTCGACGGGCGTGCTGTAGGAAGGATTTGGGTCGAATAGCTCTGGGGCCATCCAGTGAAGGGTGCCGATAAAGGTGGTGCGCTTGTCGAGCTTTGACTCAATAATGCCGGCGACGCCAAAGTCGCACAGCTGAACTCCGCCGGCCTCAGTGACCAGCACATTTGCGCTCTTGATGTCGCGATGGATAATACCTTCCTTGTGCACCCTGCAGATAAAGTTAGAACACCATTCCTTGCCAGAGAGTTTTTGGTGGCTGGTCCTCAGGACGAGCAAGAGCAAAAAGAAACTTGGATTCCTTGCTTACCAGTAGATAGCTTCAGCCACTTCTCGCACAATTGGTATGATCCACTTCTCTTGCAGACCACCCGGTGCTGTCGGCTTCATCAAAGTCGCCACGCTTCCTCCAGCGCAGTACTCGGTGACCATCCACATGGCCTGGCCCACAGGGAGCACGTCAAGGGTAAGGTTAACGTTTTTGGCACCGCTGTCGCTGAGGCGTTTCAGGGCGCTGAATTCTTTCATAAACTCGCTGTACGTGTCAGCGAGCCTGGGGTTAAGTGTGTCGCTCTCCTCAATGTTGATGATTTTGACGGCGACGATCTGCTTTGATTTCAGGTCGGTCGCCTTGTAGACCCGACCGTAGTTTCCCTTCCCAATGAGTTCTTCCAGTTGGTAGGGCGGCACATCCTTTCCGGCTTTGTTGCATTCGTCCTCCACAATTGCCTGCATCTTCTTCGCATCTTCCACCGCTTTCAGCTTGGAAGAGGAGAAGTCCGGGTTCCGGACTTGCAGGCTCGCCATGATGGCTAGCAGAACCAGTCTTTGAGACTGGCTAGAATTGGGAGGGGCGACGGCTAGGGGCCGTGACGAAGGATGCAGAGTCGCTCCTGTTGTCCGGGAGCTCGGCAATCCAGACCTGATTGTCTGGAAGCTCCGCGACCCAGGACAGGTCAGGAAGCTCGGCGACGCAGGTGTTTGGAAGCTTTGCTATCCACACTTGGCTGCCCGGAAGCTCGGATATCCACGCCTTGCTGTCCGGAAGCTCGGCAACCCTCACCTGGTTGTCTGGAAGCTCGGCTATCCAGACCTGGTTATCTGGAAGCTCCGCTATCCGCACCTGGTTGTCGGGGAGCTCCGCTGTCCAGACCTGGCTGCCTGGAAGCTCAAAGATCCGGGAGCCGTGTGGAAGCTCCACTATCCTCACCTGGTCGTCTCCTTCTGATGCCTCGAAGTACTGGTTTACTTCGAGGGCGCCGGCGGGTTCACTGTGCTTTTGGTTAGCTACTGAGCAAATGGTCGAACTGCCTCAAGTAAATAAGTAATCAGTAAATGAAACGCTTGCCAGTCCTCTGGGAAGGCTGTCTGCTGAATCCACAAGAGGATTCTCTCTCTGGCCCTCGCAGAGGGCGACTCCCACGGCAAGGTCCGGGGGACAAGGGGAAGGAGGCGGCTGGGGGCAGGGGGAAGGGCAAGGAGGCGGACCAGGTGGCGGGTGAAGAGGGCCTCCTCCTCTGGGTCAGGAGTACCCCCACACCGACAGACTCCCTGTCTAGGAGGAGCCCAAGTGGAAAAGGGAGGCCGCTGGTCCATTGCGATCAGTCTAAGGTACGTTTCTAGTGCAGGGTATAGGGGGTTCAAAGAATGGTATAGGAGTCAGGGAAGTGCAGGGAGTCCATGTCAACTCACAACTCAATGCCAGGGGAAGACAGAGCATTTTAAGCAACACCAGAGCCGCTGCCGTTAAGGCCAGCAATTCCACATTGACAGCCAGCCAGCGGTGGATGCGCTGGTTATTCGAATAGAACGACGACGTGCCCGGTTTGGTGTGCGTTGACAAGCGCTTCATAAATCGGAAAAGGTCACTTACCAAAAACTTGAGGTCGTTGTCAGCGTCAGACAAAGTCTAGCTCGCGATAGTGAATTGTATGGAGTTGTAGACGCGAACCATGCCGTCGCCGATAAAAGGTTTGGGGTGGGGACTCGTTAAGGCTGAAACCGCGTTCGTGCGTGCGTGCGTGGAGAATTGGCCAATCATCGCCCTGGTTGTGCGGGTGGCGCACCCGCCGCCAACTTTGAGGAGGAGGGGGGCGGAAGAGGCTTGATACTGGCTTTGATTTCTGAACCTGCCTTATAAACAACTCGAAGATGGTACTTGTGATTTTTTGGGCTCTCTTACTGTTCATTGTGAACTAGGTACTGTTGAATTGTATTGTACCCTGACTCCTTGACTACCTTACCCCTGAATCTTAATGTAGGTCTTGTATATGATAGTCCTAAACGCCCTTACCGTCGTTGATAGAACTGCACTGGAATTGGCTTCGATATGAACATTGTCGCCATCCCTAGCACAACTTGCTATTGCAGAGTCTGGCCACCAAATCTTCAGGACGCCTTGGAGATCAAACGACCATGTCTTTGTGTCGAGTTTGTCTCCAGAAGCGGGTGAGGTGCAAACAGCGCAGTGCCATCTCAATAACCTGCCAGTCCGTCCGGTGTAGAGCCCTCCAAATACCGGTTCTCAACCAAGTGGCCACGGTTGCAAGAGTACAAGCCAGATGAGTGCCCCAAGAGTACTACCCCCGAGTCTCGCCATGACCCTGACCCTCACCCGCTCCCCGTCTTGCCCTCCTCCTCCAGCCGGCTAATCATCTTGGCATGGATTTTCGCCCACCCATTCTCACACTGGCTCTTTACCAGGCCGATCAGCAACCTGGAGCACTGGATATTCACGTCCTCGACCAGCTCCAGCAGCCCGTCCTCTCCCTCGACCTCCCTGATCTGCCAAAACGTGTCCATGACGATCGACAGCGGGCTCCGGATGCGCACAAACAGCCCGTCCTTGATATCGGTGAACTCGTACGTGCTCACCACATTGGTGTCCCAGATGCCCGCTGGGATGGCGTGCACAATGTCCGTGACGCGGTAGCACGTCGGCGTGGGCACAGGATCTGGTGATGATGATGATGACCGCCGGAGCTGTGATTTAACCGAGTCCGGCACCGAAGGGGCAGAGTCCAGACTGCCGGCCGGGTCCGCAATGCGCTCAAACTTGTCCAGGTGCGGGTCGCAGGACAAAAAGAACTCGTAATCGGAGAGCATGGATAGCGCCTGGGCGCGGGTAGTGCCTTTGGGGAGGCGGGAGGAATGGGTGATGTTGGCGGTGGAGCTTAAGACTGTTTTGGTGGCCGGGTGTTAGGGGTGGTGAACTAATTTGTGCAGAAGAGGAACTTACAGGATGACATCTTTCTGATTGTTTGAATGGCTGTATCGCTTCAATCGTCGGCCGCTAAAACTTAAGGTAAGGTATATTAGCTGAGGTGAGTTGGTAACAATTGATTCTTTACCGGTCTAAGGTTTAAACGCAGGACCTGGAGAGTGTTGGCTTATATCGGTTGAATCATTATGCCGGCTGGTTGCGCAATAAATATTGACAATGGACCAGATATGAGCGATCTGACACAGTTCAGGTCTCGTTCAAACCCAGTTGTGATTACCACTGGAAAGAGACAGGGAGGTTCAGGCTGGTCAATGAGATCTCAGGCGGGCGCGCATAATGAGGCGCAACTCTGAAACAAGAACCAAGCAAAAACCCATGCATGTATTTGTATATGCGCCTTCTGTGCTGATAATTGGCGATTACTCTAATCATTTACCTCAGGTCGTGAACCGCAAACGCCATGGAAGGTAAGAGGTTGGAAACCACAACTCTACAAAGCAAAGGAAGAGGAGTGGCCTTGGAAGTGGCAGCATTTACATAGGCAGGGTTAGGGTTGTACGTATTGCGTCTTCTAATCTTCTTAAAGGTGGATGGTTGCTTGACCAATCGCGACTTCAACTCGTCGTCGACACAACAGCCTCGTACCTTGGCAGCTACTGCGCAATGGGCACACTGGTTGCGGCCCGGGCGGCATATGTGTGTCGGACTTGCGCACAGCACTTCCACAAGCAATTGGGGCTACGGCGAGGGTATTCGAGTTCGGCTGCTCAACCAGACATTTACGATGTGGTATGTGTCGGTGGAGGGCCCGCGGGTCTCAGTCTCCTTACGGCACTGCGTAAGTGGTGCTGTTGAATTCTACTATTCTGTGCTCTCTAATATGTCAACTTGCCAGGGTCGAATCCCATCACTTCGCACCTCCGAATCGCCCTCGTTGAGGCACAGGACCTGGCCAAGATGAAGTCCTGGAAGCTCCCGCGGGACAGCTTCTCCAACAGATGCAGCTCCCTAACTCCCTCCTCTGCCATGTTTCTCGACAGAATCGGTGCCTGGAAACATATGGAGCGCGACCGAGTTCAGGAATACCAGGAGATGCAAGTCTGGGATGGCGTGACTGGCGCTCGAATCGAGTTCGATTGGGCCCCTGGCTCAACCTCTCCTGCCGGGACTACAATTGCATACATGATCGAGAACCTCAACCTTACATCAGGCCTTCTGAGGCGGCTCGAGGAACTGGGCGGCGTCTCCACATTTGACAACGCAAGGGTCGAGAAGATCTCCTACGGCGAGGAGACTGAAGAGCTGGACCTGCGAGAGTGGCCGTTGGTCCATTTATCAGGGGGCAAGCAGCTCGCCGCTCGGCTCCTTGTTGGGGCGGATGGCGCAAACAGCCCCGTGCGCACATTCGCCGGCATTCCAGCTCGTGGTTGGGACTATGGCCGTCACGGTGTCGTTGCCACCCTTGAGCTGGAAGGGGAGGGCTGGGGTGGAGCCAATACTAAGATTGCCTACCAGAGGTTCCTCCCTACGGGGCCTGTCGCCTTGCTTCCTCTACCAGGCAACCATTCGACTCTTGTATGGTCGACAACGCCAAGCAACGCGTCGCTGCTCAAGAGCCTGTCAGCCGAGGACTTCGTTGCCATGGTGAACGCCGCCTTCCGGTTGACCCCAACAGACCTGGAGTACATGCACACCCAGGGCTCAGGCCAGGCTGATGAGTACTCCTGGAGACTGCAGCATACCAAGTTTGATACTTGGGCAGTTCCGCAGGCCGTCACCGGGGTCCAGGAAGGGAGCATTGCCTCGTTCCCGCTGAAGCTGCGGCATGCGGACACGTACATCGGAGAGCGCGTGGCTCTTGTTGGCGACGCGGCTCATACCATCCACCCGCTTGCAGGACAAGGCCTAAACCAAGGGCAGGGTGACGTGCAGAGTCTGGCTAATACTATCGAGTACGCCGTCAGCCACGGATGGGATATCGGCGTTGCCATGTCGCTGGAGCCCTACCTCTCCGAGCGGTACGCTGCAAACCATGTGCTCCTTGGAGTCTGCGACAAGCTCCACAAGTTGTACTCGGTTGGCAGCGGGCCTCTGGTGCACCTCAGATCGGCGGGTTTGAGCGCCGTCAACGCCCTAACGCCGCTCAAAGCCTTCCTCATGAGGCAGGCTGCTGGAAATGGGATCAAGGTCTTTTGACCCGCCGACTTCCGAGGTTTTCCCCATGGACCTGTCCGACACTCGATTCTGCGCTGTACAAATTTGTTCCCATAGTGTATTATATGCCGCCTGGACAACATGGACCTGTTTGAGGGAACCTTTTGCGTTTAAGATGGAATATCCGCCCTGGCCTTGAATTGCCTAAAGCGTTTCCTTGATGTCGGCCCCGTGGGATCTGAATGGGATGAACTCGCACGGAATATACGGCACGTGGCTCATTTATATCGTCCTACACTTCCACCTAGGACCTCCTGCCCGGTATGTGGTTGCTATTCGCCTATAACCCACCTTCTCGCCACCCTGCGTCGTCTTGGTCCCGACTGCAGGGTCTCGTAGGCCCTCTCCGAGGTCGAGCTGGGTTGTCATGTGAGCTCCGGAGCCAGGTCTCGGCGCTGTGATTGTTTAAACCCGATCCTATTGTTGCCTTTATCTCAATAGAGTGCGTCAAGGTACATTGTATTAGCTGTCTCTTATCATGAAGCTGCTAATAGATCCGGAAGCCAGCAGGTCCTTCCTTATCACCCCTATTGTTCAGGAGCACATTAATGCCTACCATAGGGGAGAAGCAATTCAAACACTAACTTCTGCGTTCAAGCTCTCACAGGTTGCGATGAAGGCCCGCAGACTGAGCTCGGCAAGATCTATTGAAAAGAGTCAACACAATAGATACAATATTTCATGCCCGCTATTGTCGTACATCCCTCGGAATAGCTCTCCTCAGCTCATTACTTTCCGCCACAACCTGGTAATCAGTCGGTTTATATCGTTTGCTAAACATGTTATAAGACCTGACCTGGGTCTTCCGCAGTTCCGTTCGCGGTGCTTGATCATCATTCAACCCTCAGCCAGAGCAAACTGCCGCCGTCCCACCACGCTGTTGCGTGACCTTCGTGTGGCAGCAATAGTGAGACAGGGCGGATAAGGCTGAGCATTCTACCGGTTGTTTGGGCCGTACCCAAGATTCAATCAAACACACCAGGCCACTGTCGTGGAGCACACACACTCCTGGCCAACGCCGTCGTCGGCCTTCTTGAGCAGGTAAGCCCCTGAGCCTTGGCCTGCCCCCAAACTCCTCTCCCATTGCTCCTCCAAGTCGTTCCTGCGTTTGTTTGTTTCTTGTATCTTTCCACCACTCCTTTTTTTTCCGCTTCCCAAGCTCACAAGTTCGCCAGCGGGCTTCGGTCGTACCTGAACGTCCTCTGCTTTGCTGGCAGCTTTAAGTTGTAAGTGGGGAGAGAGTTCACTGTACACAGACTTCTTCTATCTCCCGTTTTCAACCAGAATTACTGGAGAGCTGTGGACTTGTGCGAACTCAGAGCGTTTTACAAGAGCACCTGGGCTATTATAAGTCGGAGCTTTTTGGTTTCTGGCAACCAGACCTTCCTCGCACCTCCTCCTACCTTTTCTTTAGAGAATTTCCCACCAGGTTGCTTCCCTTGAACTCTCCAAGCTCGAGATGCTTTCTGCTTCTTGCAGGATTTCCTTTTCGTTCGACCCTGACCTTGAGAGTTCCAGAACAGAATCCTTGGGAGGGCAACGAGCCTCACCAATAACAACTCATCCACGATGTGCTTCCAGGAATACATCGCGTATCAATGCGGCCACCGCTCGCCCTCTGTGGCTCGCCCCTGCCCTATGACAACGGCCGGCCATAACTTCCCGGTTTGCACCATACAGCCAGTCAAGGAGTACTTTGCCGAGACAATGTGCGCAGCCTGCGAGCGCCAGATGCACTCCCGCTGGGTTCTTATCCGGGAATGGGAGCACCGGTGGCTTCATGAGCGTGGTGCCTGCGGCTGCGACGTGTGCTTCCCGGGGTTGCTGACCACTCCACGGGTGATTGGCGACGATTCTTCCTTCACGGGGAATCAAGCCTTTTCCGGGACCAGCTCCTCAGCGACAGCTGCCGGGTCTAGTGATGGACATTCGGAGAGCAGACAATACAGTGCCAACGTGGGCATCGGCGATGGCCGGATTCCAGCCCTCTTCTCTGAGACGGTAACGACTTCGGGTGAGCATCGAGTCTCTATCCGCATCCCGAGCCTCTACGCGGCGGAGTGGCTGGCCGACCACCGTGGGCTGCACGCTGCTGGAAAGTGCAGTTGCAACGCCGACTTCGCCCCCTTTCGGCCACAGATTCCGGACGAAGAACTGACGCCAACAGACCAGCAGATTGTACGCCTGTGGCAGCAACTGGTATGTACAATCTGGATTTTCTTATTTCTGTTTACCCCTATCTTTGTATCTTCATGAGACAGGGGCCTTCTCTCCTTGGCCGCTTCAAGTCAAGAGAAATCGCTGACGTTCTTGCTCAGGACGCGGAAGGTGAAGGAAACGAACCAAATGCCCGAGATATCGACGGTCAAGTTGCCGACAGTTCGCGGCGTATTGCCCAGATCACAGAGATATTTGGTTTTTTCACAGCAGGTAGCGAGACGCCGAAAGTCAACCTGCCTCCGCCAACCGTAACCTCAGTCGACAGTAGCCAGGGCTCAGATATCAACAAGACTCACGAAAAGGGTCGGCGAGGGCACAAGCAAAGCAGGCAAGACAGCGCCAAGATCCAGACCAGGCGTCAGGTCCAACCCGATGGCCGTTTCCCATTCCAAAACCTAAAGAACCCTCCCGAGCAGCAGCACGCCGGGCTACACCCACAACCCACAATGGCGTACAACCCTCTCTCCCTCGTGTTCAGCAACCAACCCTTCAACAACGTACCCTGCGAGTTAACCACCACCGGGGGCGAAGCGACCGCCTTGACACGTACCACGCTCTACCCAGGATACCCAGGAGAATACCCCATCTACCAACACCCGCATCCCAATCCCAACCCCTATCCCCAGCCCGCCAACCCATACTTCGCAACCCCGGCCACCTACTCCGACACCATCCCGTTCGGCGCCCGTCCCTGGAGCATGCGTCCTCAAGCCCCACACGGCGCCTCCGGTCCCATCTCCGGCCCGGGGCCCTACTGGAACCTCGGGCTCCGCCATAATAGTCAAGCAGTTCCTCCGGCAGCCGGGGGCGGCGCTCAGCAACAACATCATCATCAAGGCGAGGCCTACCACCACGGTTACAGCCAGCAGGGGCAACAGATCATCGCCTCGGCTGCCCCGCCGAACCCGACGCTTGCCATCTGCGGAGTGCCCATCGGCGCCGGGCCCGAGGGCGAGTCCCACATGCCCAGCTGGCGGAACTGCCGTCTACGCAGCCTCAGAGGCGAAAGCGCTGGAGGATTGAGCCTGGAGGGGTCAAGTGCAAGGTACTACAGCGCGAGTGAATGCGGCGGGGGGGATGATGAAGACAAGAAGGAACAGGAGGACGAACAGGAGACGGAGGAGTCGCCAGCGCCGCCTCTGGTGCGTCGGCATTCGACTTTGCTTTGATTGAAGCAAACTTATCCTTGATAACGCGCTTGGTCAGGGGTAAGGCGGTTTTAGTGCTGCCAACCGCCGACCGGGGCTCGCGGCACTTGTCTGCGTAGGTTTTCATAACCCCATGGCTCACATTAGGAGACAGAGCAAAATTACTAACATGAGAAGTCATCAGGGCTTGTAGGCGAAGAGGAAAGTGTACAGTATTTACGTTCTCGTCTCCGTCTCAGCAACAGCAGGGGGGTTGCCACAGTCCAAAAGAGCGAAAACCCCCCAGCCTCGCAGCCCTCCCTGGCTATGATACAGCACCATCCTTCCACAGCACCAGACAAACGAAACAATACGGCGAGACAGGACACAACAACGCGAGAGAAACAAGCGGTTTCTCTGCTTCCCCCCGGCCCAACCCATCGGATCTTGATCTTCCTTGGGGATTTCCAGGTTTCACATCTATCTGTCTATGGGCCCGGGGAAAAAATCTCTCACATCACAAACCACAGGGGCCCGCTTGGGGGAGGGGGTTTCTTCATTTGACCGATGGATTAGAGAAGCTTGGTTGCAATTCCCACTTTTCTTTCCTTCTCTCAACTTGAATGTAATCTGTTTGTCCATCCCAGTCTACCGATCAACCTCACCTACAGGGGAGCAAAGTTAGTTTGGGGTTCCAGCATTCCATAGAATTTCAAAAAGCGAGGATTTGGGATGGGCCTAGAATAGAAAAGAAAGAGACACCTACCAAACACCAGATCCATGGTACCAATGACCGCCACAGCGTCAGCAAGCAGATGCCCCTTGGAGACATGGTCGAAGCCGCTCAAATGAGCGAAACCGGGAGCGCGGATGTGCACACGGTAGGGCCGCTCGCTGCCGTCGCTCACGACGTAGACGCCCATCTCGCCCTTGGGCGCCTCAATAGCCGAGTATGTGTCGCCGGGGGGCACGGCGTAGCCCTTGGTGTAGAGCAAAAAGTGATGAATAAGGGCCTCCATGTTCTCCTTCATGGCGGAGCGGGGCGGGGGCGAGATTTTGTAGTCCTCGACGCGGACGGGGCCCGCGGGCATCTTGTTGAGGCACTGGTGGATGATGCGGAGCGACTGGCGGAACTCCTCCATGCGGCACAGGTAGCGGTCGTAGCAGTCGCCGTTGACGCCCACGGGCACGTCGAACTCGACCTGGTCGTAGGCGTCGTAGGGCGCGCTCTTGCGAATGTCCCAGGGCACGCCCGAGCCGCGCAGCATCACGCCCGTGAAGGACAGGTTGAGGGCCTCAGCGGCCGATACGACGCCGATTCCCTTGAGCCGGTTGATCCAGATGCGGTTGTCCGTTAGCATCTCCTCCGTCTCGTCGATGCGGTCGCCAAACTGCGTCGCCCATTGGTAGATGTCGTCGAGCAGGCCGAGAGGGATGTCTTGGTGGACGCCGCCGGGCCGGACGTAGGCGGCATGCAGACGGGCGCCGGAAACACGCTCATAGAACTCCTATCATGAGCACGGGTATTAGCTTCGCCTGGTTTCTCCCTCGAAGGGTCGGCAGCTCTTGAATTGAAGGATGCTGTTGCCCAAATACCAAATCCACTCACCATCAGCTTCTCTCTCTCCTCAAAACCCCACAGGAAAGGCGTCAGAGCACCGACGTCCATGGCGTGTGACAGGACAGACATAAGGTGGTTCAGAATGCGCGTGATCTCGGCAAACATGGTCCGGATCCACTTTGCGCGCTCGGGAATCTCAATATTGAGCAGCTTCTCGACGGCTAGCGAGAAGCACTGCTCGTTGGTCATCATGGAGACGTAATCGAGGCGGTCAAAATAGGGGAGCTGCTGGAGGTATGTCTTGTATTCGCACAGCTTCTCGGTGCCGCGGTGCAGCAGCCCAACGTGCGGGTCCGCGCGGATAATCTCCTCGCCATTGAGCTCGAGAATCAGACGCAGCACGCCGTGGGCGGCCGGATGTTGGGGACCAAAGTTGACCGTGTAGTGGCGCACCTTGCGGTCCTCGACCGAGTCGTCGCCGCGCGATTTTTTCGCCTCCGTGTTGTACTGGTTCCTGCTTTGCGGTAACGGGATCTCATAGGCGTGCGCGGGGGTCTGGAAGTCGCTCCCTACGGGGATCAATCGGGTGCCCTGATAGCTCTCGGGCTCGGCATAGCGACGGAGGGCCGAGGCGGAGAAAGCGCGGGTCGGGTGTGAGATGGAGGCGGCAACCGGTGATGATGTTCTTGTGCAGAGCCGCTTGGCGCTCCGCCCGGCTAGCCTGTAGAGCGAGGCGGACATATTCAACTAGAATCAGAGAGGAGGGATATGAAAATTAAAGTGGAAGAGAAGTCGAAGAGAAGGGAATGCCGGGTGTGCTCGCCCGGTTGCGGCCTCTTCTCCAGCGTCAATGGCTAGCACTGAGCTTGCAGATTGGTGGAGTTCCTGTCTCAAGCCTGTCATTCAGTGACTTCAGGCGGTTGCCACTTTCGCCAAGCCCCGTGCCCAGGGCCGATTGGGTGGAACGTCAGGCTCTCGCTCAGTGGCCAATTCCGGCATGCAGGATGCCAAAGCACAGGCCAAGCTTTAAAGGCGGTCAAGATTTCACTGGCGGTATCAAAATATTCTGCCGCTTTTTCATGGCCCAAGATTTCCAGATGCGATAGGCGACGGCGAGTGACAACCCCGCTAAACCAGTCCCAACCGTCACAATGCCTCACAAACCGCCCACAAAAGAAGAGCTCGACAGGCGAAAGGTTGGATGCTTCTTCTCACATACGGGAATTACATGGCTAACTCCATTAAAAACCCGCAGATCATCGGTATTCACGAGGAAACCATAACCAACGTCACATCAAGCGATATTCCCTACCACTACCCTGGCGAGGACCACTCCTGGGACATTGAGAAATTCCGCAAGGGATTCAGCGTTGAATTCCACCAGAACGACCCCTATGAAGCATCCTTCTCGCTCATCGGCTGCGATGCCTCGATCGCAAACGCCTTCCGGCGCATCATGATCGCCGACATCCCGACCCTCGCCATCGAGACCGTCTTCATCAACAACAACACATCCGTCATTCAAGACGAGGTGCTCGCGCACCGGCTAGGTCTGATTCCATTCAAGGGCGGCCGCGAGGGCCTGCACAATTTTCTCAAGTGGTGGCGGAAACCAGCCGACGAGTCGCAGATCAACAGCAGCTACTACGACTTCAACACCGTCTCCCTGCGGCTCGACGTCAAATGCGAGCACAATGAAAACGCCACGCCCGGCGAGAAGGACCCGACCAAGCTTTACAAGCACGCCCACGTCTACGCGCGCGACATTGAGTTCTGCCCCGTGGGGCGGCAGGAAAAGTACTTTTCGGGCGCCGACGCCATCGCGCCCGTCAACCCGGACATTTTGATCGCCAAGCTGCGGCCGGGCCAGGAGATCAGCCTGTCGATGCACATGCACAAGGGCGTGGGGTCGGACCACGCCAAATTCTCGCCCGTCGCCACCGCCTCGTACCGGCTCATGCCCGTCATCAGCATCGAGCGCCCCATCTTGGGCAAGGACGCCGAGAAGTTCGCCCGCTGCTTCCCGCCGGGTGTTATTGGGCTTGAAAAGGTGACCAAGAAGGAGGCGGCGCAAAAGGGCAGCGGCTACGAGGGCCACGAGGGCGAGCTCAAGGCCGTGGTTGTTGATCCCATGCGCGACACGGTCAGCCGTGAGTGTTTGCGGCATCCCGAGTTCAAGGATAAGGTCAAGCTCGGCCGGAGGAGGGACCATTTTATTTTTCTGGTTGAGAGTACCGGCCAGTGGGAAAGTGACGCCATCTTTATTGAGGCTGTTGCTCATTTGAAGAAGAAGGCCAAGGATCTAGAGAAGCAGGTCATCAACATGGTCAGGTAGAGAGAAATTGTCTTGATGGTCGGGAAATACCCCTTTCTCTCTGTACATACATCTTAGACTCGGTGGGCATGGCGTCACGGCGCGGATTTAAAAAGGGGTTGGTTTGGCCGTTAGTCATTCAGTTCCCTTGCACATCTGCCATAATCGTCAACGGGATTCTGACTGCACCGTGCACCCAGGCCTCCCGTATCACCTGAGTATAATATCTTATAGGAATGCCGTTAGCAGACCCAGAGATCTCTTGTATTCAGAAGCCTGGTTGTATCATGCCGCTAATGTACCATGCTTTTAGCCCCTGTATGTGCACCCCGCAAGAAATGCTCTCACCAAAGGAAAGCCACTCCCCGAAGCCGTCTAGCCCAATACCGAGCTATTACTTAAACCTGAGTCTAAATTTGAAAGTAACCGTTGCAAACGCCGGATCCGTCACCGCTATTTCCTGCCCATCCACCAACCCGAGCTCTGTCAGCGTCTTATCCAGATTAGGCCTCGTCTGCGCCTCCAGACCCGGCGGCGACTGCATGTACAGCGTCTTGCCCTCGGCGCGAACGCTGGGCTTCTTCAACTGCGCCTCGGGTCGCTCCGCCAGCGAGTCGAGCAGCTCGCGCAGCGTCCATGCCGGGTCGACGTTGGGCAGAGGGCGCGCCTGCTGGCCGCACACGGGGCAGTCGTCCTTGCGCTCATGCTTGAACGTGTACGTGTAGATGGAGTCGTTCCCCGAGTACATCATGTAGTTATCGTCTGGGAACCCAAGGAACGGCGCGCAGTTGGAGGCGATCTTGAGCGCCTCGTTGCAGCACGCCGCGGCGATGACCGAGTTGGTGGCGGCGATGGCGGGGATGATGTTCTTCACCACGCCTTGGGTGAGCGAATAGGTGACGCCGGGGATGTTGAACTCGCGGGCGCGGGCTAGGGCCTTTTGGTAGAGCCAGGTGATGTGCTCCGGGTCGTCCTTGTCGAGAGTGGGAAAGGGCTTCTCCTTGTCCCAGGCAATGACGTGTGCCCACTCGATGCAGTGCTCGGGCTGTCGCGGGATGCTGGCTAGGGTGCAGAGGGGCACCGCTGCGCGCGGCGCGTGCATGTCGAGTTGGCATTCGATGCAGGATGTGACAGTCGGCAGGATGACCCTAGCTTGGCCCTTGAAGCCTTCTGTTCCTCCATCTATAAGTGGTTTGTAGCTGTCCTCAACGTCCTCGTCAACCATGTTGACGAGCGTCGCGTTGATCCACCGGCGTGCCTCGATACTGTCCAGCCCGCACACGACGAGCTGGAACTGCATGTAGAAATCCTCGTCGAAGTTTTGAATCTTGCAGTTGTGTGGTGTGATCTTGACGCCCTTGACTCGCTTCTCAACAAAGGCGGCAGCCACCTCGGCCTTGAACTTGCCTACATCTGCCTGGCGGAACAGGAATTGCCGATTGAGATTGGAGATGTCGATCGTGTCCATGTCAATGACGTGTATGTCCTTGAACCCAGATAGCGCGAGATTCTTGAGGATCTCACAGCCCAGGCCGCCGGCTCCAATCACCAAAACCTTCATGCTCTCCATGGCCTTGGCCACGGCACTACCATCAAATACATCTGGATTTGTAAACGGACCGGGCCGGGTTCGAATCCTGTCGAGATAGACCCATCTCGCGGGTTCAGAGCCCGGGTACACTTCGTCAGAAGTCATGGCTTACGTGGGTGTGCGCGCAAAGCGTGTCTCCAAGTGATTCGTGCCGGGGTTGTGAATCGCAGGAGCTAAAGATTGGATGGAGGTTGCACATCAACTGAAGGCTGCGGGGCATGTTTTGGGGTACTGTACCCTAGCGGCTTGGCAAGGCAGCCACTTGGAGCGGGAGAATATCGCAACAGCCAAGACGATTTGCCGGGAACCAATGACACAGTGAAAGGCATGGGAGAACCAGAAGCTTGGGAGCAAGCACTGTTTCATCCGAAGGCTAACAAGAAATTATAATCCTAGCCTTCATCTAAGTCGCTTAATCAGTCCAGCTTAGAGAACTATCGAAGAGAAACGCAATTTTCCCTCAAGTCCAGTCGTCTCCGCTGCCGCGCAAAGATGGACGAGCTACTAAAACCAGTCAGCACAGTCCGCATAAACAAGAGCGACGATTCGGCAGGGTTGCTAAGAGAGCTGAGCATTCAGAATCAGCCCTCCCATACCCCCCAGGCCAAGCAAAAGCAGCAGACGACATCTCCCAATTCACCAGAAGATGCGCTCGAGATCCTCAGGCATGAACCGGACTATGATTTACTAATTTTTGTCTTGAGATTCCTTTCTCGATATGAGTCTGAGCGTCTCGGATTTCCCAGTATCAAGTCCCCAAACCCCGTGAACGCCCGGCTCGTTCAGGTTCTCGTATCAAATATTGCGCCTAATTACTGGCCATTACTACTCGAGGATGCCAACAGCGGCAAGAACTCCGGTCTGAAGCTGTTACTGCATTGCCTCTCCAGCGTTACCGGAGTAAACGCTATTCTCCTCCGTCTAGGCGCTCTAATTCAAGAAGCAAAGTCAGAAGCCGCTGGCAAGACACAGCGGCCGGATGATGCCTTGAACCTCGATATTTACCTTGACTTGCTCTGTCGTGTTCTTCAAGGCAATCGATGGCTCATCGAAGCATGGGAGGTTGCGGCCTCAGGGCAGGATGCGCCAGCACGGGTGAGGCCCGCTGTGCAACTGACCCTCGCAACCCTCGGTAGTGGCCGGATCATTTCACTTTCTGCCGAGGCTGAGGAAATCGTTAAGACCAGCAAACTCAGCAGGCGAGCTGAAAATATCTGGCTTGCCGACTCACTACAGTACACGCTCTGGCTCGGTCAGAATATTGCTACATGGCTGCTGTCAGACATGGCTTTGAAGGAGACAAAGTTTGCTTCAGAGTTCTTCGTCAAGGCCCGAAGCCTTGGTCATTCTGGTAAGATGAACCGCTTGGAGAATGTTTGTCACAGGCTCTAACACGCCACAGATGCCCTGATTGGACATATTCTGGAACAACTGGTCCTGAAGGACGGGACTGACCCGACGAGGCTCAGTCCTCTGTTGAGCAACTTGCCTCAAACTACGCAACGCCAAGTCATATTCTCCATCTTGAAGCTGCTTTCCGCCAAATACCTTGATCGCTTAGGACGATGCGAATTAGAGGAAAACAAGCCGCTTATATCCGCTGTTTCTGGTGCCCTCAACTTAATCCTTGGTGCAGACGAGAACGGGAGAAGGCACCTGGTCGACTGGCTGACCGGCTCTAGTGGGGCTGGCATTGGGGAAGGGGTTGCGATCCGGCGAGCCGTAATAGCTGTCGTTTCACAGAATAAAGATGATATTGTGGCTGTCCTCGAGAAAAGTCTGAGCCAGTTTGGGGAATCACTCTACATAAAGCATTCCCCAATGCTGCAGCAGGAAGGTCAGTGTCATGAGCATGGAGTTCAGTGAGCATAGCTAACAAAGCGTACAGCCCATGCTCAGGTTCTGCTCCTGAGTGCCGGCTACGTGCACAGATTATGGCCGATCAGGTTGACAATGCTTTTGCGGTCCAGTGTCTGGCTCAACGCCATATCGAACCGCCTGGCTGCCCCCCACCAAAGGGCTCGCTTCCTCGGTATGGTCGTCGGCGAGGGTCTCTCTGGCCTTGTTGATAAAGGAGACAAGAGGCTCAATTTTCACATGGAGGAGACGGACGAGGGTGAGGGGCTATGGTATAAGGGGCTGACCGAAGTCTCGGATGAGATTGGCCCTTTGGATCCTCTTTGGAAGCCTCAAATCAAGACACGGTCAAAGGGCGATCGACCAAAGCCGGCGAAAAAGCCAGAAACGAGACCAGCAACCAAGCCCCCGCAGACTGGTTTTATCATTGAGGAATTGAGTGACGAGGAGGCACCTGAAATAGATGACATCGTCCCTTACGCAAAGCCGGACTCGGACCCAGAAGACTCAGACGAAGACCCGACCTTGATCAGGCGTGATAAGCCGAAAGCCCCCGTCTACATCAGGGACCTAATCAAATACCTCCGAGATACAGACAGCTACGATCATCAAAAGCTTGCACTGTCAACCGCACCAACCCTTATTCGGCGAAAAGCGAACTATGGAACAGAGGTTTCGGAGCATGCAGACGAACTCGCTTCTCTACTCGTGGGACTCAGTGATAGGTTCGAGATGCCAGACTTTGATGAGCTGCGACTTCAGGGGATGATTGCTATTGTCGTCGCCAAGCCGCACATCATGGGCCAGTGGTTTGCTAAAACCTTTTTTGAAGGGGACTATTCCATCTCACAACGGGCCGCGATCCTCGTCGTCTTGGGACTCAGTGCTCGCGAGCTCGCAGGCCTTGAGAGGTCAGATTACACCGCGAACGCAGAATTCCCCTCTAGGAGGCTTCCAGAACGAGTCGAAAAGCTCTATCTCAGCCAAAGCCCGTCCACAAGCCAGTCATCCTCAACCCTGAAACCCCTCCCGCCCAATGCACTTGACGGCATAGCCAGCTCTCTCACGTCTTCCTTTCTGGCTCCGCTAGCAGCCAGCGCCGCCGATGCGGCCACCGGCCCCGACATCCTCAAACTATCCACTGTTACATCCCAGCTGCAGGAAGCTGAACAGCGACAAGAAGGTCTCAAAGGTCCCAGAATAACAAAGCACAAATCCCTCAGCAAGCCCCGTGTCCGCTCCATCCCGAATACCACCGCCAGCCTCATCGCCACCTCCTTCTTTTCACCACTGATAGCCCGCTTCCAAGCGGCTCTGCACGCGTCCCGCAGCCGGGGCATCCTCTTTCACTCGCATCTCCTCGCGCTTTACCTCAAAACGCTCGCCCTGCTCGTGCACGCTGCCGGGCCCAGCACTTTGTCTCTGCCCGAGATGACGGCCGAGCTGTGGCGGCTGCTCCTCGGCACGAGCGTGCGTGCTGCGGCCGTCGGCGATCTTGCTGTGACGAGGGCGGTGCTGTTTGGCTTCATGGCGCTGTTGGAGGTGAATGAGAACCGGATGAGGGACGTCTGTCAGGAACTTGGGCGCGAGGTGGTTGAGGCCGAGGAGTGGACTGCGGGGGTCTTTCAGAGGTTACGAGGAGGCGATGAGGGCGAGGAGGAGGAAGGGGTCAAGATGCTGGCTGCTGGGGTGTTGGTTAGGTTGAGAGAGGGGATTGAGAAGTGGAGGTTGGTGCTGGTGGGGGATTTGATTGGATTTGGGTGATGGCGAGATGGTTGATGATTGTGGGATACCGACGAAGTATTGAGGGGGGGGAATTTCGCAAGGTTGTTATTTGATTCTATGTCCTTATTCAGTGAGCAGATATCAAGCCTAGGAATTATGATCATTCTTGCCCATTGTCAAGATTTACATATATTGCATATAAACGTCCAAGAAAGTCGAGCAACGTCTCTCTGATCGGTTTTCACCAGGCAGGACATCAGGAGGTTAGGGTCAAGGGTGTCAGGTGACCCCGCTGCCCCAAGTTGACCCACCCTCAATGACGCCACTGCAGCTTGGCGCACTCGACCCCTGTCATCCGAAAAGGTTCTGGAACGATTGACAAATCAAAGACGACGCAACCCGAGACAGCCGTTGAACTGCAGCGAAACATCTCACCAGCAACATCTCGTGTGGCCTTTGTGCTCAGGAGCTGCAGTCACTCATTTCACCATGTCGGCCCAAGCTGCGTCAATTCGTGAGCATCGCACCTGTTCTGCAAATTTCGTCCCTCAACGGTTGCTAATCGGTTCCTACAGCGTCTATCGACTCTCGCGACACTGTTGCGTCGGCCGCGAAGGCCACCGAGACGGCTTCGAAACCCAAGGTTCGCCGACGATACATAGACCCCTATCTTCCGACGGATTAGCGATGCTGATTGCTTACTACAGCCGTGCTGTGTGTGCAAGGACGAGAAGGCCCGGCGCGACGACTGTATGCTTTTCTCGACTGCCGCAGATCCACAAAAGGACTGCCAGTCGACAATAGAACAGTACCGGAGCTGCATGGCAGGGTTTGGATTCAAAGTATAAGGGCTGCAGCAGAAGTGCTGGGTTGAGGCGGTATGACTATGGATGTATAACACACGACACCGGCGTTCCTTGTACCACTAGGAGAAACAGGCATAGACTTGGCTTTTGGGGCAAAAAAAAGGGCATTTCCTCTCTTACCAGGCAATATCTCTGCATGGTGAAGCCCGTCTTCTCTCCGATACAGATACAGCGAGATTTTTCCTCCATGCCTTATCCGAACTCCGGCAAAGCCACCGAGACACCATAACAAGCAACCAGCCAACCAAACCGGGGTATCTCTCTTCCGTCTCCCAGTGAACCCCGAACTCCAAAAAGGACAATGCAGCAACACAAGCAAAAGCTTAACCCAGCATCACCACAGCCGCTGCCAAATCAATCAGGCCTCCGCTTTCTCCCCCTCGCCAACCCCCTTCTTCAACTTCTCCAGCAACCCAGCCATGCCCTCCCGCCGCCCCTCATACAGCGCCAGCAGCTGAATTCCCAAGTTAAGCATCAGTTGCCGGTGCTCGGTCAGCTTCCGCGCAATGCGGGACAGCATGGCATCGCGCCGGTCTAGGGCCTGTCTGAGGCGCTGAAGGCGGGCGATTTGGCTTGCCGAGCTAGCCATGATTTACATCATGGTGTCAGAAGAGGACAATCGAGGATATGGGACCAAAGTTTGAGGAGGGAAGGCGCGAGCTTACCGAAGGTCCCTGTGCTTGGCAACAGACTTTTGCACACGGGCTTCGATTGCTGAGAGGGCAGACTCGTACGCTGAGAGGAGCGCTGCGCGGTTGGCGTCGCGGGTTTGTTTTGCCTAGCGAGAAGATGGGGATTAGAGAACGGGTTGTCGTTTTCTACGAGAGATGCTGATCTAGGTAAGATGGCTAGGTGCAATGCTGCATACCTTGCGAAGGCGGGCTCGAGCTGCGCTGGCCTCCTTAAGCCGGCTATTGTAAGTGTGAAAGTCGGCGTCAGAATCGGAATCTGCGGGCCCAGTTCCGCGGGCTCTTCTGGCCCTGGCTGTGTTTGCGGCTGGAGCCATTTTGAAGATTCTCGAATGTTACGATCTTCGAAAGCAGGCAGGTTTCATGCAATGTCAGTTCTTCTGGTGCTACTTGCAAGGCTGATTGGACATCTCGAATGAAACAGAGGTCCTGGGTAAGGTGACATGGGTGACCAGCAGCTGCAGGGGTCCCAGGATCCACTCACGTCTGCCCCTCCAGATCTCGATTGGCCTTTTTAGCACCTTCTTATCGTGGGCGGTGTCCATTGTCAAAATTATTTTGCTGGACTTCAATGCAGAAAATATCGAGTTTCCAATCCCCGTCCAAAATACGCTCCAAGCCCGGTTTCCACCTATAGCTCCTGAGAGTAGACGCTCAGCAACGCTGGCGCACTGTCAGTGAGAATGGGTCTCGCAGCCGCCAAAAGGTTAACACAATATTCTTGCGAACTGTATGCACCCCAAGTCGCTGACTGAATGTCATAGCAAGCGGAAACTTGGAAACGACCCTAATAACACCAAGTGGTCCCGCAATACCGACACCTTTGGCCAGAAAATCCTCAGGGCACAGGGATGGCAGCCGGGCCAGTATCTTGGAGCCAAGGATGCACCGCACGCGGAATGGCATAGCGAAGCGAACTCGGCGCACATCCGCGTCGTACTCAAGGACGACAATCTGGGTCTGGGAGCCAAGCGAAACAATGGTGATGAGTGCACGGGTCTGGATGCGTTTCAGCATTTATTAGGCCGTCTCAACGGAAAGAGCGATGAGGCCCTCGAGACCGAGAGGAAAGCCCGGGAGGATCTCAAACTGAGTCTGTATGTGGAGAGGAAATTGGGAACGGTTCGGTTCGTGAAAGGCGGATGGCTGGTTGGTGATCAGCTCAAGGACAAGCCCGATGAGGGGCCCGCAGAACCACGAAACAACGCAACCGAGGAGGAAACAACCGGAGAAACCCTAGAAGACAGCAGTGCGGCCGAGCCAGCGCCTGAGGAGTCCAAGAAGCGCAAGGGAGACCAGAATATTGATGGGGAGGACGAGAAGGCACGCAAAAAAAGGAAGAAGTCCAAGCAAAGGCCAACAGAACTTGAAGATGAGACGGTTAGCGACGAGGCACAGAACAACGGCAAGAAGTCCAAGAAGGGGCAATCAGAAAAGGAGGATGGCGCTAAGCCCCTGGCACCTTTGGAATTCAAGGGCAAGAGAAAGAAGGACAGAAATGCAGCGGCAGAAGATTCGTCCCGGAGTGCAAGCATCGCGGTGTCACCGATGGGCGAATCCCCGGATGAGGCTGATAGCTCTGCTACCGGAAAGCAAAAGCTGAAGAAAGAAAAGAAGGCGAGAAAACGGGAAAAGGAGGACAAGAAGAAGAAGAAAGAGAAAAAGAAAAACGACAAAGCATTGTCGGACTCGGATGCCGAGGCAGGGGACAGCATATCCAGGGAGAAGAAGCGGAGGAAAGATGACGGTGCATCTGTTCCCCTAGATGTAGCTGAGCGGTCGATTCCCGCGCCTGGTGAAAGTGCCCTCTCCACCCCGAGCGGCAGCGGCTATTCGACGCCTGTGCCAACTGGATCAAGTCGCTATCTGGCTAGATCGAGATTCATTGCTCAGAAAAAACTGGCGCTGACAGACAGCACGGCTCTTAATCAGGTAAGTCTTGTGGATTGTTCACGGAGTCTGCACATCATCAAATTGCTAATGTTGGCAAGATCTTCATGATAAAATCTTAGGCCGGTTGCAATATCCCGTCTCTCGCGGAGACGAGGTCAAGTTTGTCACCTCACCAGCTCGGACACGGTCAGATATGGAAACCGCAGCCGGTATTACCGCCAGATGATTAGGTTCCTTGGTCTTACTTGCCCTGCTGGTATCGCCATCTCGGGCTAGAAGGAACCTCCCCAGGATTACACTGCAAGAAATCATCGCATGCCCTCGGTTTCGCATGTCCTCAAACCACCGCTCGTATCTCAAAGACATTGCATATTGCAAACAGTACTATACGCTTTTAGCCTTCTCCTACCATCGCCCCAGACTCTCTCGCGGACCTTCGCCCAAAGAGGTTCGCGACGTGCCAATCCGAGCTGCGACGCGCCAATCCGAGCTACGACGCCAGCCTCTCCCGTCTTGTCAATAATGCCTCGGTACCCAGGGAGGCTCCTACTCCAGATCATCCTCGGGCGAGATTGGTGGCAAGAATACACCTCGAGCCGGCCGAGACTTGGCAATCTGAACGGGTCAATGTTCATGTTCTGGCACGCGCCGCGCCATGTTGCGGGGGGAATATACCGGTTCTGTGCGGGAATAGCAGGGCGCGAAGAGTGGATAACCTGGCGTTGGGAGCCCTCGCCTCGCCTCGGGATGTATGCCCTTGTGTTTATCACCGCCGTCACCGTTGAACCTGCAGCGGTCGCGGCTTGCCGCTTCGCATTCGACTTTTGCTAGGAACTAGCGGTGTTGACGATCGTTTCACTTTCGTATGGCGGTCGGTGACAACATGTCGCGATGGACGAGACTTGGAACATGGCGTGTAGCGGTTTTGAGAGCAAGGATGTTTCACCAGCGAGTCACCAGCGTCGAGCGAGGTTAGGTCGTTTGTCCATGATCGAATCCACTTAAAACATATTCGCGGAAGGGTGATGCTCTTTGTTCCTCCATCGCTTTACCAAGTTGTCCTTTGGTGTTACAGACGCAGTGTCGCCGGATCGTCGGAGGCCATTGGGCTAAGCTGACTCTTCTAGGGACTATCCTGATCAAGCATCCGAGTCACTTCCAGTTTTGATCCTTTCCCATGTTGACGCTCGTGGCTCGACAACACAACGACTACTGGGCCTGTGCAATAGTTCAATGAGGCCAAAGCCAAAGCAGGGGGCTGGATAGAGAAGTTTTTGGCTAAGGGATGGCTCATGGTATTCAAACAACCTGTAAGTCCGCCTCAATCAGTCACGCAAGCCCATACAAACTCGAACACTTTGACTGTTTATGGCCAACCTCCTCGAGCCGTTTCTGAGCTTGCTTGTTTCAAACGCACACAGACCCCACAACTGAAGTATAAAGGAAGCTCAAGTTCCCTCACAGGACTGCCTCGTGTGTTTCTCCCAGGCACTTCTCATCAGTTATCAACTGGATTTGCGACCTCTATACGCCCAATATATAGAATCATCGGTTTGCTCACAGTCTCAAGCCCTCGTTCAAGAAGAACGTAAGATCCTCGCTTCAAGCCGTTGCTCAAGCACGGAATCCAGGCAGAACACAAACTTCAGAGCACAAACACCACGGGTCCGTACCGCGAAACAATCTCCATGGCCCGGTTCTCAGGTGATTACGGAATCGCGCGGGACAGCGTCATGTCTGACAGCGACACGGAGAGCATCACGTCGGAGAGCGTCATGTCCGAGAGCACCACGTGGGAGAGCGCCACGTCACAGAGCATCATGTCGGAGAGCGACACGGAGAGCATCACCTCTGAAAGTGCCATGTCGGAGAGCGACACGGAGAGCATCACCTCGGAGACCGTCACTAGGAGCGAAGGCGAGGTGGACCGGGAGTTCGTCGAACGAAGTGTGCTTCACAACATGCACAACCGGTTCTACCAGTACGGCACTTGGGACGTCCTTGTCATATGCGGGTATACCGCATACCGGGCCCACCTAGACCTCATTAGAACGGAGACACCCCTCCTGGCTCTCAAGGCCCATACAGTAGACGGGCGGCTCAGCGAGTACTCAACCGAATCAAGCTTCGCCCGTATCAGCTTCCAAGATCAACATGACGTTGTCCACGACTGGATTTACAGGGCATACTCCAAGCCCGAGAACGGCGGCGTCAATGTCGTGAGCGTCCCGCTGAAGCACGACAACGGCAACAACGATTTTGAAGCTGTCGATGCTCCTCATATCACTGCGCCCCTGGTCGGCGTGACCATACGGCATCGCGATGTCAGGCCTACTCGTGACGGCAACGAGAACCGGTCGGCTCTGCAGGCTTTGCTAGACTGCTCAGATTCAAAGCCCTCGCTCAAAGAAAAGGGCCTTCACAGGCGCACGCCTGCGCAGATACTCATCTTTTGGGATTGAATCAAAGACGGAGGCTGAGACGAATAATACAATACAAGCGAGCTGGCATTTGCGACTGGCTCCGAGCGTGTTTTCAGTCGGAGGTGCCGATGGGCGAATCCTTGATTCAGGAATTGAGGTGCTGTCTTGTAGATACCATCGCTGCCGTCCGGTTCAATGATTCATTCAACCCCTCCAGACATCTCGCTCAGCAGCGGACTCTTGCCGTCGGATCAGCCTAGACTACCCCGTCTATCAGGCAATTCCAAACCTACCAGCTATCCCTCCGACGGACCTAGTCGACGAAATTACCCGCCCCGGGCCGGTGTGGCACACCGAATAGATGTATTCGATCGATGACGTCGGCGTGCGCCAATCAGCGTGGAATAGCAAATACTCTGCGTCCTGCGACTGGAACATTGAGATTCAATGGGGCAAACGTTGTCTGCCTCAGATGAAGAACCGAAGTTCACTCTTACCCCTGGTATGAATTCTCCGATTCTCGACGATCGATGGGTGTGTGTAGCAATATATATTACTATACAATATAATACGGTATGATGCAAGTGACAGACTCAGTGACATGCCTTGTTCAGCGAGTAACTCTGTGCCCAGTATATTTACATACTTATGTCCTCGTTTCTCGAGAGAGGAGGCACCCGATGGAGTGCCAACCAAACCAAGTCTATGACCGCAAACCATGAAATGGGTGTATGACCAGCACAATTGAAGTACCAACTAATCTATTGGAGATGGTCCTCAGCGCTTTCCTGGTAAAACAATGAGGAGAATTCGCTCTGATCTTCGTATCGCTAACATGTGTAAGACTGCATGGAATGGCTATAGACGAATCGCTGGTCTGACTGTGTCTGGTTGGTCCAAGGCACAGAGGTCTATGGCATCTCAGTGCCTTATTCAGACTCAGGGGCCGCCTTACATGAGGTGCCTTAGATTGGGTCCCAGGCGAACGAACATTCAGCCTCGCCTCTACGCCATCTCAGATCTGTCCTGCCACTTCTTCACTTCACTCCTTTCATCTGCCTCTCACGTCCGCCAAGAACCGCCACCCGTTCATGCGTTCACCGACCTGTCTGAAACACGTGGCCCTTATCCTTTCGCTGAGCTCCAAGTTATACCGATATGCTGATCGTCGTCTGTTCGTTCGGCATTACCTATGCATACTTAACAACTTGACTTGTTGAGGATACTCCGCAGTGTAACTAGGGCAGGCCATATCTTGGATCCAAATTCAAGGGCGAGCAATGTAACACCGCGCCGGGTAACCCTACCTGAACGCGGGGAATTCACGGATGGCCCGGAGAGGATCTTTCCACGGTTCCCCCGGCAAAGGACAAAATCAACGAGATATGTACAGCTGAACAAGTCACGATTGAAGGCCAAGCATCTGCTCCTGCTCCTCTAATACTCCTATAGTTAGTATAGTCCCCCAGTTGAAAGTCCCCTGCATTCACCTGGAACCCCTTGCCAAGGGTGTCAGACGTGAATATCCTTTCCTAGGTTGAGTTAAAGTATTAGAATGTTAGTAGAGATCATGACTGGTGCGATACTATCATACTACCTAGGTAGTTACTCTTCGTAGCATTGAACTACATCGGCCCACGTCTCGTCGTTATACAGGAGGACATGCAGGACAATTACCTTATGTACCCGACACCTACTAAATTCGAGTCACGGTGGTTGTATTGTGAGACCCCTGCTCAGGCTGTTCTTCAAGTCCAACAGTCCAAATGCATGTATTCTCCGTAGGCCTGAAGGAGAGAGCCAAAGAAATTGTATGGTTTGATGTTCCCATCCCTTTATTTGCTGATTGGGGGCGGATCTCAGCAGGCCCGCTGATCGTAGCGAAGTAATGTGCATCGAATGTGGAATGTGTTCGGACTCCCCAGGCAAGAGGCCCCGTTGACCGTCGACCGGCAAGTCCCATCCCCTTACGGAGCTTGACCAAGCTAGCGTGGACGCTAATCTCACTGGTGCAGATCGCGGATCAGCTAGGCCTAGTTAATCTGGTTGGCTGAGTTCCAAGGGGTTCAAACAGCCCACTGTCACCGTGCCAAGCTGCATCTCAACGGCATTCCAGAGGGCATTCTCGCGGGGTAGTCCGTATGGCTGGGGTCCCTCTCCTGGTTGGGGACTGCACTATTGAAAAGGAAAGACATCTTCCTTCCCCAACGAAACGCTCAATCTGTGCGCAGAACATATTGAGATCTCGTGATCCAGATTCAACGCTAAGGGGGTCCTCAATTACCCCGCATACTGTACAGCCTGCGATTGGCTTCCCTAAAAGTGGGCCCTGACGTCGAGAAGAGCTTGGCTTCGCCTTCTAAGGCCTTTGAACTGTGAGCGTTGGAATCGGTACCCCTGGAGAATGTGGAAAGAACCCCAGAATATCAAACGGACGGTGCAGATAGACACCTCCCCAACCAATGATACATGCAGGAGAGGTTTGGTGTGGATGGTAGCCAATGATACTGCTGGGATAGTGAGGGCGTCCTTCCGGTGCAGTTTAGGACGATGTCGATCGACGCTTCTCAGTAGCAGCTACTCCGTATGAGGGGGCTAACGAGGCAGTTGCGACTGCGGTGATTACATCAATAAATCAAGATCGTCACCAAGGCTTCTTTTCTTTTTCCTCTTGCTCACTCGCTCACATCGCACATCGCAGCTTTCATCTTTCTGCAGACAACTGTCCCGTGACTAATAAATAGGGTCGGCCAGCATCCATCGAGTCAGTGCGAGTCGCAAGAGCTACCCCGCTCCGTGACACATACATGGTCCAGGCCACTGCACACTTACCAAGCTGGCAATAAAGAACCCTACTACTAGTTTCCAGCCGGCCAGGCTTGATTGCAATCTCCAATCGAACGAGACTCATACCGATCGATTAGCGTAGCCATCAAGTGCTGCCGACAAAGAAAGTGCAAGCCCGACGCACATTGCGGGAAGTTACATTGCTGCTCATCGTTCGACCTCCACACGGCTCCCCATTTAAGCGTTTGACATCCACCACTCCCGATTCCACCATTGCAGACACCTCGAACGATTCCTTTACTCAAACATACGAGTCCGTGGCTCTTCCCACACCCAAAGCCCGACAGGCCGATTCTCCCGAAGCCACTCCCGCTGCACGAACAGGCCACCCTTGCGGATCTCGCATAGGGACTGTTTCGGGAGATTTGGAGATTCGACCGCATTTCGATACAAATATTCGAATTCCCGTATCCACAGGCTTCCCGATCCTCTCATCCAGCATGTCGAATATTTCAGACTCGAATCCCAACAACCCTAACGATATGGCGCGGCAACAGCGACGCGGGTCAGTCACCTCAAGTGCCTTTACCAGCCTTTTCCGGGCCAACTCTATTGCGCAGCCGCCAGCGGCAAGCTTTCCCACGCCCTTGGCGTCAACTATCAACGACCCACGCCGGAGACTGTCTGTCACGACGGTTGGCCTGTCAGGCACCTCTCCTACCACAGCTTCCGCTCTCCTTCGCCGCGCCAGCATGTCAACGAACTCGGATTCAATCGATGAGAGTGCCATTGAGGAAGACGACAGCGCCGGCAACCGCACCGCCCCCGTAACGCCCTTCATCCGCCGCATGAGCTTTGGTGCCGCCCAAGCTATGCGGAGCGCAGGCCCTCGGGGTCCAAGCAGCCCCGGCACCAATGGTAGGCCGTCCCCCGCCGTCCGCCGCAGCAGCGCTACCGTCCGCGGAAGTCCACCCACACCGCCGCTTCCCTCGGCCGGCGCTGGGAACTACACGTGGGGCAAGATTGCTCCCCAGGCAAGCACTGCAATCCAGTCCAGAGCAGGTTCTGACTTGTCTCCCCCTTCTGCTCGATTAGACCAAGGCTTCAATTGGTCCGATCAGCTTAGGTCTCGTGCCGAGAGCACCGTCAACGCGGGCTCCCGCCCGCCGTTCTCATTCCCCGCGAGCCTCGGTGCTTCGCCTCCTCGGGCTGCTCCGCCGCCGCCTCCTATTAGCCCTCGGCACGACCGGGCCAAATCCGTGTCAGACATGCCTGCACCCCCGGCCCAGCAGCCCAAGCCTCGGGCGCCCCGGAAACCCGACCCCTTTCAGGAACGTATCTTGAAGGGTGACTTTTACATGGACTGATGTCGCGGCTGCAGTTTCTTGTCTTCTATTCCTCATCATTGCGCGGCTTTCCTTCTGTTTCTGTCTTGGGCCGGCTGGGGCGTGATTTTACTTCGGCAATATCACCAAGTTGCGAGATGTTTTTGGAAGTTCCGGGAGTTAAACGGTTGGCGCACTTTTCCCCAGCAACTGATTTCAGCTGGGTCAGAGCTCTGTACGATGAGTTTACACTTGGGGTTTTGCGCTTTCAAAGCACAAACCGGCGAGAAAATCGGATTTCAAGATGTTTTACTCTTTCTGTGATGCCCCTGATGGCAGGGGGCACAGCAGTATCACATTTTTAGCAAGCGGGCGGGCAGTGTTCATGAAACGATTGCACCAGGCAAGAAAGCATTTATGAATCGGACTTAGCCGGATGGGTACCTAGGGAAAGGGCAAATCATTCTGTTTTGGTGGGCTGGCCGGAATCACTCAAGGCTTACTACGGTTTATCGTCAACAAGAGTGTAAGTTTAGGTAGGCTTCTCTGTTGCCTTGGTTCAAGGTTGCTTGTCTTCCCCGATTGCGGTAGGGGGACGGGATGAGTTTCGGCGACGGGGCGGAACATGAATGGAGCCATATTCATCTTTCGTACAAGATTGTTTGATTGACGCTTTCGGTTGCCAATTTTTGGGAAAATAGGCCAAGGCAATGCCACGTAGTACAGCACACGAGACTACAAATACAGCTTTGATGTACTGATATCGTCAGGATTCTTGTCTTCAATATGAACTGTCACTGGGTTGGCTCACTCGTGAGTCGTTAGCCCGTGCTTTTAGTCAACAAGGGGAAGGGATATAACGTTTCTGCCGTGACTACCTTCGTTAGACTATAAGGTAGGTAGGTAGGTAAGGTAAAATCATTGTGTGTACCTTAGTTGCTGATGACAAGTAGTAGTACTATGGCCTGCCGTGTCAAAGTGCCAACGACCCAAGGTTCGACCTGAGCAACGTTCCAAAGGGAGAACAAAGAAACTTTGTGTGGGTTATCCTCCATGTTTTGCCTGGCGTCAAAGGGCTATGACGTCCAGTCATTTGATGGTAAGACCGGCGAGTAGACTTGCTTGTACCATGTGGTAGGGTCGTTCCCTTGGTGGTGTTTGGAATAGACGAGGGCGAGGCTATACGAGCCACTGCATCGTTCCGAGTCTGGAAGTATGGAGTGCCTATGGGTTGGGGAGATTACTAATGTTTGGGTTGGAAAGGAGAGTTCATGTGGTTATACCTACCTACCTGGGAACTAAGATTGGGCCATTGATGTTTAGATCTTTTATATTTGATTTAGCTCGCTTGACGGTAGAGCTTTTGCACTATGTATCCCATAACTGTTTGAATTCCGCCTTCTTGCTCATAGTGTCCATTCCAACTACCTGTGGGGGTATTAGGATGTCATGCGAAAGGCACCTAGCTATAATACGTCTACATTGCTCTATTGGATTTGTCAAAACTCAAGATCTGAGGACTCCATGAAGATGCTGAGCGCATTCCTGGCAGAAGAGATATGTTTCCCATAACTTATGCCCCAACTTCGGCTGAGGACGGAGTAACGTACATGTTAGTACGCTGAAGGCTTGTAGTACTATGTAAGGTAGACTGTTGCTCTACCTAAGGTAAGGTACCTTACCTAAAGCTCCCCTGGAATTTGGTACCCAAATCAGGAACTTAGCATGTTCCCGCTATTTCAGGCTTCTTGCGAGTCCTTCTGTTGTTTCCATTAGAGTTCCAGCCTGCCAGAAGTTCCTTCCACTTGGGACTTCGGCGGCCAGTGGGTCCCCTTTGACCAGCCGACCGATAACGGTCATGATTCAGGTATGCCGTGTATAATGTCGTTACATTAGACGAGACATCGACTGTTATGCTAAGGTCTAAATGGGTATACAGACCTAGCGGAGGACAATGCAATATTGCTGTTCGCTCTTGTTACTTCTGAAGTATCATATCGTCGGGTGTACCCGTGGTAGAGAGATTCAAAGGTCCATTAGCACGGCTGCCGTGGTGAGCCTGTTGCTCGCCGGGATAGCTTATATACGCGAGGAACTTGGTAAGCTTCATCAACGTAAGTGATGAAGTCAATATTTGCTGCATGGCTTCCGATTCTCGATCAAACTGGTACGTCTCAGTTGACTCAACAGCATCGGGAGATGTTGTCAAGGGTTGCCCCGGGCGTTGTTTCAGTCCGCCCTTTTTTGTAGAAGCGGACTATAGGCTTCCACACACGAAAAGTCATGCGAGGGATGATTTGGATACACTCTTGCCATCATGCCATGTATGACTTCAGGGGTTTGAGCCCACCGACATACTGAGTTTCGATCAAGGTGAAAACCGTCAAGCGACTGGCTTTCCAAGGTCTGATGACTTTAGACTGAGCTCTATGAATAAGATCAAACATCCCTACCGAGGATTGGGATTCAGGATGAAGCTACAATTGAGATCTGCAATAATGGAGGGACAACATTGTAAGGCTTGTGTCCAGGCAGCGAGAAGGAAAGCTAGATTTTTTTTTTCCATCCAATACAAATTGGGGGGCATTCTTGCTTTCCCTTCCATGTATGGTCCCAGAGCTTTGAAGTTGTACTCCCATTTGACTATGTACCTACCTTACCTGACTTAACCATACAAATACGAACAGGCTTGGAGTGTGACATCGCAATAGGGATGTGACTACAGATGTTGGTGCTTAACAGTCTTGCAAACGAACAAGCCATGGCCGGTTCGAATTGCTAATAACAATAATTCATTGTAGTAGAAGTCTATACTAGTAAGCCTCCCGCCGAGGGCACCTCTTAGCAAGCTACGGATGGTAGGACTTGGAGTCCTATACACCCTGAGCCGTCCTTTCATCCCATCTCCAGCAACCTAGCGCTTGATATAGAAGTTCCAACACGCATACCAGTGGATCACTTCCCGGTAGCCAAGTGGCTACGCAGGGTGGTATCCGGTATCCCTCAGCAGCCTTGTTCCTTGAGCAGGCCTCAAGTTCGAACCTGGCGCTGGGCCCGAAGCAAAAACCATTCTGGCCTGCAATCCGGTTTTTCGTAGCAGGGACACCTGCCTAACCAAATGGTTAGGTGGCTGCCCTGTGAGGCTTTTGATCTTTTTGCCCATTCAATTCTGTTGCCCAGACAAAACTCGTACAAGTTCATTACGTTCACCACCTACTTGCGAACACGACTTGGCGAGAAGTCCATCCGCTCAATGCCGTCTTTGGCAATCATTAGCCCTCAACGTCCAAGATCCTCCCAGGCAGCGGTACCCTCAAATACCATCATCTCCAAACAGTTAGTTGATCATGGCGCATAGGCTTCACAAGTTGCCAATGCCATCCAAGCAGTGCTGGAGACGCTGATATGCCTCGCAGTAACTGACCGAAAGATTCCATGGATATCCGTCTCTGTCGGCGCCCACGGGTGACGACGGTTTACCCGGCCTCCGGTACTAAGTAATTGATCTTGCTCAAAGTTCCATTGAATGGAGCTTCTCGACCTGGGTGCCGGAGAGCCAGAGGATTGAAATGGGCTTGCTTCGAGCCCTGTGACGGGAATCCGACACGATCGCGACGCGGAGTCGCCAACCGCTTGGAGACACGAGGAAGACGCGAGCCAAGACACACGAAAGCGAGACGCGAGACCACATGACTTTTACAGAACTTTTGCCCACCTAGGAGTGCCCACCGGTCTCCGGGCACGGGCCAATGATCTGAAACTGTGCCTGTCTTGCGTCTTATTTGGACTCTCTGTTTCAAGCCACTGCCAACGAGACCAGGCTGACTACGGCCTACAGCTGTGTGGACATCGAGACCTGGGGTGATGACTGCAGCAAGCTCCTCATCAGCTGAGTTGGGTTTGAACGCAACACTGTGCAACACCCACGGCTAAGCCTCACGGCGACAGCGAGCTAGAGACGGCCCGAGGCTACAGTACACAAGCACAAGATCTCGACGCTCTACAGGGGGCTAGTGGAATCGGATGCGGAGAAACCGTCGGCATTGACGCGGGAATGATTTATGCTGACAACCCACCTGATCGTCGTCTGGACAGCCCCGTTCCCGACTCTGTGTGTCAAAGCAGTAACACCTCACCCAGGGAATGAAGCGCCTTGGGCACTGGCGGAACAGCCCCTCCTGGTGGTGCGAGGAAGGAATGAAGGCACAGACAAGAGAGCAAGCGCGTTATTTCTGTCAAGACTATAACCTGGGTGGCCCAGCCCGGGCCAGCCAGCCTCACGGCCTGCAAGAGGTTGTTTCAACTTTCAAGTCATGAAGATGGGAGTTTGCCAGAGTGCAGGCGGTTTTGCCTGCCTCTAGCCTTACCGACCTAACGTGTGCTCCTATTTCAAGCGAGGCTGAGGTGTATGCGTGGTCGCCGCACCGGTCCCAAGACCGGCCTGGCCCGGTAGAGATCAAAACTCGGATGGCAGGTGGTCTCGTGAGAGCCGCCGCCCGCCATGTTTGGCATGTTGGGCAACTGCAGCCATCTCTCGTCTTCGACACAACTCCTCGACACGAGACCTGCGGATTTTACAGAAGTCGCGTGAGTAGTTATAAAAAGTAACATTAGCAGCGAGCTTGAAACTTTGACGTCGTCGGACCCTGACGATCATTGCAGCTCTTGAGGCGTCGATGTACTTGGATGCTGTCGAATGTCAGTCTTGGTCTGTTTATCAGCTGAACAGTGATGATTACCTAGACACTCACAAATTCTCCGACTGCTCACAGAGGCATAAGACACCAGCGTTGTTAACATTCGGTGCGGTGGCGGGCCGGTGGCATGTCTGCCAGCCTCCCACCGAGATATTCAAATCTTGTCTGAGATTTTCAGGGGTTTCGCCAGCGATAGACAGCCCAATCACAGGCTCCGGTGGCCCAGCCGCGAAAGGTATGTACTGTACGTAGCCAAGAACACCGGGACCTGGAATTGGCGATGACTTGCATGATCAGTGATTCCTGAGGGAATCCAATCAGACCTCAAAACGTAACCCACCAGTTCGGCGGCGTTTAACGTTCGTGAAGACGTGGCAGTCTGGCAGGCCACGAGGCCTTCAATTCCACCTGCTCGTCATTGAGAGAACAAAATTGTACCGAGATCTCCAAGCGAACTGACTGATACCACCACATCACCCTCTTGCTAGTTAGCCGATCGGAGGAACCGGAGGAGTCGGCCCCGGCGGTAGGGTAGGGTCTTGTGGAAACTGGAAACTGGAAAAGGGGGCCATCCCCCAAGGTATTGTAAAGTGTAGTTTGGTCGATGCCACCAAGGCTTGGCTCACCGCCTTTTACGGTATCTTCATGATACTTTGCAGACGGACCGCAATTGGTGGCTTCTGCAGATGCAACTTGGCCTTCATTTCATCAACCCCCGCGCCAGTGGAATCTCGGCAAGCGGCCTCGTGCTGTTGCTGAGTTCTGCTCCCAACCGAGGCAGGGTCCAGGGTCACGGACTCACGGTGAGTCTGGACAGTGCAAATACTTCCAGGCTTGTATTGATTACAGAAGACATGTAAAATACCTGTACTCCTCGATCATCATACAGTACCTGGTGTTTGCGGTGAGGGCTGGTCGTGAATTGCTTGGTATCCCATGCCAATTCACCTTGAAATCGGCAAGACCTATCGAGGTGGAGCGATGTCGTACATACAGCTGCGTCCCCGCGCCTGCAGATTCTATTCACACAAATTATCTGCATCTGCATCTGCGTCGGCTGGCTGCTGCTGTTTCTGCACCCCCGAGAGTGGAGGTCGTTTCTACGAGTGTGAGAGCCCGGGTTCGTGGTGCGGTTAGACCGGCACCCGCATCGCTATAGACAGGAAGGTTTAGGGGGCTTTTCGTTTCTTGCCCCTATGTAGGAACTTGCCCGGGCACTAGTGTAAATGAAATCTCCTAGTGTCGTCAGGTCAGGTCATGTCTGTACCTGCAGTCTGCAGTCTCCTGCATGAGGTTGTAGTGCCGTGGGGGGTTTGGTGGATGCACAAACGGGAAATCCCATCAGAACGTCCTCAGAACTCGGCGTGTCCTCACCGGCCATTATGGCGTCTAAGCGTTAAGGAATAACAGAGGTATGTACAGTACATACAATACGAATACACATGCTCGCCTTGGTGATTCGCTGCGACCCGACGGCCTCAGATCTGGTGAGTCTTTACGGGGTATGGTAAGTTGAGAACGAGATGTGGACCGGGTGTTATCAGCATACCAGTACTGTACTGTGGAACTGCTGTGATCAAGCATCGCATGTAAAAAGTGGGTTGGTGATACCCATTGTCTGTGGGGTTATAAACGAACAGGACTCCCGTCGGCACGTCTGTGGCGTCGTTGCACAGGCCAAGCTGAATGTAAGGTCAGATATCCATACATTTTTGCGTAGTTGTCCCCTGGAGATCTGGTTAATAAACTCGGTGTTTCTGCTCTTACAGCTCTCATCAGCGAGGATGGCCATGTCATACATAGCGACTTTGTTACAGCGTGGTGTGGTGGACTGGCTGGTCCTAATTCTCTAATGTAGGTCTGCAGGGGAAAGGAGAAACGGGGGGACAACTCCGGGCAGAAAAGGGACTGAGGCTACAGTGCTACGGCGCGCCAGTTGGACTACCACCCTACCTCTATGTAAGCCAGTGGCCGCCTACGCAGCTGTGAATCTGTGATAGAAGTATAGAAATCCGATATCAAAGGGGCGCGGCCTGTCTGGGTTATAAACTGATGGCCCTTTTCGAAACCTAACGACACGAGTGTATTCCGGTTAAATAAGAAGGCGAGATGGCCAGCAAAGGGAAAAGCGTTTCAAGAATCCTTCCACAGAAGGAACCGGCGTCCTTATATTTGTACGGAGGTCGTGTAAGATATCAAGCCTGCAGACGAGCCAATTCACACAAGTGCAGTGTAACTGTAAGTGCCATACATTGCCTAGGTACTTGTACAAGTACCTGAATTTACGCGACATCGTATCATAGGCATGTATACGTGCCACAACAGTACTGTATTGTAGTGCAAGGAGTTCAGGGTTGCCTTAGGTTATCGATCGTCCTGGAGGCCTGGTTACATTAGGTAGAAATATATGGCACTGACTGAAGTATCGCAGACCGCTGGCAGTCAGTCACTTTGAATGGCAGGCCGGAAACACTGGAAACCGCAATTCGCTAGCTTGATTACCATGACTTTGTACTCCGTACGACTGTATTGAACTGGTATTAGTTCGTATATACATACACGGTACGGAACTTGTCGACAAACCCCTGCAGTAGTTGAGTGCTCGTGATCCTGCTCAACCGGCAAAAGCGGAGTCTGGGGTTCGGCTCGGGAATTAGGGGGTTGCAGAGGCAGAGGCAATGCAAGCCCCAAGCTTGGGGCCCAGAATTACTGCAGTGGCTTCCTGCAGCATCCCCAAATCGGATTTGGCAGACTGGCGGCAAACCCGCTTCCAGTTTTCGGGTGTTGAGCGATTCTGGTCTGGGCTCAGATCTCGCTTTGCCAGATCAGACGGAAGCCTCATATCACGACTCGCAAGCCGTCAGCTCTTCCGGTCTCATTAGAGACAATCCGAATCCTGTGTCGGCATAGTCGGTTGTTGGCCGGCTTACTGAAACCCGACTGTACTCGGTGCAGTGCTCTTTGGTGGAGGTCAACACAGTGCGCAAGAGAAGCCTGGAATGAGCGCCGTCTCCAATTTGCTTTTTGAAAATAACGTATCTTCCCGGCCCCGACAGGGCCCTGTTTTCTGATCTTTCGGACTCCATCGCCCGGCGTCAAACAGTGGCCACCCTCCTGCTATCTCCCGGTGCAGCCCTGCTCTTCCACGCGCGCGCTTTTCGCTCTCCGGGCAGTGGCAGAGCGATTTCTTGATCTTCTATGCGGCATCAAGCAAGGGTCACAGAAGAAGCCCAAACGATAACGAGTGGTTCTTCGTTCGTTAAAAGATCCAGATCACGTCGCCCATTGGCCAGCCGCGCCCTCCACCAGTCCGTTGCATAGCAGACCATGTCGCAGCTTTAACGACGCCCTGGTTGACATAGTACGCTCATCACCAAGACCAGCCCTTCATTGTCCCGAGTAGCGCGCTCTATGGAATCGTCTTTCCAGGACAGCCCTACCATTGGGAGGACACAGGTGCTTTCGCTGGCTGGCACCCAGGACTACACGGCAAACAGCCCACTGTCAGCGCCGTCACCAGCGGCGAGCTCGAGGTACGGCTTCCCTGTCCCTCCTCCACTCCTCTGGGCCCCACAGTGCCGCGGGTTTTTTTTTCTTCTTCTGCTTCTCCGCCATTCTTCCCCTCGCTGTTATTGAGTGGGCTGTCTCGTCTGAGTCTCTGTTGGTGTCTGGGTACATGGGATGTTGGCCAGTCGGCGCTGTTCCACTGGCTCGAGTTTGGGCAGCTTAGATTGGTCTTGACCACACGGCTTCAGAGTCCCTCGAGACTATCGCACATAACTTTGGCATCTGAAGTGCGGTGCAGTTACCGAATACCGATTGGTGCCCGGTACCGTGCGGTGTCCAACATAGTACTGATCCGATCCCCTTCGCCCGGTCTAGGTCTCGAGCGATACCCGCACCGAGCCCGCTGCAGTCGAATACCGCCGCGTCTCCTCCGTCGAGTCCCGGCCCAACACGCGCAGGTTTCCCATCGCCAATCCAGGCCTCGTTTCCTTCCGCTGCTGTCCCACGCATTGTAACCACGGCAGCCCCCGAAGACGGCTATTCGCATGAGTCCGAGAAAACATATTACAACAGCGACTCTTCGGGTACTGCCACTCCTGAGGAGAGAAGTCCAGGGTGTGTTCGCCACGGATTCTCCTTCCACAACCGGGCGCGGTGACGGAACCGGCCTTCCAGAACAAATGTGCTAACTGCCTCTTCCAGACCGGCTCCGCCTCGCTCGCCGCAACTTCCGAATGAAACTCGGAGTGTATCTGATTCTGCCATAGCCGTCCAGCCTTCTAGAGACCCCCCTATAGGCCAGTCATCGACCATGGCTGGCCAGTCGAGCGTTCGGGCAGAGCCCGCTAAGAGTGCGCCGAGGAATTCTTCGATGGATTCGGCCATTTCTGCAATTTCGTCGAGGTCCACCCCTAATACTTCTTCTCGCGACAGTGGTGTGGGAACGACGGACATCGCACACCTAATAAAGACGGCCGGCAGCGCCGAGGCGGTCATTCAGTATCTACTAAAAGACAAGCAGTCGCAGTCCCAACAGAATGCTCAGTTGTGGAGGCTAGTCGATAAGCAGCGAGCCATGATTTTAGGACTTAATAAGGATCTCGAAAGAGCACTGAAGGATAAGGAGAAGTACCGCAAAAAGCTGAAAGAGATTATGGAAGGGTCCGATACGCATCCGGTCGCCGCTCCATCCGCATCCGGCACTCAAGGAACGGTTACGAATGGCCCCAATGGTATCTCGCAGTCAAGGGAACAGGTATTGGAGATTCCAGGATCGCCTGCAACGGACTCGGACAATCACAAGCATTCGCCCATTGACATGTCTCTGGCGCCGTATCCCATAACACCGCCCGCGGATCGATTGGCCCCGAATGCTCCTTCTTCGACTGTTAGCGAGATGCTGGATCCTTCCCACGCAATGCCTAAGCCGAGCGAGCACGCACTGGACCAATTCGACCATGAAGCGCAGGAGAGGGAAGCCGAGCAAGCAGCGAGAAAAGCAGAGGAAACCAAAGGTCTCCATATCAATATGGATATCCCGCCCTCTCGCAGCACATCTCGCAACCCGCCGCAGATCCCGCCGCCTCAGCCACCCGTTGGCCCGCCTGACCGATCGGAGATACCTGACGAGGCTACCCTAAATTTCCCTCCACCCCCTGCTCCTCCGCCGCGGAAACCTCCTCCAGCTCCTTTGCATCTCAACAACGCGAAACCGAAGCATTCGGCTACCCCAGAGGACGAACCTGAAACGGATACCGACTACGACGATATCCTTGAGGTACAGGAGGTGTCTGATGAAGACCGAAGAGGACGCCGAAGAACACGCGAAGAAGACGAGAAGGAACGTGAAATACTGGCGAGGAAAGAAGCAGAATTGCGCAGCCAATCGAAGAAGAGCAAGAAAAGCAGCAGCCGGAAGAGTACTACCCAGGTAGAGGCGCCCTCAAGCGAGACGCCTGCCAGTCCCAGAGTGGTCCAGACTACGATGTTGATCCGGGAACACGCGTCTCTTGCCGGGGTTTTGAGCGGGGCTCCCGACGTTCGGCCACCTGCGCTGTTGAGCCCAGGACTCCCATCAAGCCCGCGGCCAATAGCGCTCAAGTCTCCAGTCAACTCCCCGCCGTTGTCCCCATTAGGTGTTGCGAACTTCCCTGGCGTGCCATTGTCGCCTCGGCCACCGCGCGTGCCTATCCCGCTACCCCCTAACACTCCACTCCAGACACCTTCCCCGGCAAGAGATCCCTTGGTGTTAACATCTCCTAAGCCGTTGAATATAATCAAGCAGGCCGACCAAGATCACGCAACTCCTAGCCCTACCAAGTCGAGCACTGACAGCCCTGTCGAGAGGACAAAGATCTACAAAGGCTTCGTTACCGAGGAGTATCCTGACCTGCTGCTTCCGCCCAACGCGCTTCCGTCCATCGATATCAAGGTCGCATCATCGCGCATGAAGCCCTCAAGAGCCAGCCTGCTATCTCTCACGCAACTGGAGGAGGATCCCGTCTTTACTTTGGCAGTCTACTCGAGAGCAGACGGCGGCGAGCTATGGCGAGTGGAAAAGGATTCGGCATCGCTAGCTAAGCTGGATCAGCGGTTGAAACAGTGCCCCACATTCACCGCAAAAACACCAGACAGGTCGCTTTTCAGCGGTCATGCGCCCGCCAAACTCGACGCCCGGCGTGTCGCTCTGAATCAGTATCTGGACGAGCTGTTGAACACACCACTTGACAATGCTACTGCCCTTGAACTCTGCAAATATCTGTCTACTGGCACGCTTCCGCCAAACGCAGATGAGACGGGCAGTTCGACTGGCGAGTCGAGGCCAGAGTCACAAAGAGTGGGGCCAGGCGGGCGGCCATTCCGCAGTGGCTACCTGACAAAACGCGGCAAAAACTTTGGCGGCTGGAAGGCTCGGTACTTCATCCTCGATGGGCCACTACTGAAATACTATGAGACGCCTGGCGGCGCGCATCTGGGGACTATCAAGCTTCAGAAAGCGCAAATTGGGAAGCAGGCGCACCACGGCAATGAAGGCTCACCGGCACAAAGCAGCGAGGACGGTGATAACCAGTATCGGCACGCGTTTTTGATTCTAGAGCCCAAGAAGAAAGACCCCAATAGCGTGACGAAACACGTATTGTGTGCTGAAAGCGACAAGGAGCGCGATCAGTGGGTTGCCGCTCTGCTTCGATGGATTGACTACAAGGATCCGGACGAGGAGGAATCCTCCAAGAAAGATCACGGCCACGACCGGCACGGCGCTGGCGGTACCGAGAAATCAAACGGCAAAAAGAAGTCGCACGGCCAGGGAAAGCAGCAGCAACATGTCCAGCAGGCGAGTGGCGGTGATGAGGCGCTGATCGGGGTGAGCTACGAAGCCACGAAGCAAGGCGATGCTCCTCAAGGTTTGCCATCCAAGGCGAAGCAGCCGGGTCAGCAGGACCACGACTCGACTCACAGTCAGTCGACGACATCGTCGTACACGATCTCGGCACCTCGTGATCCCCAGGTGATTTCGAATTCGGATTCGTGGGGCAGCAAGCTGGGTACAGGTCTGGCTGCGCCGAGTCATGAAGAGAAGAAGGCGAGGAAGCGTAGCTTTTTTGGTTTCGGCCCGAAGGCGAGGACATCGAGCGACGGTCAGGACTCTCTCTTTGGAAGTGAGAGCGGCAGCGTACCAAACCAGTATCACGGGCCGGTCCGACAGGTCTTTGGCGCAACACTGGCGGAAGCGGTCAAATATAACCCGCCAGTAGACGTCAAGGTACCGATACCTTCTGTTGTCTACCGGTGTATCCAATATCTTGATGCGAAGAATGCCATCTTTGAGGAGGGCATTTTCCGTCTGAGCGGGTCAAACCTGATCATCAAGCAGCTTAGAGAACGGTTCAACAATGAGGGCGACATCAACCTTCTCACGGATGAGCAGTACTACGACATTCACGCAATTGCTTCCCTGCTCAAGATGTACCTCCGCGAGTTGCCGAGCACAATCCTGACCAACGATTTGCGCACGCAGTTTATCGCTGTCACAGAGATGACGAACCAAAAGGAGAAGATGGCGGCTTATGCCGAGCTTGTGGAGCGGCTTCCGCAGGCCAACAGTGCGCTGCTCAAGTATCTGATTGCATTCTTGATCAAGATCATCGACCACTCGGATGTCAACAAGATGACGGTGCGCAACGTTGGCATTGTCTTCTCGCCGACGCTCAATATCCCAGCGCCCGTGTTTGCAACATTCCTGCAGAACTACGAAGCTATATTTGGGATACATCCGTCGGAGTATGAGCTCCCCGTGACGGAGCCAGAGGGGCTGCAAGAGCGGCGACCCTCTCTCCCCGCATCGTTCCAGGAACGACGGCCGTCGGATGGGCGGCCCTCGACATCGCACAGCGACTCTCCTCACAGGCAGCGCCTCATGGAATCCCTGGAAGGCAACCGGAGCACGCCGACTCCGCCGCCAATGACAATGCAACAGGTGGCGCAGATGAATGCGGCGTCGATGCTCTCGAGGAGCACACCGACTCCGCCACCACAGCGGCCAATGAACCACGACTCGCCAATGATGCGGCCGGCGTACGAGAGCGGATTCGTCGTCTCCCAGGGGTATGATCCGAGCCAGATGGCAGGTGGCAGACCTGGTCCGGGACACGAGCGGCCGCATTATGAGAACGGTCTGACGCCGGTCCCTTACGAGCAACCGTATAAGAGCCGGCGGGAGAGTTCCATGTTCATGGGCACCCTCACCCAGCAATCTTCCAAAAGCCGACTGAGGGAGGAAACGCAGTACTAAGGAGCGCGAGATGAGCTTCCATAGCCATGACCGAGTCCTTTCGCTCAATTCGTGTTAAACATCTCATGATTGTTCATAATCGTTGGGGGAATCTGTTCCTTTATCAGCAAAGATACCATGCAGTCGCTCCGAGTTTCTGATTTGTTTGTTTTCTGTTTTTGGGCAAGACGGAGCGAGCGTCGTCTTGAAACCACATGACAAAGTATACGATTTTATTGAGCGAACTCATGAGCCACAGTGTACAGTGGACAAAGAAGAAGGGTCATGTAATGTTCATCTGCAATCATGTCGCATATGCAGATGGCCATGGAGAGGCCGTTTCGGGCGGTGCATTCAGCAGTTTGGGGCCCCATTTTTCCTTTTCCATTTCCTTCTTCTTTTGCTTCGTTCTGATTGTATTTTCCTCTTCCTCTTCCTCCCCGTTGCATGGGGATGATTGAGATTTGTGCTGGTCTTATTTGGCAGTTTGTTTTCTGTGCTACGTTCGTGTCTATGGTTCGTCTGTGAGGGTTGTCGGTTCTGCCTTGCAGCGGAGGTGATACCAAGTTCGCAATGGGGTTTTCTGTGTACTTAAGCTACATATCGCGTGCATTACGTACATACATACGTAACTGTTTAATACGGGACAGCTTTGCCCTGCATCGGTTCCTCTGACTGTGTAGACTGCACATGTATGAAAGTGAAGTTGGTGAAGAAGAGCGAGCTGTTGGCCCTCTAGGAATACATATTTGGTTCCCCTGGACGCACAGACCATATCGGAAGTTATGACTGCCGGAGCCATGCCAGGATTGGATTTGTTCGGCAAGCTCGGCTGACGCAGCGCCGACTTTCTTTCCCAAGACAACGCACGGCATCACAATCGGCGAGTCGGCCGTTGCAAGGCCGTCAGCATCATCCACCATCGGACCGGCTAATAATCAATCATTAAGATACGTATACTGTACGGATAACGTTACCACCGTTTTATTCTTGGACGAGGCTGCCGGACATGGACATCGGCGCGCTGGACCCCGTGCTCCGTAACGCTAATGCTAGTGGGAGTGCCGGCAATCCAGCTGTAACCACATCGGCGGCGCCCTTGATGGACCCCGCCCAGAGCTCAACAGCCGAACCCCCACAGCATCTGAGCCCAGAGAGCCATCCACAACAGACGCAAGCGCAGTCACAGCCGCAGCAAACACTGGCCCCATCGCCGACGCCGACGCCAACACCCGCAGCATCCATGCAAACAAAACAACACCAACAACCGGGTCCCAGCACGCATTCCATCACCTCTCCCGCCGCTGCATCTTTTTCCTTCTCCCCGCAAACGCCAAACCCACCAACACCCGCCGCGATCGATTCCAACGTCTCCTCTCCCGTCTCCGTCTCCGTCCCCCCTCAATCTCGCGTCCCCCGGGGCCAAGTTCAAGGCAATGATGGCCAAACCCTGACAGACTCAAACTCCTCCTCCGCCGTCTACAACAACGACCATGATCATGATCATGACGAACAACACCAATCCCCTCGATCCTCCACCTCCACCACCCTTCTTCTTCCCCATGGCACTACCACCACCACCACCACCACCATCACAGCAGCACAACAGGAAGCGAAAAAGCCCCGCGCATGCGAGTCATGCCGCGCCCTCAAGGTCCGCTGCGACCCGGACCCCTCGGCAGGCGGAGACCCGGACAACGCCCCCTGCAGGCGCTGCGTCAAAGCCAAGCGCCAGTGCGTCGTCACCCAGCCGACGAGGAAAAGGCAAAAGAAGACGGATAGCAGAGTCGCCGAGTTGGAAAAGAAGATTGATGCCCTCACCGCCAGCCTGCATGCCACCCGCGGTGCGGCTCCTCCTCCTCCCGTCCCTGGACATGCGGCTGCTGCGCCGCCCGAGTTTGGGTTTGGACTGGGCATGAGGATGGATATGGGGATGGGCGTGGGGCCGGGGGAGAGGGAGAGGATGGAGCGGCAGATTAGGCATGGCCATGGCCAGATGGGGCAGGGGCGTGTTGAGGAGAGTGTTCGGGGTGCGGGTGGTAGTGGCGGTGGTGGTGGTGATGGTGGTGATGGTGGAGGTGGTGGCGGGGTAGAGAATTCCCCGCAGAGGGTTGTGGCGGCGGGACAGAAGAGAAAGTTCGCGGAGAGCGGCCTCTCTAGAGAGGCAGAGGAAGTTATTGCGGCTGTGAGGGGGGTGCCGCCGCCGGTTTCAGCGTCAACCTCGGTCACGCCGCAGCCCGGTAGCAATTTTGGCGGTGCTGCCGGCGGGGGTCCGGAAGCCGTCGCTGCAAAGGAACCGCCCCCTGCGGATGTGGTTGAGAGGGGGATTCTAACCATGCCCCTCGCCGTTGAGTTGTATGCTCGGTATACCAATCACATGTGCCAGCACCTACCTGGCGTCGTCTTCCCGCCTGGCATGACCGCCGCAGAGCTTAGGGCGACAAAACCGATCCTGTTCATGGCCATCATGGCTGCCGCGTCGTCCGAGATGCCCGCCCTCCAACGGACCTTGACGAAGGAGTTGATGCAAGTGTTTGCGGAAAAGATCATTGTTGTGGGCGCTAAGAGTCTCGAGTTGGTGCAGGCGCTCCAAGTCGCCACCATTTGGTACTGGCCCCCTGAGCGGTTTGAGGAGCTCAAGTTCTACCAGCTGGTGCACGTCGCGGCCGTCATGGCCATCGAGATTGGGCTGGGCCGGAAGAAGCAAGCCAAGGATGGGTTTAGGAAGCACATATCGTTCGCCTGGCGCGACCATCCGCTCCGCAAGCAGGCCCCGCCAGATCCCACCACCATCGAAGCGCGCCGGGCCTGGTTGACTTGCTACTTTCTGGCGACGAATACTGCCATGGCTCTGCACCGCGCCAACTTGATCCGTTGGACGCCTTTTGCTGCGGAATGCATGGATGTCCTGGAGACGTCGCCCGACGCTGCACCCACGGACAAGTACCTGTGTCACCTGGTCTGGACGCACAAGCTCGCTGAGGAGGTGGGCACCCAATTCTCAATGGACGATCCCATGTCGACGCCGAACATTGCGGATCCGCGCACGCAGTATGCGCTGAGGGGATTCGAACGGGATTTGGAGAGGTACAGCAGCGCTATCCCGGGAGAACTGCTGCAGCGTAGGTTGCCACTGAGGTGCTGTAGAGTGTCATGTATGCTGATGATACCCCGTGACAGCATCGCTCAGAATGAGTTTTCATGTCCTGAGTTTGTATATGCATGAGATCGTTACGCACGGCGAGTGCGCCGAGGACTGCCGAATGAATCCCTCAGGGACACCGCTAATTGCCACGGACACGCCCCTGACGCCCGCGCATATCAACGCTTTGTCAGCCTGTCTCACGGCCATTGATGGTATATTTGATGTATTTTTATCGCTCGACGTCCACACCATACGCTGTCTGCCCGTCTTCAATTTTGTGCGGGTCGCCTACGCTGTCGTCGTCTTGATCAAGCTGTATTTCGCGGCATCATCGCCCAAGAGTGAGCTGGGAAAAGTCATTAACAAAGCCAACATGAAGGTCGAGCAGCATCTGGACAATCTGCTCGAAAAGTTCCGCGCCACGGCCGCCGAGGACAGGAGCCGGCCAGCCATCAAGTTCCTCGTCGTTCTCTTCATGCTCCGCTCGTGGTTTGAGAAGCAGAAGCAGAGCCAAAGTAGCGGGCTGAATGCGGCTGCCGTCCCCTCGGCCGAGACACCACCTCCAGCAGCATCTTACTCCGCCCGGCAGAGCACAGGCGAGAAGGGCACCCCTACCCCCTCAGCGCCGACCCGTCCTCATCATCATCAACAACAACAGCAGCAGCAGCAACAACAACAGCAACATCAACAGCCACAACCACAGCCACAACAGCCAAACTACACAACCACCACCAGCACCCCGCTCCAGCTCCTCTCAGAAATCGCAACCAACAACTCAGCCGCATCAACAACCCTCGCCCCGGGAACAGCTGCACCCCGGCCAACCAGTAGCGCCGACCTCCTCCAGGGCAATAGCAGCCCACCTTGGCTCAACAGACCCCTCATGTACGGCGGCGCGCTTCATCAACAACCCGGCACAACCTCCACCGGCGCTGATCGCAGCCCACCGGCTTTCATAGGCGGCATAGCCCCGCCGCACCATCAGCCGCCGCCGCAGCAGAGCATGGCCTCCTCCTCCCTGCCCTGGCTGAACAGTCCCTTGCATCTTGCCGGCGGCTACCTGGACGGCGCCATGCTCGGCGACGGCTTCGCGCAGGCCATGGACCTGACGTTGGGAGGCGTTGTCGACGGGAGTTTCAGCGCTGAGGATAGCCTGCGGTACATGGATGCCATGGATCTCGGGTGGTTTCAGATGGGCGGCGGTGGTGGTGTTGTGGGCATGGATGCTGGGGGGTTTGTGGGTGGTGCCGCTGCCGGGCACGGGGTCGGGGTCGCGGAGGATGTTGGTCATGGTACGAACGGGTTTGGGTTTCAGGGCTAAAACTGAGTTTAAAAGGAGTTTGGATTTCGACTTAGTTGAGTGATGGACGGCGTAAAGGTGGGGGATTTATTGGGTATAAAAAAAGGCTGAAAGGTTTGGGATGTTTATCGTTGATTCAATTGATGCTATATAGGTAATAATGTATTCCGTACCTCCCTGAGCTGCTGCTCAGGGCCTCGCTTCAACTCCCCTGACACATGTGATATTCCTCCATCACTCCTGAGCCATACCTGCAGGGTAAGCATTAAATGTGGATAGAAATCTGGATATGTTCCACGGGAGGACCTCCACCAGTCGCCTCACTCATGATACCAACAGCATCGTCAAAAGTCGGGACCATCACCGCTCAATATAACCTCTCATCGCCGCTCTTGGTGTCAGGAGCTAAACAAACGCCAGGCTGAATCCAACTCCTGCGACCGAACATCGGAAAGTCATCGAACATTGCAAAGTCAGAGGCTCAATACACCCAAACACTCTAGCTGAGACATGCGTGCCATCATCAAAAGTAAGATCATACCATCATGACATTTCCCACAAACGCCACCCCAATCATTCATGATATCATATCGGAAGGCAAAAAGACAAGTAGAAGGAGAAAAGAGAAGATGGAAGGAACATAGGAGAAAAAGTGCGGAATATCAGAAAGTACAAAAAATGAATCATAAGGGAAATGAAAACGAAGAGGGAACTAGGAAGTTGAACCCCTATTCAAAACCTCCAGTCAGGCCTAGTCCCTCTCAACGTATCGTATCCGATTCATATACCCATTCCCCTCCGCACGCCCACCGTGACATCCGCAGCGCGTGCCATACTGCTCCTCATCCCTTCCACCAACACGGGATCCATGCTCGCAGACCCGATCCTCGATCCTAACACTGACCCTCTGCCTGTCCTCAGCCGGTGGCGGAGGCGGAGGCGGGGGAGGAGGGCTGGGACTCCTCGTCCTCGTTGGGCCCTCAACGTAGCGGTACGGCACGGGCCTGTTGACGGGCACAGGGACCCGGACGGGGACATGTACGGGCACGCGCACCGGCACGGGGACCAGGCGCTCTCGCTCGATGATAACCTCCCTGTCCCGGTCCCGGCTGCTGTCGCGCCGGCCCCGCGACGACCTCGACCGCGAGCTGACCCGGCTGCTCGTCTCGGACGGGTCCACGTCCACGGCTATCACGTCGATCACGTCGTCTTCGATGGGTTTGGTCACGAGTGGTGGAGGCGGAGGCGCCAAGACTGCTGGCGGAGGAGGAGGAGGAGGCGGGGGTTGGACGAGAACCGGTGGTGGAGGCGGTGGTGCCGGTGCGGGCGGCGGGATGATGGTGGTTACCTTCCTGCGCACCTCGGTGAGTCCTGGGCGTGGTGGTTCGAGGTACAGGTACTTTTTGTGTCGGCGTGGGTGGGACACTTTTGGACGGGAAGAGGGCGGGTTAGCAAACAATGTGTGATGGTTTCTTGGAACCTTAGGGACACTTACTGTTGGATGAAAGGAGTAGGAGCTAGGACGGAGGATGTTAGACAGAGAGAAATGTGTCCCCGGAATCAAAAATACGATAACAGAAACGGCCGAGCGAGGGGTTATTATCTTGGAGCTTTGATCGTAGGATCGATATCACGAGCGGAGGATTGGGGCCCTGGATAATACGCGATGTGGAACTGAAGAAGAGTGAAGAAGATCCCGAACTCTAGACACGACGACCGACATGTAGGGTCGAGCCAAGGCTTGTCCATGAGTTGATGCGAGGATGAGCACTTCATCCAATACACCCTTGTCGATGACGTAGTTGTAAGACCTGCTTCCTGTTTTGGAAAGTCTTGGTGGAAGCTGCAAGCATCAATCTGTGTCCCACATGCTCGGGACCATGATCCCCTAGAGGGACGTTCATCCTTAGCGCATATCTTAGAGTTGAGTTCCTTTAGTACGATACAGGCTTGGGTATGGTTCATCGAGACAATACCTCAGAAGCTCCATCTTCGTCGGATGGCAAGAACGTGTCGCGCGGGATGTGACAATGGGAACCTCAAACCAGCCTGTCAATGGCCAAAGCGCCAGCCTTAGTGCGATACATAACCCCAAAAGCTGTCAGGTTAGCGGGGCTTTTAAGTTCTCAGTTCCATCCGATCGACTGTCGATTTCCATCAAGCGCACCGTTTCCAAACTTAGCTTCCCTTCAAGCTGTCTTAATGCGAACAGGTTAGAATTAACGAGCGAAACTGAGAACCCGGCTAGCTGTACAGAAATTCATGTCTACCTAGATGGGCGACAAGCACGCCCCCGGCGTCATAGCAGGCGACCCCTCTAGACCCGGTCTCGCCAGTCTCCCATACGAACTCCAGGCAGCGGTATTTGAGGCCACCATTCGCCCTCAGGTTTTCTTCCTGCAAATTACCAACGACGTCTTGACATTCTCCCGATCAGCTGACAGGGGTATCGGTTCGGCTTGCAGATTGTCGCGAGAGATATACATCAAGTCCAAGACACTCTGTAAATTCGGCTGCAATTTTCACTGGGTAAACCCCGACAACGACATCTTCTACCTCTACAAGGATGATGGAGTGCGGTACGGCGTTAGGAACCCCGAAAGCATGACCAGACCGCCCAAAGGTGACAGCTTCGAACCTTCTCTCCTTCGAAATATTGCGGTCGATTTACAGTACCTGGGTGTCCATCCCCGCCATGAGGCGGCTAATCGGGTCTGGAGTATCTTCCCGTCGCTAAAAACGCTGCACGTCTTTGTCCCCAGCGGCCCGCCGCAGACTCCCGCCTTGAGCGTCACACCCGAGGCTCTTGTTCTCTCCGAGTTGCGAGGCGCCCTTGTCGTTGCGGCCCCGGGCCTCGACAAGGAACTCTGGTCAGCCGTCAAGTACCAGCTTAAGAGGACCTTCGATAGGATATTGGACGCGAGAAATGGCTGGAACGGACGGGTTAAGCCCGATGTGGTCGGCCACCTCACAAGTGCACGACCCAAGATCGAAGAAGCAGACACGGAGAACCCCGAACCGATAGAACCTCTCCTAACCAGAGAATCTTGAAGGGCGGGACCGTCGAATTCAACTTAGAATCCGACTTTGATTGTGTCGATGTAAACATGATCAAAGCAGCTGAAGGAGAAGGGATTGGAAGTTGTTGATACTTGATACCCCAAAGTGTCTCTGGTGGGTCCTGTCCTTGTTGACGATCGTGGAATCTAGCACCTGGTGATCGCCGAGGAATCTGAATTCTGGCCGGATGTATGGAGGCCAAAGCTGTAGGAAGGACAGTATTCGAAATGGGTGAGCCTTGAGTTTGTCATCATACCCCAGCGTAGCTACACACTAGATCGTAAGAGCCCGCGTAGCGGGCTCTTCGATCTGGGACCCGCTTCGCGGGCCCGGGCCACCTCTTACCTTGCAACCCATCTTCCATACCCCTGCAACCTAACTTACATTTTCCTCAACCAGGAACCCATCTTCCACCTCCTAACCTACCTTTCCCTACAGCCCTTTTCCCAGATTTTGAGCTTCTTGCGGCTCCTAGGATCCCGGGCTCTCTATAGCTCTACTGGTTATAGTGGTAATGTTAGTGTTTGGTGGCCTTGGTGGTCGCAGTGGTTGCCCGTCAATTAACGTTATCAGCTTATCATCATGTGACCTTAGATCTCTCGTGAAGAACCGGCGCAAAGCGATGCTCACATACAACTTTGCACGCTCGTAGCGAAGCCAATTCAACACTAAATCTTTCAAAAGGGTATCGTTGTAATATTGACATCAAACGGTATCTAATAGTACCGGTTTTAGCCTGTCTGGAGCTGTGGTGCAGAAGTTGGTCGTTCTCTAGTCTCATAGTAGAGAGACTTAGTAGTAGGCGTCCTCAAAGTTCAAAGTCGGAACCTGAGCAGGTGGCATGGTTTGCCCAAGGAAAGAAGATTGATCGCCAGCCTAGCCGCATGTATGATTCCGTCAATATGGCTGATAAGCAACCATACTTTTGAAACAACCAGCGCCAATACCTTTGTCAAGCATGGTTGGAGAACTTCGAAGATTTGAGATGTTGGCATCTGTTGTTTCGATTTCGAAGGCGCCGGCCGGAACGATATCGTAAGCTTTTACGCTAACCATTTTGAGACTAGTACGCTACCCTGGGGCGTGCTCCGGACAGCACCAGCGCATCCTTGCCGTTCCTTGCATAGGCCAACAGTCGGTCGCGGGGCAAAGCTTCGGTCGCCGTCGAATTCCTTCTCCTTCACAATCCTTTTGGCAGTAACGCTTGCTCACCATGTCGAAAACGGTCAATATCTCATCGCCAGCGCAGTTCAACGAGCTGCTGCAGTCCTCCAAGCTCGTGGTTGCGGACTGTAAGTGCCTTGTTTTGGCGCCTTTCCCAAAGTTCTTATGCTCCTTACCCCGCCATCGGATGGTTGAGCTGCATCAGCTTTGCCCGTGTTCTTTGCATCGCGTCCGCCCGGAAGGCCCTCCTCGAATGGATGTCAAATCTGGCTGCTCTGCTCGACATGTTCGCTGATATATTATCCTCTCTTAGTCTATGCCGACTGGTGTGCTCCTTGTAAACAGGTTGCTCCCGTCTTTGAGCAGCTCTCGCAGGCTCTCTCACGTCCCAACCTTGCAACCTTCGTGAAGATCAACACCGACAACCAGAAGGACATTGCGGCAGCTTATAACGTCACAGCTTTGCCAACCTTCATATTCTTCCGCAACGGCAAAGTAGCCGATAAAGTGCAAGGCGCAGACCCGGTCCGGCTCCAATCCATAGTCCAGAAGCTCAGCGATGAGGTGCAAAATCTCAGCAGCGGCGGCGGGGGTGAGGCAAGCGGCAGCGGTAGCAGCACCACAAACTGGCGAGGCGCCGAATTGCCTCGCGGCTACACAGACATCACAAATCAGATCGAACTGCAGCGCTGCGAGCTCCTGAACGTCGACCCAGACTTTGGGGGCGTGCGAGTGCTGTTTGACAGCGCGAAGCCCAGCGCACTTTCAGGCGGGAAGGGCACAGCAAAAGACTGGGTCGAGAGCGACACGGATGAACAAGTGTTGTTATTCATGCCTTTCCAGTCGATGCTGAAGTTGCACACTCTACAGGTACGGGCCAGTGCTGGTCCCGGGTTTGTCCGATGGCATCGTGCTTACTTGCTCGGTCTAGATTACGTCCTTGCCTCCTGACGATGACGAAGATGCGCCGATGAGACCGCGTACCATTAAGCTATTCACCAATAAGCCGCACAATCTTGGGTTCGATGAGGCCGAGGATCTGAGTGCTACTCAGGAAATCGTCCTCAGTGAGAGCGATTGGAATGCCGAGGGCACTGCCAACATCGCCTTGCGGTACGTCAAGTTCCAGAACATCACCAGCTTAGTGGTGTTCGTCGTGAACGGAGATGGCGAGGGTGAAAAGGTGAGGCTGGATCGGTTGCGGTTGATTGGGGAGGCTGGTGAAAAGCGGGAGATGGGTAAACTTGAGAAGATTGGCGACGAGCCGGGAGAGTAGTCGTTGGAAAAGGGCTGGATAGTGAGAGGCAGCCGGACACCAGACCAGAGCTTTGCATAGAGACAGAGATGGGTCGACATAAGGCGGTCTTAGATTTGAGAAGGGCTGGGCGGCAGAGCGTAAATGCGAGAAGCCTTGGCCGAACAGCTGCCTTAACTGGTTCCCCAATCATCAGACGACAGCAAATGCGAGAAGGTGAAGTGGATGGCGCAGCAGTTGATTGCAGAACCGTTGCATGATGTTAGGGTACTGGCCACGGATAAATTAAGCACCACCTTTCCCCCACGAAATGGTTGCCGACCCCAACCTCATTCCTGGGAACCATACTATCGAAACAATCACGGGATCTGCGTTGCGAGACGAACTCTGACCATCTTCCCTGGTTTTGGCCAGGGCAGTGATCATGGGAAAACCGTTTCGAGATCATGTGGCGCAACGTCTCAACAAAACCGTCGACAAAAGCCGTTTGCATGACCGTGGGCACTCTCCCTCTTGAGATACACAAGTCCCTGAATCTCAGGAGAAGAGCCGCAACGGCAGAGCCCCCATTAGCCGCACTTGCTTGCATGAACAAGCAGAAAATGTCCAGCCTCTTCATCACCACCTAGCCCGGTAGGGTTTGTTCTTGGTGGGCTGACTGACGAGGAAGCCGGCCTGCAATTATGATCGTTCTGTGCCACAACTGACGCTACGAAGTACCATTGAGATTTCCCTGAGGAAAATAGGATCCGAGCAACACGGGTAATGTTTGATGTCGTGGCAGCCGCACGAAGGAAAAAAAAAAAAAAAAAGAAAACCCAGGGGAGATTTTCCAGTTCCAGTTGATATTCCAGAATTCTGCGGAGATTGCTTAGTCATGTTTAGCCCCATTATTTCGAGCCAATTGGAGTTTCCTACACATCCGACGATAAACGGAAGAACAGGTGTCCCGGGGCCCACTGCCTACCCCACATCGCAGCTCGGACCCTAAGCGGCTTCCCTTATTTAACCCATTTTGACCGATGCTGTTGCTTTGAATGACACCCCTCGCATCCAAAGGGCCTTCCACATTCGAAGACGGACTCCTTCGACACGGACGCAAAGCGACCAAACAGAAGCGCATGCGACCGACGGCAAGATTGATTAAACGGATGGCATGTTACGCAATCCTGGCGAGCCCAACCTCTTCACATCAACTAATTGTTTTGCTACCTTATGTTGGTGAGCCCAACCAAGTAGAGCCAACAGCTTTTACAGCCCGCTTCATGCCAGGTCAATCAATGACTTTGGTGGCTTGGTGTTTCTGCCTCGCTCTGCATCGCTTGCATCATCGGCCTTTGTGCCCTCCAGTAAACGGCCGCCGCTTGACGGACGGCCAGACAAGAGAAGAGTGATCGACCACCGACGTTTTAGACAAAGAGAGCATTCAACAGAGGGTCCTTCCCCGCGCGCGCCGTGCGCCCCTATTCACTGTCTGATCCGTCTCAAAAACCCCCCTATCACTCAGATCCAGTGCTACCATGTCGTTTTGTATCCATGCTCACGGTGGTAGCGGCGTCCCTTATCCCCACATACTACGTTGGCTTGTCCCGTGTGTGGTGTGTAAAAGCAACATTCTCCAACTCGGCTCGCGCTCCAATTATTATCATGCGGAAGGCTCCCTTTTCTCTCAGCCCCATGTCCTACCTCAACCCACTCGCTCGTCTGGTCCGGGGGCTTGCTTCTCCTAGTTTCTTGGCCGCCTGCCGAACCGCTAAATGCCTCCCACTGTCCCGTCCGCCCGCCTTATCGGTCAGCACCCATCCCAACCCCCTACCGCTGCCATGGCATCCCACTCTCACGCTACTAGCCGATCACGAATGCTGGGGGCGCAACTGGAACTCTCCGCAGCGTAGCAGAGTACGTACATACAACGTAGACGGCACGTTACCAAGAATCCCAAAATCGGTAAGCCTGAGAAACTAATGAATTGAAACGCTGCAGAAATAAAACGTGGCCCCTATATACTAAGAATAGCTCGCCGGCTCCCAATGGACATGTATTGTATGTACAGGACTCTCGTCATCCCTGACCTCGCTGACCTATCGTCTACCACACGGTCAAAGGACCCAAAAAGTCCCTACACATTCCATGCCGCTCCCTGGCAAGCCACCTCACGAACCCCCTCCCAGCTGACGGGCAGTCGCCCGCAGTCGCCCGCAGTCCGTTGGGCGCCGGGCGCTGCCCACTCTGTTTAGGGCTCTGAGAGGCCGAAATGACATGAACATGACCAAGCTTCCAGCCTGCCATTGTCCAACAATCGGTAGCGTCGGATGGGCCGTGGCTCCTAGTGTATTTCCCGCTCTGACGCTGCTGGACTGCTGGACCGGCCGGTCCCGTGTGAGAGGTTACCTCTTGCGGAAGGTTTGGACCTTGTGTCCATCCCATCCGATCGCCTGCTCCTCCCTGTCCAAGCTTCGTTTCCAACATGTTTCCCGGCTAGCTCCCGAGCACCGTCGCTTCGCCTAGTGTCTCCTGGGCTTAAGCATGCGCTCTGGATTGCCCCTCGCGCTCGCTTTGTCAAGTCAAGTGACAGAAGCTGAAAGCCACAGATAAGCCCTGGCCAGGACTTGACGGCGTCCTGTCCCTTTTGCACTTCAGTTTCCCCCTCTTCCAACTTCCTTTTGGTCTCTGACCCTATGACCTGCAAGAGCAGATGACGTGATACTGCGCCCTACTGTGTGGCTCGCAATAAAATTTGCCCTTGCTCTGAACCAGTGTTACTGCGCCGTATCAGCTCAGAAAACAAGTCTCTGGTCTGGTACAATACACACCGTTATCCCGGGCAGGACTTTCCTGCGGTCATAACGCCCCTTTCTCAGTGCGTCTTGCGGCTCGGCCTTGAACAGCACCGCAAAACAGGCGGCAAGATTCGCGCGGAGTTCTCACCCCAAAGGGCAACAAAGCCTTAACAGTGGGCATTATCCAAGAGGACTGCCGACATTCTGATATCACAGCCAACTATTTTTTTCGGTGGCGTGTCGTCGGGAAGCGGCTCAAAGTGAAGTTTGCGGAGAAGGGCCTGACGTGGCCAGCGAGACCGAGAGGCTGGGCCGGGTATATTCTCAGATATTGACCGCACGGCAGAAGGTGCTTAGCGAGGCGGGATCAACCGACGACGCAACGGCTGAGATATATCTTGGCTTTACGAGACCTCGGTGACTTTGCGGACCATCAGAGCTGCAGACTCAACTTCAAACTGCTATGCACTACGATCAGAATTTCCCCCGGTGCTGCCAAGCGCAGACGCCAGACCGGTTCGCCAGTTTTAGGCGACTCCCGGCTGAGATCCGGATGATGATCTGGGAGTATGCGCTGCCGGATGCTCGGGTCTATGAGGTGCTGGATGCGCCCAACGCGAAGCAAAAGACACCAGCGCAGCAGGGGCTGATGTTTGCTAACGTGCACCCGGAACCGCCGCCGGCGCTGGCGGCAGTATGTCAAGAGAGCCGCTATTTTGTTCTCCGCCACTACAAACCCCTGACCCTCGGGACAACGACAAAATTCGTTGACATGGCGCGGGACATGCTTCTGCTCGAGCCGTACCTCCTCGTCAAGCGGCTGCACCGTACGCTGCACTTCATGAGCCAGATTCCTCTGTTGCGCGACCACACCACCCGGCTCGCGCTCGGCACGTCGTATGGGATCTATCCAGGCATTTTCCACCCGGTGCTGGGCCGCAAAGTGTCCAAGAACAATATGAGCAAGCTTCTGTCCATTCTGGGCAAGTTTCCGAAGCTCAAGACGCTCATCTTCATTGTGCACCAAGAGTTTCAGTTCGATTTCGATTTTTGCTTTCCGGGCACCATGACGCCGATTCCGAGTTACAACTCAGCGGCGACGGCATCTCCGCCGGGCCTTGGCCTTGGGTCAGCACCTGGATATCGTCCCTCGCCGCCGGCCAGCATCACCAGTGCTGCGACCATCCCCCCGACAACCAGCAACAGCACGATGCCTCACGGTCCACCAAATGTTTCCTCTTCTTCTACAAGCATCAGCACCAGCAGCATCTCGCCCTCCAATCCAGCGCCGTTGCTGCCACCCACGCCCTTGACCCCTTTCCACACCCATCACCAGTATCCTTACCAACAAACACCCCAACAATCTCCACCGCCATCGCCCTTACCACCATCAATTCCCTCAGGACCCCGTCACCATTCCCATCCGCACCACCAGCAGCCACAACAGCAACAGCAACAACCACAACCGCAGCAGCAGCAGCAGCAGCAACAACAACAACAACAACAACAACAACAACAACAACAACAACAACAACAACAACAACAACAACAACAACAACAACAACAACAACAACAACAACA